TGTTTGCCTGGGTCATCACCGTGTGGTCCGTCCGTTTGGAGATCTCATCCCCCCCCCCCCTCGGGATCTCTTGGGGGTATCTCACTGTAGGGCTTTCCGTAGCTTGATTTGGGTTCTCTCTCACGAAAGATACAGATTGGGTTGCTAACCCATCCGCCCCGGGTGCCGTCTTTCTGTGCTGTCAACTGTCTCTCCAGTAGACGACCAAACTGTTCTTGGTTGTCTAGTCTGTTCCAAGGGGTCACTGGCTGTGCCAGATGCTAACTATACAAGATACACCTCATGGATGCACTGGGACACATCCTCAGTGATGAGCAACTTATTGACTAATGATTTATTCAAACTTCAGCCACTGTCCACTATTCCGCGGCAGCGCTGTTCAGACAGGAGTTTTCTGGACTGCTTTTATTCCAGTTTTGATGCTTCCAAGGAGAAAATCTGTGTTAATTTCCACCACAGACGTGAGGATATCCTCTTTCAGCTCGGAAAAGTTTCACATCTTTCTAATATTTCTCCTCTTTCATGTTTGACCTCAGTGGGCGAGGCTTCTGAACCACGAATATTTAAGGTGTAAACATGTTAATGACGATCGATTTCAGCCGCCCCATTTATCAAGACCCGATCATACGTACGCTGGGATTGGTCAGATACGAACCCTTTCATAAATCTCACGTGTGTCCTATCGTAGGATGAATCCTGTGCTCAGATCTGCGCTCAGTTCTGCGCAAGATTGATAAATGAGGGCCAGTGTTCTTGTAATAAATTGCTTACATTCAAGGCCTGACAGCTAGCTAATGGCTGTAACTCCTCCAGTAAGCACATGATGTAACTTTTTTGCATTTATAAATCAACCTTTTTTTATTCCTATAAAACTGCAACAGCACATGTTGCATCAACAATCAAAACTATAAAATACAAATATAATGGCAAAAATTGGACCATCATCTCCAAAACCAAAAAATCCAAAAATGTACTGACATTTCTCTAGCTCTTCTTCCTTTACCTCTGCATCTGTCATTATCTCCCTAATTTGCTGCTGAAGCTACACGAATATGCTGTCCTTGTGAGAATCTGTGCTCCAGACAGACAGGGAGAGGATAATGGGTGGCGCTGTATTCAATGCCCAAATCCTGGAAAGAAAGATTACTTTAAAAATAGCCAGTGCTTTGCATGTACTGCAGAGTAGCTACATAAACATCAGATAAACTTCTGGTTACAAAACACTTCACAAACTTTTTTGAATTTGTGTGGTTTAGCTGTACTGCAAGTCCGCCCCCTTAAGGCACATGTGATTGTGCTGCTGTGTTAAGAAGGTAGCATTAAGTGTACAGACGGCAACTCACCCTAGAAGTACAATTTATATAAACAGAAAATTGAAAATAATCTTGGTCGAGTGATCAAAGTAAAAGGGTTGCATTTGTGCTTAAATAAGAGGCAAAAGACATTTTACAGGGTCTTCAGTGGAAAAAAAAAAGATCAACAATTAGAGTGAGACATGGCGGACACCTTTAAAATACTGGGCATATTTCAATTTTTGGTAACATATTTTTAACATGGCAGATGGACTAACTGGATTATTTTTCTGCGACAGAGAAATGCAGGTCTTGGTGCAATAAACAAACGTCTTTGCCAATCACACTGTACATAAGCTACAGTACCTTGAAAAAGTCTTCATACCCCTTGAACTTTTTCACATTTTGTCACTCTACAACCACAAACTTAAAAGTATTTTATTGAGATTTTTTGTCATAGACCAACACAAAGTAGCACATAATTGTGAAGTGAAACTAAAATGATGCATGGTTTTCAAAAATTTAAACAAAAAAAATCTGAAAAGTGTGGTGTGCATTTGTATTCAGCTCCCCTGTGTCAATATTTTGTAGAACCACCTTTCGCTGCAATTACAGCTGCAAGTCTTTTGGGGTGTGTCTCTACAAGCTTTGGACATCTAGAGACTGAAATTTTTGCCCATTCTTCTTTGCAAAATAGCTCAAGCTCAGCCAGATTGGATGGAGAGCGTCTGTGAACAGCAATTTTCAAGTCTTGCCACAGATGCTCAATGGGATTTAGGTCTGGACTTTGACTTGGCCATTCTAGCACATGGATATTCTTTGATCTAAACTATTCCATTGTAGCTCTAGCTGTATGTTTAGGGTCATTGTCTTGCTGGAAGGTGAATCTCTTTCCCTGTCTCACGTCTTTTGCAGCCTCCAACAGGTTTTCTTGCAGGATTGCCCTGTATTTAGCTCCATCCATCCTCCCATCAACTCTGACCAGCTTCCCAGTCCCTGCTGAAGAAAAGCATTGTCACAGCATGAGGCTGCCACCACCATGTTTCACAGTGGGGATGGTGGTGTGTTCAGGGTGATAAGCAGTGTTACTTTTCTACCACACATAGTGCTTTGCATTCAGGCCAAAATCTGACCAGAGCACCTTCTTCCACGTTTGCTGTGTCCCTACATGGCTTGTGGCAAACTGCAAACTGGACGTTTTATGTCTTTCTGTCAACAATGTCTTTCTTCTTGCCGCTCTCCCATAAAGGCCAGATTTGTGGAGTACACGACTTGTAGTTGACCTGTGGACAGATTCTCCCACCTGAGCTGTGGATTTCTGCAGCTCCTCCAGAGTGACCATGGGCCTCTTGGCTGCTTCTCTCACCAGTGCTCTCCTTGCTCGGTCTGTCAGTTTAGGTGGACGGCCATGTCTTGGTAGGTTAGCAGTCGAGGCATACTTCTTCCATTTCTGGATGATGGATTGAGCAGTACTCCTTGAGATGTTTAAAGCTTTGGATACTTATTTTATAACCTAACCCTGCTTTAAACTTCTCCACAACTTTTTCCCTGACCTGTCCGGTGAGTTCCTTGGTCTTCATGATGCTCTTTGTTGACTAGTGTGGTCTAAAAAAGCACAAAATATGAAAGACGCAGGGTGCAGCTCTTAGACGTCACGGATGTGGACATGAGTTGACAGACTAGAATGAGGGCTGAAAGTGAATGATGGTGCTGTTTAAATCTTACCCTGTCCTGGTGTGCCATGACTGTCTTTATCTTTTTCAGACTTAATTTAAACAAATTATGACAACCAATTTTAAATCCTGATATGAATATGAAGAAAGAGGGTACTGAGTCTCAACATGTTGGCTATCAAGTATAAATAAGCCAACACGCTGAGTAAAACGCACTGCAAAATCCATGCTAAGATTTGGTTTGGCCAGCAGAGGGCAGTATGGCATTGCTGTAGGGATCAAATATTTATCTCATTTGGCCAAAACTCCTATGAGGTCCTGAGATTCAAAAAGATATATGTACAGCTGCGACTCACATCTGTTTGTCCTGCTGGTTAATAGTTCAGATGAAAATGACAACTGGACTTTTTGGTGGAATATGGTCAAAAGTTTTGCTCAACCCTTGGGCCATGTGAAGATGGGCCATTTGGTGCTGGGGGTCCAAAAACCCTGTTTAAAAAAAAATCTTTAAGCATCATATCAATCCAGAATAAAAGTTGTTACAATGGCATTTTAAGTCACACAAGTATGAAATTTGCTATTATGTATCTTGAAAAACAGTAAGAAGTAATAAAAGAATAAGATTATAGTGCCTGATGTCTCCAGAATAACAAGAAGATAATCAAATCTATCCCTGCTGGAGACCATCTTTTGGGAAGTCAGCTTTTTAGCTTTTTAACATTTTATGATCCATATCACTGCCTTATTTGAACTTTAAATTTGTGAGCTTCAGTTTGAAGTCTTGTTGGCCTTTATATTTTGAAAACTACACTTTTGCAGCTTCAAATACTTCACTCGACCTCAAATCAGAGAGAATGGAGTTTCAGTTTCTAGTATTCCAGATATTCCAGATGGATTATAGTCAAAGCATGTGGTCTGCTTCTCATTGCTGATGCATATTGCCTGACAGGCCTAACAAATATGTCCCATATCATCCACGCTTAGCAGCAGAAACTTTAATTCTGCTTATAATTGACTTATGGAGCATTTGCTCACTGATACTGATATTTTGCTGAAAATATCATCTACCCAGTTCAGTTGAACACTTACGGCAGTTGTGAAGTTTGACGCCCCTGCAGTGCCAACAGCCCCTCCTTGTCATAGCACCCTGTTTGGTGTTCATTTTCAATGCGTAGGGTCACACGTGCACTTAAATGGAGCTCCCACAGCATTAGTTGCATATACCATGAAACTGCTTAAACATCTGTCTGAAGTGTCACAGTCCTTACAGATAAAGAATACAATACTCAATGTGTTGAAACGTAAGATAAGCACTTTATTTATCCTCGAGGGGAAATTTGAAATGTGTTTTCAAGATTTCAAAATTTTGCTGTATCAAAGTGAGAGCGACCCGGATTACAATTTCCTCTCTCATATTATCATATGGGTCTGCTTTATTGCCTCTCCTCCACTGAAAATACTGATAAAGTCAAGGTAGAGGTAGTTCACCCTTTTGACATGCCGGACAGCCAGGATGACTGTGGCAGCTCGCCAGCTTCTGACCGGTACAGAGGAGGAATGACAGACCTGTCGAGTGATACCAATGCAACCAGATTCTGATGAATTCCTGTTATTTAATTCAAGGGAAATGACATACACCTATTTCCCGTAAACTGTTTCACTGTGGATGGAGCGAAGACTGAGAGGTTTGTGGCAGCAAAGCCTTTCAGGAATTGTAATGATCTTACAGATGACGGTTTAATCAATACACAGGCTGAGTGAGGCAACTGTGGGCTTTCACAGCTTTTATTTAAAGCAGTGGTAATCACATGTAAGTATTCTCACAGTTCACGATGAATGACTAATATCTGTGTAGTTTAGTTCTATCTTTGTTCAAACAACCCAAATCACTGTTCCTGAAAGGCACAACAAACACAAGACAGATAATGCTTTTCATTAACTTACTGTGCTTTTAATGCAATACATAGCTAGAAACATCCTGCAGCTATGTGTGATACTTTCAGGGATGTTTAAACTAAAAACATGATTAAAGCTTTCATACATTTGAACAAACTAGGTCATTCGACTCTTCCACCTTCAGGTCAAAGCTGGTTTTGGACTTCTTTTTGGCCAGCTTTGCTTGTCTAGCCTCAGATTTGAGATAGCGCTCCTTGTTGTGAATGACCTGGATGTACTGGTCTGTGCTGCTATTCTGCTGGTCACTACTGGAGGCCAGGGAGACTGAATCTGACTCTGTAAGAGGGGTGTCCAGCTTTGGTCTGGTCTTGGATTTCACACAGGACTCCATTTGCCTTGTCAGCCTTGGGGACTGATAGTGTCTTCCTGGAGACTGGGAATGACACCTGGTTTGAACAAGTCCAGAATCTGCTCCTTTCACACTGGTCTTAGAGCAGGGATGTGAATCTAGATCTCCCCAGTCCCCTTCCTCTTCACCATCATCCTCATCATCCTCTTCCTGGACTCCATAATGTCCTCGTGCTGAGTGGCTGTCTTTAGCCATTGGCAAGTGTCCCTCTACACCGTCACCGATGTAGAACTGTGCTTGATGATGGAGGTCGGAAAGGGAACGAGGCCGATGAGTCTTCCCTAAAGACTTCCTTCTCCTGCCTTTGCCCTCTTCCTGCTCTTCCTCCTCACTCAGATGCTGCTCTGATGGGTGGGACCGGTGAGGATGTGGTTGGTGGTGAGCTGGGCGGGGTGTATAGCGTTTGATGTTGCGTGGATACAGCTCTAAGATTTCTGCAGACTCCTCCATGAGGTAGTGGCGTGGAATCCGAGTAGTTGAGCGCAGCAGCTTCTTCCTGGGCTCATGTTCATTGACGATTACATATCGGGTGGTGTGGCCACGCCGGCCCCCATAACTGTGTGCTGCAATGATCCCAGCAGCCTCCACAGGATGGATGGAGCGTTTGGTCTTTCTGTACAGGGGGTCAGAGTGGATGTTGTCAGAACAGAAAGCTGGGGGATTAAATGCCATATGATGGTAGGACTTGGACTTGCAGGTACCGCCAGGGCCACCAAGAAAGGGTGGAGGTCTGTTATGGAGAATGATAACACATGAGAATTAGCTTTGTTAGTCATCATTATATTGTGTTTTCAAAGAGCATTGATCATGTTGAATTACTCTGAAATAAACAGATAGAAACAACAACAGAGTAAATATATGTAAATGTATTTCTTCATGATAAATAATGGATTTTGAATACTAATTCAGATCACGCAAAGGCTTTATAAACACCTAATCGTTAAATGTTATATAAAGGAATAAAATATAAACAATACATGTCTAAACTACAACTATTACTTATGATAGGTTTATGATTCATATTCAATATTTTACTTCTTAAATGTACATACAACTGTCTGTAAAACTGTTAATCATCTGCTCACCTCACTTTTCCTTTAAAACTAAAAACCTTTCTTTTTAAGCATGTAGATAACTGCATTAGTCACAAATATTTGTACCTGTAGAAGGACACAAGACTTACACAAGCTGATGATGGAGCCTGGTAACAGTACAGTATGTGTATGTGTATGTGTATGTGTATGTGTATCATGTTAAAAGTAGAAAATGCTTGAACCTGTGCTTGGGCAATGCAGTCACTGATGGATTTCTGACGGATCCAGAACCCATCCCTCTGTCCATGTCCACTCTAGATGCTGACTGGGTGATGGTGCGGATGCTGTTTCCACGACAAACAGGAGACTGAAAGTTTGTGACGCTGCCATTGCGTCGGGGGGATGGAGTGTGGATGGAGGCGTCCTGACTGGTGATGTCGCTCTCCTGCTGATCTGGCTTTTTGTCAGCTGCTGCCTCCGGAGCCTGCAGTCTGGCTGAGGTTGGATCAAACAACACAGTGTCATGACTCAATCACAAACAATCAAACACCCACTCGGAACATCTGAAAACACCTTACAGGTACCTGCAGCCAACTGGAAGACTTTCTTCTTGTCCTCAGTCCGCTCCTAAAGAAAAGAGAGAAAACTCCACCTTAAGCCTTATGCAGAAAACCCTGTAAACTTTAGTTTTACTGATGTCTCTTCAGTCATCTAATCATTATTTCCAGAACTTGGGTTGAAAAAAAAAGTAAAATAAGCTGCTAATCCTTTCCAACCTATATTCAACCGAACACAAAGACATGATATCTCATGTTTGTTAAAGTGTGTTACATTGTTATTTAATTTGTTATCATTATTATTATTATTATTATTATTATTATTATTATTATTATTATTATTATTATTATTATTATTATTATTATCTTACTCATTTTGAACTTGATACTGTTGCATGTTCCAAAAAACTGGGACAGAATCAACAAAAGTCTGAAAACTGAGGACTGCTCCAAAAACACTTGTTTGGATCCTTCAACAGGTGAACAGGTTCATTGGAAACAGGTAAGGGTCATGATTGGGTTTAAAATAAGCATTACCAAAAGACTGGCTATTTTCATAAACAAATATTCCACCCTCTCCATTTCCCAAAAAAAACAAAAAAAAAAAAACGCATGCACACCACTATGTTTTCAAATAAGTTTTCATTTACACTAACCCGTGTATATGTGCCATCAAGAGAATATCAAAAGCATATCAAGAACATATCAAACATGTGGGTGGCAGTGTAGCAAGAAACTCAAGCCCACGTTAGCCAATCAGAATCCCACATAGCAGCATCAACAACAACATCCCTTCCTTCTCTCCTGTGTGCAATCTGCCGTGACCTACCCAAATCTTTTTCTCTGTTTACATGTAAACGTGCAAACGGAGTAATCCAAAATCTCCACTCTGGCAGGAGTTTTTAAAAAGCATCATTCTTAGGGGCAAATTATCTGTTTGTGTCTAAACAAAGGCTGCAAACAATGGTTAATGTCTCCGTTTTTAAAAATAACCACATACGTACAAACAGGGCCTCAGCCCTTCACAAACATGGGCCAGGTTCACTACTTTGTCAACAACTGTGTGAGAAAATTGTCCAACAGTTTAAGAACCCTATTTCTCAACATACAACTTAATGAATTTAGAGATTTGATCATCTACGTTCCATAAAATCATCAAAAGATTCAGAAAAATCGCTACACATAAGTAACAAGGCCCAAAACCAGCACTGAGTGATTATGACCTCTGACCCCTCAGGCAGCACTGCACTAAAAACCCACATCATTCTGTGAAGGAATTTACCACATGGGTTTAAGAGGACCCCAGAAAACCATAGTCGGTTAACACAGTTGGTCTCTACATCCACAAGTTCAAACTCTACCAGACAAAGACAAAGACAGATATCAACAACAGACAGAAACACCGCCGGCTTCTCTGGACCTGAGCTCATCTGAGATGGACTGACCCAAAGTGGAAAAGTCTGCTGTGGCCTGATGAGTCCACATTTCATTTAGTTTTTGGAAATCATGGATCTGGTGGAGAGGGACCACCCAGACTCTTCTCAGGTCAAAGGTCAAAGTCAGCATCTATGATGGTGTGGGTGTTTGTTAGTGCCCATGACTTACTAGCACATATCACATGAAGCACAAAACACCACAACAGAGACACCGGACTGTTGATCAGCTGAAGTGGTTCATCAAACAAGACTATGAAAAAATTTACCTCCAAAGCTTCAACAGTTAGTGTCCTCAGTTCACAAAGACTTTACTGAGTGTTCTTAAGGAAAGGTGATGAAACACAGAGAGAAACATGAACCTGAACCAGCTTTTTATGCATGCCAAAGTGGGAAGTGTGCAGAAGCATTAGTGATGAAACTTTTTGATTAAGAGGATCAGACGTGAATGCTCAGCCAAGCTTACCGCAATCATACAGATCAGTGTAATGTAAGACACTGACCATAAGGTCCATCAGAGAGCACTGGTTTATTTTTCAAAGTAATTTCTGTTCAGTTTTAGTTTTATATTGTATGTTAAAAATTTGAAAAAACATCTTGTTAGTTTTCACGCATTTGTATTTTCCAATCATGAAAAAATAAAGTATAATTACTCTAATATCTTTAAAACTACTTTGGTTGAATGCAGTTGCTCTCTGCTTGAAAATCACTAATAAAAGATAAAAATGTGTTGGTCCACCAGGATAACAGGCCATCAGAAACTCACAGTCTGCAGCTGCATCCTCAGCTGGTTGTTGGTGAATTTGAGGGACCTTGCAATAGCCTGAAGATAGTATATCAGCATGCTGAAACATAAAGAGGAAGATTCAACGTGATATGTAGAGGCACGCTGTGATTTTGTGTATGTGCAAATGTATTTGTGTGTGTGTGTGTGTGTGTGAGTGTGTGTGTGTGTGTGTGTGTGTGTGTGTGTGTGTGTGTGTGTGTGTGTGTGTGTGTGTGTGTGTGGTGCATGGTCTTACAACAGCAGCAGCAGTGCTGGCAGCACTACAATAGGGCTGGTGATATAACTTGCCACTTTGCTGAACCAGCGAGGGAAGTCATTGGCCACTGTTTCCGAGATGATGTCATAAATCTTCTCTTGCCCACTGAAACACACATTTGGTTCACTCCACTCACATTAATAATTAAAGATTTATTTTTTAAGGTTTTTGGCAGTTTAAAAAGGACAGGACAGTGGCCAGATTAGGACATGGGAAGGGAGGGTAGAGCGACATGTGGGAGCCTTAGGTTGAAAGTGAACCCAGGCCCACGTCTAGAGACTATGGCCTCCTCCAAAGACCTCCATTCGGAGACGTTAATATTGAAGATATTTCAGAATCTCTCTAAAGTCTCAGCACAGATATATGTGTCTTAAATTAGAGACTGATTTAGATTTTTTTAATTTTTTTGGGGTTGATTTAGATCAGATTTTAACTTGAAATTGAAAATTGCTTTTAACTTGAATATGAACTACAAACATATCTGATTAGTAATGCATTGCTTAATTTACATGCACAACCTTGCAATTGTGTTCAATGCAGACTCAGGGCTTTATTTCCGTGCTTCGCCGGAGATGTGGTGCAGGTGCGGCATAAGTCAGGTCCGCTGCGCCGACAAGGCGTTCCCAAGCACAATTTGGTATTTTGGTGAGCGGCGCAGCCCGGCGTAAGTATCCCCCCTCCCTAACTTAGCTCCTCCCAGTGGCGTAAGTCGTAGGGAGGGAGGAGAGAGGGCGTGGAGTGGGTTTAACACAGCAGAGACCTGTATTGACCAATAACATCAGCTCTTCTCCTCGCCTTTGAATCTGCCACCGGCGAGGCGTATTACATTGTGAAGAATATTTTCGTGAAGTAGTCAAAGAGATCGCCTCTCGAAATCCAACTCTAACGTCCACATTGTGAGAGGTGGAAACAGGTCAAGCTGGCCAATAGGGCAATGGTAAAACCTCATGGGCCAATCACCCGTGAGGTGGATTTAAATGATTACAGAAACATTCATGAAGAAAAAGAAACCCTACAACCTAAGAGATGAAGACTCTTCAAGCAAACAAGCTAAAGAGACAATGAAGAAGCATGCCGAAAACCATATGGAAAGGATGCGTCAGAATCTTCTTTCTCCTAGGCAACCTACCAACATCGCAACCTGGAACATCAGGACTATGTACACAGCAGGGAAGACATCAGTCATTGCAGATGAGATGAGGAGATACAAGGTTTCCATCCTAGGCTTGTGCGAAACTAGATGGCTCCAGACAGGAGAAGTCAAATTGGGCAGTGGCGAGTCCATACTCTACTCTGGACATGTTGACAAAAAAGCACCACATACGGAGGGAGTGGCACTCATGCTCTCCAAAGAAGCCCAGAGGGCCCTCATCAGCTGGGAGCCTATTAACTCAAGGATCATCACTGCACGATTCCAAACGACACACAAGAGGATAAACCTCCAAATCATACAATGCTACTCACCCACCAATACTGATGATGAACTTAAGGACAACTTCTAAAACCAGCTACAACATCTGCTCCAGACCAGGGGCCTCATGTATCAATACTTGCGTGGGACTCATACCAGAAACGAGCGCACGCAAGGTCCGTCACGCTGAAAAAAATCTGTATGTATCAAGGTGTGCGGGCGCCGAAATCCACGTGTGTTTCCTTGATAAATCCCAATCAGCGTGGAATTGAGCGCAGATGTCGGAGTGACTGGGCCCGCCCCCATTACGCCCTCCTATAAATATGCAGATTTATTTAAATAGGGTCTCCCTGTCCTCGCACGCAGACAAAATGACAAGAAAAACGAAATTTACGGCGTGCGAGGTGGAGGTGCTGGTGGCGGAGGTGGAGGAGCGACAGCGTGTTTTGTTTGGCAGCCTGTCCAGTGGCGTCAGTGCAAAACGAAAACGCTTGGAGTGGGAGAAAGTTTGCGAGAGGGTGAACGCGGTGGGTTCCGAGACACGCACCCCCGCGGAGATTAAAAAAAAGTGGTCAGACCTCAAGGTGGAGGTCAAGCGGTGTACAGCTGCCCTCCGGAGGAGTACCGGCCAGAGAGGTGGGGGTCCGGGGGAGGAGACCCTCACGCCGTTTGAGCAGCGGGTGGTGGCGATTTTTATTATAGGGTAAGTGGCGTGTCACACAAATGTCCACATGCTTTGCCATCCCACTGAGCAAAAGACGTATATTAGACGTCTAGTCTAAGTTTATACTTGATTTCAACGTCGGGATTCAGTCTATTTTTAGACGTGATTGATACTTCGCCCTTAACTTCATTTTTCGATAACTTTTTATGCAATAAACAACTGAAATGTGCATAACTGACCTCTAAATACTGGATTACATTACCTATGATACCGTGGAGAGAGAAGTAAACGCAACAGATACACAGAAGCAGGAATTGAAATGAACCAATATTTTTATGACCTCGCGTCCGCCAAGATCGGCACACACGTCCAGATTTATCATCGCGACACAAGCGTCGGTTCCAGCGCTAATCAACGCAAAGTGAGGAGGTGGTGTAGAAGTTGGCGTGGAGCCGATACTTGCGTTGACGGCACTTTGGCGACCCTGTGTGGCGGCGTTTGGTGACTCACTATGTGACAAGCGTGCACCACATCCCCGTGGTCGAGCAGCACGTCGCCCCACATGACAAACCAGCAGCAGACGGAGGGATGCGAGCTGATCCCTGCCGGGCCGCCGCCGTACCTATAAACAGAACGAAAGTTTGCTGCTCCATTTGACATGTTGTCATGATCTAATACTCGTGTTTTTTTTAATATGAGATAATTTTTTTTCCACTTTAAGAAGCTAATGAGTGGATTGGATGCAGGGGTGCATTCTACGGCACAACACCTATCAAGCTGCGCGAGGAAGAAGAAGGATAAGTGGGAAGACGAATTAAATATCTTGTTAACTTCATAATGTGTGACTGTTTACTGGATATTTAATTTAATGCTGTTTCAGCTGTGTTAATTAGGTTAGAGTGAGTGTCCAAACGTGTGCCAAACGCGCTCCTCAGATAAGATATGGATCAGAATATATCGATATAGATCGCAATGTATTTGCTGATTCAGATAGTTGCACTGAATATTGGTTGTTGATGATTATTTATTGCACTGAAATGTGCCTGACACTGTGGAAACCTGCCGGTGAGGCATCAGTGACGTATGTGTAATACGCCGCCGGTCTACCAAAATACCACTAGACCTGCTGCGCTCCGCCTGCGCTGAAAGCTGACCAAGTTTGAATTGGCGAGCTTTCAGCGCACTTTTCACGCCACCGGCAAGCACGAAAATGTCACTGCACCAGCTGATTCTGTCGACACCTCCCTCTACTGCGCATCCACGCCCAGCTTGGCGGAACTTAGCGTGCACTTCAGTCCACGAAAATACCAAACTGGCTGTACGCCGGGCTCCGCCAGGCGAAAATACCACTGCGCTGGGTCCGCCACCGTCCACCGTGTTGCTGGCACGCACGAAAATAGAGCCCAGAGTGTTAAATGCTGACTTACTGACAGTTTTGCATAAAATGCACATTGCTGTAAAGGATTTCATGTTTTAACTCCATGTGCAGCATTTGTTCACCTGAAGGGTCCACAGTGTTGTGAAGGCCTGTATCTCACTATGGCAAAGATGGTGGGCAGCATACAAAGAAACAGCATGAAGAGCAGCATAGCCAGGTAGAAGTTATTTGACCTGAAATAGACCAAGGGAGGACATACTAAAGTAACTACTCCACATTATTCCCCACAAAATAACCCCACAGTTACTGACACCAAAGTGACTCAGCTCTAATGGTTGATCATTATTGAATTTCCCTTCGGGGATCAATAAAGTTCTTCTTCTTTTTCATCTTTTTCTTCTTCTTCAAAGACTACATCGATCTCTGCATTCAGCTGGCTCCCATGAAATTATCTGTCTGTGTGTGTGTGTGTGTGTGTGTGTGTGTGTGTGTGTGTGTGTGTGTGTGTGTGTGTGTGTGTGTGTGTGTGTGTGTGCGCGTGCGCGTGCGCTTGGATTTGTAGGCACATCTGGTAGTGACTGATAAGAACTGAAAGGGACAATGACAGCTTTGGTCCATAAATCAGAGTGGGCTGTGTTAATGTGTGTACGAACAGAAGACGAACATTCCGCTCAGAACTACACACTGATAAGTCTCCATCTCTCCACAGCTCGACAGCAAAAGGAGATCAATGAAATAATAATTAGTTTCATCTGTAAAACAACAGTTAGTGTTTATGCACTTGTTAGACCAAAGGCTGCAAAAGGCTCTAAGTGTGTGTGTGTGTTTGCTGCACCTGGAGGCTCTGAACACCTGCTGATGGGGAACATTACATGTGAGGACGGCCCAGCTCCTGAGGTACATCAGACCAATCAGCTTCAGCACATTGAAGGCAGGAAGGCAGGGTGAAAAAAAGGCTCCCATCCTGAAGGAACGATAGAATAAAAGTCAGTCCACACACACACACACACACACACACACACGCACGCACACACTTGGGTCACAGTTTTCAGAACAGACATTACATCCGGCGGCCTGTGGATTCAATTTATTACTTTTATTGCTGGAAGGAGACATCTCTGAAATGAGTTGAGGAAATACATTGAAGGCAGCCACAGATGTGTAATGAAGAGATTATAGAGGCCACAGTCCTCTGAACAGGGTCACAGAGACTGGTTAGCAACAGCCAGACTATTAGCTTTGACTTACATCCTCTATTACACACACAGCAATCATGCCGTAGTGATAGGTTCACAATAGAGATGAATCCTCTGTCTGTCATTCAGACGTACTAAAGACTTACCAGATCATCCCCTGGTTATAGATCAGATGAAGAACGTTTTCTGCTATTTTGAATTCCCCATACTCAGGCTGGTGAAAAGGAAAATTAGACAGGAAAGAAGAAATCAGGTGTGACAGTGTTGATATGATGTCTGTCATACAGTCCAGTCCAGGCTTAAGCCCCCCTCATGAAAATTGGGTTGGTCCTCTCACTATGTAAAAGGATTAATATGCAGACACTGGAAAACCACATTCACATGAAATGACAGTGTAATAATGGAAAGGGTAGGCTGTCACGATACCTTTGGATAATTTATTTTTCAATTGTGAAACCAAATGAGCGTTGTTTATTTTTTGTTTAAAATCATCTATCCATCCATCCATTTTCCACTGCTTATCCCAGTGGGGGGTCGCGGGGGACTGGAGCCTATCCCAGCATCTTAGGGCGAAGGCAGGAAACACCCTGGACAAGTCGCCAGTTCATCACAGGGCTGACATATAGAGACAAACAAACATCCACGCTCACATTCACACCTACGGGCAATTTAGCAGTAACCAATTAACCTAACCCCACTTCTGGTTTTTGGGATGTGGGAGGAAACCTGAGTATCCAGACTAAACCTACACAGACACTGGGAGAACATGCAAACTCCACACAGAAACGCCCTGACCTGGGTTCAAACCCAGGACCTTCTTGTTGTGAGGCGACATTGCCAACCACTACACCACTCTACCAAAAACAGGAAATATGTTTGTGTCCTCATCTCCCTCTTTCTCATTTTATCACTTTAAATTGACCATAAAAAGCTCTTGCAGTTTTGTTTTTTTTGTTTTGACCCCAAAACGGAAAAATCACAGGTTTGTTTTTCTGTATTTTAATGCAAAGTGCAAAAAGCAAAATCCAGTTTTGGTTTTCTCCAAATTCCTTTAATAATTTCTCATTTTAGTTGGATGGTTAAATTATGGTAAGACTACAGGTGGAAGTGACAAGATTAAATTTTCAAAATAAAAGGCAAAAGGAATCAGAAGTTAAGTTCATAATTAAGGAGGTCTGTAGAAGCCACATGAATGCATTGCTTTTTTTCATATAGCGATTTTATAACTTTAGGTGGCTAGGTCAGTAAAATAGCTGATCTGTAAGTTTACAGTAAACCCAAAACCAGTGTGTAATTTTCTTTTAGAATATTCATGTTCTTTCTAATGAGCTCCACCCTTTTCAGTTCTAGTTTCAGATTCCTGTGAAGTTTGTCTTCTTCTAAAAGACCCTCTCAGACAACTTGTTGAACTTAGTCAGCACACTGCTAGCCTTATTACCATTCATTTGTATATTTGCTCTACACAGGTCACAGTTCACAGCAGAAGCTGTTCACAGTACTTTGATTGTTTAACAATTTTAAGGCAACTTACAAACTTGCTCTCCAAATCCCAGCAGCAGCAGTCGCTCAGGTAGCGCACAACCAAACCTCTGATAAAGTCAATGAGCAGGATGCTGGCCACTGTGAAGATCATGTCAATGATGGACAGCTTCAGCATCTCCTGGAGACACACAAACCATCATACAAACTAAGGTCATGTCCTTTTTACATTATTAATTTAGTGACATGTCCTTTCCTTCTTTGCTCTGCATCATTGTTTAAAATCTCACCGTTTGAAAGCCCTTTCAGTTTTTGATATCTAATATTACAAAGCTACTGACAGCATTTTAGTCAAGAGGAAACACCCAGATAAAGTTTAAAGCCTATTCTACACTCTATGAAGATTCCTACAGAATTAAGAACAGCATCATCCCTTCCTTTCTGGTATTTTCCTGCATTCAACAGTGTTAACCTTTTTCTGACAGGGGAAGAATGGATCACTTATAAACCTCATCACTCTGGCCCACTGATGGTGATTTTACGGAGACTACACAAACCTGACCGACATACGTCTCCCAGCACTGGTCCTGCTGGGAGCGGGTGTTCTTCTCAAAGACTGCTGTCTGGTTGGACATGGCGCCTGAGCTGCTCCTGGCACTGTTTGTGATGTCCAATACTGTGGCAATAGTTGCTATGGTGCTGTTGTGATGATCAGAGACAGACAGCTCTGACACCAAGGTAGAGAGGCTGTCTACCTCAGGCTGGGAGATGGTTGCCAGGAAGGAGCTGGAGTCAGACCAGTTACCTGAAACCACTGGGATCTGGAACAGAAAGGGTTTGTTATTTGCTGCACGTTTTGCTACACTACAAAAAACTTTTTAAAATTGTTATCTAAGAGCAGCTAGCCTCTTTCACACTAACATAAGACACCCAAAGCGTAAAAAAACAGGTGCTTTGATTTTTCTCAGGACTCACAGCAGAGCTCATGCTGTTGACTTTATCCAAGAGGGCAATGATGAGGCTGTACAGATTGCCGAGGTATAAAACAAGCACTCTGTGGATACAGACAGGTTAGGGTGTAGCACAGACTGAGAAACACTACAACATGTGAAAGTGATGAATGAAAGTAACCTGGCCAGCTGGAATCGCAGTGAGGTTCTTGGGTGGTACATCTCAAGCTGAGCTACCAGCTCAAAGGCGGAAGGAGCAATCATAGTGATGAGGGACACGACTACACTGACCTGATAGAGAGAAAATCAAAACTCCTTTGAACCATATAGGACAAAAATATCATCATTATCATTCTAACCTGTAGGTAAAGGTAGAACCATTATCATACTGATCATACCATCATTATCATACTAATCTGTAGGTAAAGGTAGAAAAATGCTTATAAAGGTTGTAGTTGGCCCTTTTCTTGAAATAACTGACTAAGTGATGAGCTGTCACGGATGGTTGTTTTCTACATGATCAGCTGCAGCTCTACACTCCTACCGATTCCTTGAATGGTTTTGTATGTTATATAATTAAATCAAACTAATGAAGATGAGGATGTCAATGTAGTTTGCTACCTCATTCTTCTCCCACAGTGTCAGCTCCGGCTTCTCCTGCTCCAGTTTCTGGGAACGGTCCACCACAAAGTAGATGATGTAGATGCTGCCAGCCAGTGACAGCAGCACCAGGATGTTGGCTAAGATACGCAGGCTGATCAGCACTGCCCTAAGGAGACAACCAGACAGAGTGGGATGGATCAGGCTGTAGACCTTTGACTTCCTTGAATGTTTGAGCAGCTCTAACAGTGGGAACACTTCTTACTAATCATTGCACTTCAAATTAAAAAAGAATTAAGACACCTACAGGCTAGTATCCTTCTTTTTTTCCTGCTCCTCTACAATGGCTTCCTGTGCAAACAAAAAAATACCTTGATTAAGTTTGAGTGATAATCATAAATGCTGATTTATGTGCATAAAAAGTATCACCAAAGGAGCTTTCCCTTTTTTGAATGTGAATAAAACAGTATGGGCTCTATTTTCATGTCCGCCGGTGAGGCAGTGGAGGGTGGAGGGCCCCGCGCAGTGGTATTTTCATCTGGCGGAGCCTGGCGCACAGCCAATTTGGTAATTTCGTGGACTGAGGCGCACCAAGGTCCGCCAAGCTGGGCATGGTGGCGTGGCAGAGGGAGGTGTCGACAGAATCAGCTGGTGCTGTGACATTTTCGTACTCGCCAGTGGCTTATAAAACCTGGTCAGCTTTCAGTGCAGGCTGAGCTCAGCTGGTCTAGTGGTATTTTGGTAGATTGGTGGCATATCGGCATACGTCACCGATGCCTCACCGGCAGGTTTCCACAGTGTCACATTTCAGTGCAATAAATAATCATCAACAACTAATAATCTGAGTCAGTACATACATTTAGATCTATATTGATATATTCTGATCTTTATCTGATCTGATGAGCGCATTTGGCACGTGTTTGGACACACGACCTGACCGAATCAACACAGCTGAAACTGCATTAAATTAAATTAAATATCTAGTAAATAGACATACATGATAAAGTTAACAAGACATGTAATTCGTCTCTCTTCTTTTCTTTTTTCCTCTTCCTCTTATTTCTCGCGCAGCTCGACCTGGACACGTCTCCGTGTCCTCTCCCTGTCCTGCTGCAGCTGCTGCTGCGGCGGCTGAACAGATGATTTGTTTCAGTGATCAGATGAGTTATTTACTTTAAGCCGACATACGGATATTATAATATTCAGTTTTGTGAGCCAAAATTATTTTATATGCCAACATCTATGAAAGAAAGAGCCAGGCCACGGAGCGCGATGCGTCATTTACGCACAGATGGTTCCGATTTTAATGCCATTTTTGGAATTTATGTTGTGATCTGTGTGCACAACCCACCTTTGTCATGTGAGGTTTGAATATATGCAACTTTATGTGAGTGTCTTTATTTGTGGAAAAGGGTGTTTGTCTTACTAGTGGGTCCAACATTACACACACCAAATTCATCTGTGCTTATATGAGAGAGTGTGGAGGAAGTTTACAGTGACACTTGTTGAGGAGCTGCCTTCTGTCGCCATCGTGTGGCATTACTGCCTTCAGTCATCTCTTGATCTCTTTGCCTACTGCACGAAAATGGTAATATGTCTCGCCAATGGCGGATTTAAAGGCGAGGAGAGGCGCTGATGTTATTGGTCAATACCGGTCTTGGCTGTGTTAAACCCACTCCACGCCTTCTCTCCTCCCTCGCTACGACTTATGCCGCTGGGCGGAGCTGAGTTAGGGAGGGGGGATACTAAAGCTGGGCTGCGCCGCTCACCAAAATACCAAATTGTGCTTGGTTAGGCCATGTCAGGTCCGCCGTGCCTGGGCCACGTCTCTGGCGAAGCGTGAAAATAGAGCGCTATGTGAGTGTAACATAGCATGCAGAGTGCTGTGTTCCTTGTGTGTCTCTGACCCTGATGTTGTTGACAATGGCTGCGCCTTTGCTCTCTGCTGCCTCTGGGTTTCCTATTAGGTAATCCCAGGCACAGAAAACTCTCCAGCAGAAAGTGAAATTCTCATCTGACGCGCTGGCCAGGCTAAGGCGAGAGTTCTTGGCCATTCTGCAGCAATTATAGTCAAGAAATATCAGACAATATAAAAACTGTGGGCACAGATTTGCACATATTTCCATTCAAAGTTACAACAATGTGATAAATGTTTTTGTCTGTGAAGCAGAATGCATTTGAATACATTTGAGAATAAGGATTATTTGGTTTTCCAGGTAACAGTTGAAAAAAAAACCCAGAAAATTCACTCTGGAAAATTTTGAAAGGGCCATGGGCGGGGGCTACTGCTGGGTTGTGTACATATGATGAGATTCTTAAGAGATTTCAAATAATAATACAAGTACCATTGTGATATTATATACAAGGAACACATCTACAAAAGACATTCCTTTTTCAAGTATTTATTCAAAAAAAAAAAACAGAGCCGAACATTTAAAAAACATCAACGATTGCTCTTTTTTTGGCTCGTCCAATTGACTTCAGTGCAAAATTTTGTCATATTTTTTCATGATTTGAGTTCCAAAAAAATTATATACTATAGAAAAAAGTAATAGCACACCAACTCTGATCAAACCACACATTTTGATATATAATTTGTCCAACAGCTCTTCAAGCTGTAGGACTAGCAGTGAATCTAAATTTGTCCACAAAAGTAGTAAGAACAAATCCACAGTATAACAATAGAGCCTTGGTGCCCCATGGCCCTTATTATTGAATGGTACCTGTACCATTCAGCTCCCTTCCCTATCTTATTCAATGATTTATTTTTGGTGCTATGTGGCTAAAGAAGCACTTTGTCATCTGAATTATGTACATCATGCAAATGTGATCTGTGTTTTCTGATAAACTTTTCAGATGTGGTGTTTTGGACACAATTTAAATGTGAGCAAATACAAACATAACACAAAATACCATAACCAAACACACTGCAATTTCTTAAAATCAAAGATTTAAAAAAAAAAAAAACATGCAGTTTCCTTGAAATCCACTCAAAATTCTCTTCTGGGTCCTAGGGATTCCCAGTGAATACCTGTCAACATCACTGCTCAGATATCACATCACATTTATTCTTCATGACTTGGTATGATATTTAGAGACCAGAGTAATTACTTTCTCAAGACAATGATGAAACTGTAGGCAAAGACAGCCATCCCAACCAGGAAGTAGGCCAGGGGTAACCGGTACCCAGCGGCGCCAATTTTCCTCTCTCTGCCATAGTACCCATAGAACAACACAGAGTACTGCAAGTATCCCTGAAAAGATGAAACACACAACACATATGCACAGACCACAATATACAGCACTGTTTTATTTTGATGCAATAGACTATGAAATTGTTCTACAGTGATGAATAATGTAGAATTACAGGGTGTGGCTGGCATACATGCCGCTAATTACTGTATAGTCAAATAAAGTATAGAAATCTGCTGTATTTCATTTTTACCGAGCCGTAAAATCATTTGACAGTTGAGTACTGTATGAAAACTGTTGCACACTGTATAATAGCAGTTGAATTCTGTGTTATAACAGTAAAGAGCTGGCATCAGTGAGAAACTGGATTTAGATAAAAGTGACAGACAGCTGGCCCTTCAGCCCTCTCAAGGTTTTCTGAGACCCTTCCTGTACTCTCTGGTTTATCATCTGGAATAGACACTATGGGCTCTATTTTCGTTTCCGCTGGTGAGGCGGCGGAGGGTGGTGGACCCCGCGCAGTGGTATTTTCATCAGGCGGAGCCCGGTTTTCAGCCAGTTTGGTATTTTCGTGGACTGAAGTGCACCGAGGTCCGCCAAGCTGGGCGTGGTGGCATGGCAGAGGGAGGTGTCGACAGAATCAGCTGGCGCAGTGACATTTTCGTACTCGCCAGTGGCGTATAAAGTGCGCTGAAAGCTCGCCGATTCAAACCTGATCAGCTTTCAGCACAGGCGGAGCGCAGCTGGTCTAGTGGTATTTTGGTAGACCTGTGGCATATCGGCATACATCACAGATGCCTCACCGGCAGGTTTCCACGGTGTCAGGCACATTTCAGTGAAATAAATAATCATCAACAACTAATAATCTGAGTCAGCACATACATTTAGATCTATATTGATATATTCTGATCTTTATCTGATCTGATGAGCGCATTTGGCACGTGTTTGGACACACGACCTGACCGAATCAACACAGCTGAAACTGCATTAAATTAAATTAAATATCTAGTAAATAGACATACATGATAAAGTTAACAAGACATGTAATTCGTCTCTCTTCTTTTCTTTCTTCCTCTTCCTCCTTTTTAATTCTCGCGCAGCTCGACCTGGACACGTCTCCGTGTCCTCTCCCTGTCCTGCTGCAGCTGCTGCTGCGGCGGCTGAACAGATGATTTGTTTCAGTGATCAGATGAGTTATTTACTTTAAGCCGACATACGGATATTATAATATTCAGTTTTGTGAGCCAAAATTATTTTATATGCCAACATTAATGAAAGAAAGAGCCAGGCCACGGAGCACGATGCGTCCTTTACGCACAGATGGTTCCGATTTTAATGCAATTATTGAAATTTATGTTGTGATCTGTGTGCACAACCCACCTTTGTCACGTGAGGTTTGAATATGTGCAACTTTATGTGAGTGTCTTTATTTGTGGAAAAGGGTGTTTGTCTTACTAGTGGGTCCAACATTACACACACCAAATTCATCTGTGCTTATATGAGAGAGTGTGAAGGACGCCTTCTGCAGTGCTTACAGTGACACTTGTTGAGGGGGCTGCCTTCTGTCGCCATCGTGTGGCATTGCTGCCTTCAGTCATTTCTTGATCTCTTTTGACTACTTCACGAAAATAGTAATACGCCTCGCCGGTGGTGGATTTAATGGCGAGGAGAGGCGCTGATGTTATTGGTCAATACCGGTCTCGGCTGTGTTAAACCCACTCTACGCCCTCTCTCCTCCCTCGCTGAGTTAGGGAGGTGGGATACTAAAGCCGGGCTGTGCTGCTCACCAAAATACCAAATTGTGCTTGGGAACGCCTTGTCAGCGCGGTGGACCTGACTTACGCTGTGCCTGCGTCACGTCTCTGGCGAAGCATGAAAATAGAGCCCATAGTCACAATAAAACACTCCATGTGCTAAACAGTTAAAAATCATTTTTTGACATTTTGAATCTTTGACACTTGGATCCACCAGAGTACCAGATCACTACATCAAGCCAAGTCCAAAAATGGGAAGCGGATCATGTCATCTGTAAATGTAGATAATGTGAATACTTGAAATAACTTAAGTATTTCTGTACCCCTAACAGCAGGGACAATGAGGCATTCGTTATTTCTCTGCCAGACCAATAAATGAGTTGAACTGTAAGATTATGTAACCTGTGGGAGGAAAATGATGGTTCATTTCATCTGGGATTAATGTGCTATCGACAGAACAGTAACAGGAAAGAGGCTTACCCCCAGAGACCAGATGGTGTCCAGGTCTTGTGCTGAAGCCAGGTGCTCCTTGGGAATCGTTTTACTCCTTGTCGTGCCAAATGGAGCTCCAGCCAGCAGCTAGTTAACACAGACATTTTCAATTATGATACACCACACCAATGACCTCCTTTTACAGTACGTCCTGGAAAGAGCTCTAATGATTAACATTGAACACCCACAAAGATTTACTGAGCCTTTATTCTCGCACTCGGGTTCAGTAAATACAACCACAATCCTGGGGGAGACCTGCTGACCTGACAGTTGCCCAGAAGACCGTCATGGACACCCTCAACAAGAAGGGTCAGCCACAGGAGGTCCCTGCTGTAAAGTCTGACTGTTCACAGAGTCTGTATGAAGCAGATTCATGGAAAGTTGACTGAGTGGAAAAGTGAAGGAGGAAAAGGAGACCAAGAAACAGGGATAACTGCAACCTTGAGAAGATTGTGAAACAAAGCAGATTCAAGAATTTAGAGCAGCTTCACAAGGAACTAAGGCTGGAGTTGGAAATTGACTGCAAGTGTTGTGTTCCTCTAGTCAGGACCCTCCTGAACCAGAGACAACGCCAGAAGAGTCTTACCTGTACTAAAAAGACCATAGACCAGAGTTCAGTTTTCAGATGACCTGGGCTGAACCCAAAAAAGATCAATTAATCAAAAGAATCCTTTGAGATTTTTCAAGAGAAAGATTACCAGTTACCAAGATGATCAACATTTCTGTGTCATGAATCCTTTTGTGGATTGGTGTTTTGTGATATTGTCACGTTTTGAGATAGCAGACTTTTGATTTTCACAAACTGTGTGCCGTAATCCAGATTAAATAAAAAAAAGTAGAAATACCTCGCTGCATGTGTGATAAATGTATAGAAAATCTGAAATGTTCAGTCTTTAAATTAAAATATTGGGAAAATGAAGTTTTTCAGGACACTTGAACTTTTATTGAGCTGCACCTGTATTTTTACTATCCTGGGTGAAGTAGGGAGGTAATGTCCCACTGCCTTCAGTTCATCTGTGGCTCGGACTCACACTGAGGTTGGAGGGAAGCCACCAGTCTTTTCATTCTTTGAGCCCTCTTAAACTTTGAATTAATCAACAACTCCAGTTTTCAGCAGACAGCAGAACTAATGTTGGAAGTAGAAAGGCTAATTTACTTGATGACACACACTGGCAAAAATGCTGAATTTGAGGCTTCAGGGTGATAGTCAAGAACAAATGTAAAGCATAACTTGACCTTAAAAATAAGAAGACAACACAGGGTGTCCACAGCTGGAAATGAGAACCTAGCCTCATTCTCAAAGTAGGTCATGTTTGACTGGGATGATTACAAGAAGGCCTTAGGGACAAGAAATATTACATCTGACTTGTCATATGTGGAAAAATTAAGTGAATTTTCGGTGTTCCTTTCAGGTTTAAGCTGAAAATGCAGTGAAATCAACTACCAGGTTCTTCTGATCTGTTCGAATAATCATTATACAATACAAAACCCAATTCCATTGAAGTTGGGAAATTGTGATAAACATAAATGAAAACAGGATACAATGATTTGCAAATCCTTTTCAACATATATTCAATTGAATACACCACAAAGACAAGATATTTAATGTTCAAACTCATAAACTTTATTTATTTTTTGTTGCAAATAATAATTAACTCAGAATTTCATGGCTGCAACACGTGCCAAAGTAGTTGGGACAGGGGCATGTTTACCACTGTGTTAAATCACCTTTCCTTTTAACAACACTAAATAAATGTTTGGAAACTGAGGAGACTAATTGTTGAAGCTTTGAAGGTGGAATTCTTTCCCATTCTTGCTTGATGTACAGCTTCAGTTGTTTAACAGTCCAGGGTCTCTGTTGTCGTATTTTACGCTTCATAATGCGCCACACATTTTCAATGGGAGACAGGTCTGGACTGCAGGCAGGCCAGTCGAGTACCCGCATTCTTTTACTACAAAGTCACACTGTTGTAACGTGTAGAATGTGGCTTGGCATTGTCTTGCTGAAATAAGCAGGGGCATCCATGAAAAAGATGTTGCTTGGATGGCAGCATATGTTGCTCCAAAACCTCTATGTACCTTTCAGCATTAATGTTGCCTTCACAGATGTGTAAGTTACCCATGCCTTGGGCACTAATGCACCCCCATACCATCACAGATGCTGGCTTTTGAACTTTGCATCGATAACAGTCTGGATGGTTCTTTTCCTCTTTTGCCCGGAGGACATGACGTCCACTATTTCCAAAAACAGTTCGAAATGAGAACAATTTGACCACAGAACACTTTCCACTTTGCATCAGTCCATCTTAGATGAGCTCGGGCCCAGAGAAGCCGCAGTGTTTCTGTATGTTGTTGATAAATGGCTTTCACTTCGCATAGTAGAGTTTTAACTTGTACTTACAGATGTAGCGACGAACTGTATTTACTGACAGTGGTTTTCTGAAGTGTTCCTGAGCCCATGTGGTGATATCCTTTACACATTGATGTTGGTTTTTGATACTATGCCGCCTGAGGGATCAAAGGTCACGGGCATTTGATGTTGGTTTCTGGCCGTGCCGCTTACGTGCAGTGATTTCTCCAGATTCTCTGAACCTTTTGATGATATTATGGACCGTAGATGTTGAAATCCCTAAATTCCTTGCAATTGTACTTTGAGAAACGTTGTTCTTAAACTGTTCGACTATTTGCTCATGCAGTTGTTCACAAAGTGGTAAACCTCGCCCCATCCTTGCTTGTGAATGACTGAGAATTTTTGGGGAAGCTGCTTTTGTACCAAATCATGGCACCCACCTGTTCCCAATGAACAGGCAGCCATGACATTCTGAGTTAATTATTATTTGCAAAAAAAAAAACAAAGTTTATGAGTTTGAGCATCAAATATCTTGTCTTTGTAGTGTATTCTATTGAATATAGGTTGAAAAAGATTTGCAAATCATTGTATTCTGTTTTTATTTACGTTTATCACAATTTCCCAACTTCAGTGGAATTGGATTTTTTACTTATAGAGATTGAGAAGTCAATAAGGAATTTACCATCCTGGCATAAGAAAAAAAATGATATTTGTTTTTCAAATCATGACCAACTGTTCTCCTACAATACTCTTTATCAGTTTAGGCAAAGCAGGAGGGATGAAGACCTTTGCTTCAGAGTATGACCCAGTTTTACCATCTCAGGTGGGAATTTACCAAGCTGTAAAAGTTTAAATTTTACCTTAAGTAAAGATTTATTAAACATATGTACAGGGCCAGAGGCTTCCTCACCTCAGGCAGGACAATGAAGGCTCCAGTTATGATGGTCAGGACGATGTTGATCCCAAACAGCCAGCGAAGAAAGATAAAGTAGGATGCCACACCTGACCCAAAGTGACCTCAAGAAAGCAAAAGAAACATCTGACTGAGACAGACTCAGATATCAAACACTTTGACATATTTATGTATCTATTTTTTCCCCTGGAAAGTCTAACTGAACAGATAGATCAAAGCATTTATAATATTTTTTGTATGTATATTGATACTTCCGTAATAACATGTTACCTCCGGATACTTAGCAGAAGGAGCAGCAGAGGAGGCTTTGGAAAATTTAATTAAATCAGGAAAAACAACTCACTCTCAATTTTCTTAATCCTCACTTCCCAGGGAATGAACAGGACCACAATGTTGTAAAGCACTCTGTAAAGTTTCTTCAGCAGCTGCGGGAGGATTAAACAGAGCAACACTAAATATATCTGACCATCCCGAAATGTCTTCACATGGTACCTCCAATGTCACTCTTTCAACCAAAGGGACAAGCTGATCAGTATCTGTCTGAGACGAATACACCAACTGTTAAATCCCAAGTTCTCACCTCACCATCACCATTCCTGACTCCCCTGTCACTCAAGGCCAAGCCACACCCCCAACATTATTAAAGCCAGCCCTCAGGCCTTCTCTTCCTCTTGCAGCCTGACCGTGGATCAGCAGAGAACAAAGGGAGTCTGAATGTGAGTGTAAAATGGACTAAAACCTAACTACATTTTGTATTATTTCTAATATGGTTTATTGTCTAATATTATTTCATTAGATTGCTGTCCAACTAAACCCAAAATTATTGATGATTTAAAGCCTTGAAGTGGATGGATTGATGATATAAGCTAAGTTAACTAATTTACACATTCATTTAACTTTATAAGTCCTTTTTTTGTTTAAATATTTTATGTTGATACACCTTGTTTCTATTTCTTTGATTGTTTGAACAGAAAAAATCATCCACAGAAGATGAAAGAAAATAAAACTTCTAAACTGAATCCTGGATCCTGTGTCTGAATGTTCACTCGGTATAAGATGTTCAGTGAGCCAGCATCGGTTTCACCATAATCTTTTACATGGTCCTTCGAGCCGGAGATAAAATCTATATTGAAAATGGATCCAAATTCAGTTTGGCATGACAGCAGTCAGACTGGAGGAAGGCCTCGAAGAGAGAAAATGCCTCCTAGGTATCTTCAGGATTACCAAACTGAACTTTATGACCAGCCCCCCGAACATTTAAGTCAATGTGCTGAACCTGTTGCAGAAACCTCAGAGACTGCTTCATTGAGACAAGAAGTGGCACAAAGAGCATAATAAAGGACTTACATGAGAGAGTTGAACAGTACGAACATGGTAGGCCTGGACGATATAGAAAAAAAGCATATCGATAAAAAATAAATCATATTGATCGATATCGATAATTATCGATATAATTGTTATAATTATTTAACATATATTTTAATTGCAGCCCTGGATGTTTTATGCTATTGCTTAATGACCTACTTTTAATAAAGAACACACAAGCACTGAATTCAAATTCAAACCTTTATTCAACCACCTTTTTTATTTTACCACAACTGAAAGTTTTTTAAAAAAGAACTAAAAAAAAAAAAAGAAAAGATCCTGAAAAGAATGACGTCAGTAAATACTGACAAACATAAAGACTAAAGTGACCAAAAAATCTGATAAATAAATATTTAAATAGTCTTTTGATGAAAATAAACAAATATATAAATAAACAGAATAGCTTTAGGTGGGAATAGCATACTACCAGTTATAACTGTGTGGGAAACTGCCCACAGCCTGGTGTCCGAACACTGAAATATTTCTCTCGGGGTCGGGAGATTTATTTTTTTTAATTATGTGATTGACTTAATACAAACTAAGCACGAGAAGCAGGACTTATCCACGCCGGTGTTGTGTCGTAGAACGCACCCCTGCCGAATGCACCCCCTGCTAGTAGCCATGATCCAAATACTCGCGTCTTTGTAAAATATGAGCTCATTTTCTTCCACTTTAAGAAGCTACACCGGAACGTATTTCCTCCGCACCCTTCTCAGCTTTTCAACCCCTGACCCATTTTCATGCCTGAAGCGCTGTGTTTGAGAAATACTTGCGGCCGGACACTTCATATCGCGGGTCGAGAGTGGCTAGAGGCTGGTCGAAGCCAGGCTTTTCAACGGTAGTTATTGGCAGTATGTCCCTCGCTATGGAGCATGTTACTGCATGGGTGATGTCCTTATGCCGCTTGGACGCTTTGTCGTATTTTGGCAAGAAACGAAGTCCAGTTTGGTCTGCTTCACATGCTTTGTGCTGGTGCTGGCAGCGGTTCCAGAGGATTCCTCCTCCGACGACGTGGAGCCACGGCGCGGCCGACACAGCTCGTAGGCCTACTCCTGCGGGTGCGATCGGTTTAGATGGTAAAACAAGTTGGTTGTGTTATCAGACTTCGTTTTTACTAATTCTCTGCAAATTTTGCAAACGACCGCTGTTCGCTTTTTGTCAGACTTCTAAAAACCAAAACATTGCCATGCTGGTGAACTACTGAAACCTTTTTTCGGGACAATGTCCTCCGCTTCTCCTTGCTGTATCATTTTTTCTAATACACGTGCTGTCTGTTGTGGTTTGATAGGGGCTGGGCTTGGTGCCGTAGCGTACCTGGGTCTGCGTTTGTGATTGGTTGGGAGGAAGTAATGACTGTAGTAAAAGCTACATGATAGGCTATGATGAAAAAGAAAGGGAAACTGTGTTTTTCTATCGAACTTTTTATCGACCCGTTTTTTTTTCTATCGCACCACACGTCTATCGATCGATATATATTGTTATCGAATTATCGTCCAGCACTAGAACATGGCTACTCAGAAGGAGATTCTGAAGAGGAGTCTCACCTCCTAAAAACTCAATCATCTCCAAATCAACCAGTAACTTCTATCCCAGCCCCTCAATGTGAAAAGTCCATGTCTAAACCCAACTTAACAGAATCAGTACCTGCATTGTCATCTGGAAAAATGTCTGTCTGTTCAGACCCTTTTCCCATAGCTCCCACACTCTCTGCAGCACAATGTGAACCTAAGAGACCTGCTCCTGTTCCACAATTAAGAAATGAGTCTCCAATCCAAGTATCATAAGGTTCACTAACTAATTTGCTATTCCATCAAGCCTATTCTAACCCTGAACCTCAAAGATTTGCCCCCTCAGTGGCCCCGATTACATGGGTAGTTTTCCTCAATCTGATTGAAATCAATCGGATTAAGTGAATCTGATTCCATCTGTATACATGAACTTTAAGTAAAGAGATCCACGTTCAGTCCATGTTTTCATGGCCCCAGCTGAATCCAGTTGTATTGTATTGTATCAATGGGAATTGTTAATAGGAACCATTGTTTTAGTTCCATTTTAGAGTTGCGCATGGACGCGTTTGTGTGTGACACTGCCGGAGTTACCAGACCGAGCAGAGTAAGGAACCCTATGTGTTGAAGTTCAATAAAAGTATAATCCAGCTGGGTTACACAGCAAGTAGTGTACGCTTCGTCATTAGCACGAAACAACACACTTTAACACTCCACCGTCCAGTTTTTCTGTTTGTTCGCCATGTTTGTTTTCGTTGGGGCGCGCTCTGCGTACGTCACTACGTGCCTCTTACGTACTACCGAGCTCCTGCGCAGACCGGACAAGCCTCTCTGTAAACCCAATCCGCTACACTCAGCCGTATATATGGAGCATGGAGCGGATTATCAATCGGTGTAGACTACCTCTTACAATCCGACCCGAAATACAATCAGATCCGAGTGAATCAGATTGGCTAAGGTGTTTATATGAGATATTTTGAATCTGATTAACCTTTCAATCTGATTGTAAATAGGATTTTTGGACCCATGTAAACGGGGCCAGTGTCACGTTCTGGGCCTTTCATACCCACAAGTTCTAGTCCGCCTCCCACTGACCCTCCTTCTACCAGGCCAGTCATCAATCCTCCTTTAACAATAACAGCACACCAACTGCTGACGAGCATCTCAAACTGTTCTATGAGGATAAAAAGGATAAATAAACTATCCTTGAAAATGTCTATCTTCTCACATCTTTATCTTAACTGTCTAACTTTGACTTTGCATTAACTCTTGAAAGGCCTCAGTTCAAATCCACTCTGTACGTAATGTTAAGAAGTTAAAGTAAAGCCAAAAGGGAAATAAGATGAATCAAATCAAAAATGAAAAGCATCCACTGAGACAACAGGCTGCTGGATTGCTAGATTACGTTTTCGCACCAGAGCCAAGTTATACATGAAATAAGTAGGCGCCTATTTTTCTGAAAAGGGAAATATGTGGTCTAGAATCAAACCTGAGCCTCCAGGATAGACTGTAGTTGAGCTGTATCCTGACAGAGTCTCATTTACACTGCACTGCTCAGGATGTTTACTGCTGCACATGTCTATGTGCTGCACTGAGAACAGAACCACTTGGACTGAGAAGATTAATGACAAAAATTTTAATCACTTTAAGGTGAGATTAGCTGCACCAATGATTCAGATTTTTAATTAACTGGGAACTAAAAAAGTTAATAACTCATCAGCAGACATACTAAAGTGGATATATTCTAATTGGGGCCTGAGCACCCTGAACATTTTAATTAAACAGAGCTATATTAACAGGCTATAAATTCACTCATGTGTGCATGCTACAGCTGTACAGCTCCCCTCTTCTATCAGAATATGTGAGACTTTGATGCTGATAGGCAAAGATGGTCTTTTCTACAGGATGTTTGTGCTCAGTCTGAATTAAGAGAAAAGCTGTGATTCATTTGAGCTCAGCAGCAGCCTGAACAATAAGCATTGGATATGTTTTATTATTCTGGCTCTAATCATCAAGTTACTGCAGTGCAGAGAAATAACACAGAGGCTCCTCTCAGTATACAGTTGGACAGAATAAATGGAGTTCAAGCTGGGTAGTTTGGTGAAGCTGCTGGCAGTGACACAGGGCAGGAAAAATCCTTCAGAACCATCTCTGATGTTTATGTTGTCTCTTTTGCAGCTTGTTTATTTTGAATCAGCTCTATTCAGCTCTGGCACATCTCTGCAAAACTTTAGTTAATGTCAATACATGCAAGAGAAAACTACAATAAAAGAGGGATGTGCACTTACATCAGCTCCTGCAGTCTGGTAACCTCTGGTTCTGGTCAGGCGGCCCTCGTACTTCAGAACTATTTCTCTGGCCTGTCTGGAAAGCAAAGACACAGGTGTAAACCAGTCATGACTAGTAACTCTTTATTGATACCGATACTATTATCAAGACTCTTTAATTGTGCAAGTCCTTATCGAGTCTTTTCTATGATTATTTTTTAAGTGTAGTATTTTTTGTCATATTTTTTTTTGGTGTGACAGAGGGTACGTTGCTCCTGTTATTGAAAGTATTTAGTTTTAACTTGTTGCGTCTTTGTAATGTAGAGCAGACTGGAGAGTCTGACAGAGGCTCAACAAAAATAATTATTAACGTCACCAAACGGTGTGTTGCTGCCCCTGAGGCACATTTTTATGGATTTCTATTGGATTTTTATCACTGATTAAATAGCAAGAGCACTTTCTAAACTTATACTTTACATGTCAGAATCCATGGATAAGGTCCTGTCTCCTCTGTACAGCACCTTTGTGGAGTCTCTACTCGTTAGTGTTCTCCGGGCATCGGGTCCTCACGTTGCACCGGCACAGCCAACGGCATTCCATTCTCCCGTGCAACATTGTGCAAAACTGTACTGGCCCAAATGATGTCCCACACCCTTTCAGGAGTGTACAACAACGTCCCCGCTGCTGGGCCAAGACAGAGACACCTGCCTTCTATGAGTCAAACGCAGCGCTCTACAGTGGCGCGTGTGCGTAATGTTAAAACGGCGCTCCTGCTCTGTGGCAGTGTTTGTGGGCAGGGTTATCAAATAGGCCTATTCACTAAGGACATAACAAATTTATATTATTTTATTTATGACTTAATCTTTAATGAAATCTGGCTGATTGTGCTTAGTGGTATGTTTGAGGTTTGTTTATCAGTTATTCTGAGACAGATATTTGCAGCACCACAAATCTGCACTGTGAGACCTGTCGTGAGATTTGGTCGTAGCGTACGCTCACGTGCAGATTGATAAATGTCGATCCTTCCTTGAGTGGAAATGGTCGGACAGACAGTTTTCTGCCTTACGTTCGTTTGATTAATGAGGGCCATTGTGTTTGCTGGTAGTCTGTTGGCATCTATAGTAGCACCAATGCTTTTTACTTTCATATTGATTGGGCCCCATTTGTAATTATCTGAAGTATTTATCTGCATTATATCTGAATTTAATTGAAACGATACGAGTGAGCAGGAGTGTCTGTTTGTGGGCGGGGCTTGCTGGAGCAGAGAAGGAGGGGAGAGGAGGAGCTGAGGGGAAAACTGTTTGGAAGGGGTAGAGTTTACATTCAAGATTTCTCCCCAAAACTGGAACTTCCTCAAATCCTACCTTCCCCACCTTTAAGGTTCCTCTTTGTGAGAAATTATTTTCCATTATAAATTCCATTTCTCTTCATCCCAGTCTTCAGCTTTGGTATCATGTAGCCACCCTTTGGACCTCAGCCACCACGCAACAGACCACCAAAATTCCTCTTTACGTATTTTTATAACTATTTGCAGTCAAACACTTTTATTAGACACTCTATTTGTGTCTGTGTGTGCCGTTGATTTAATTAACAGAGGCAACTGAACTGAAAGTATGAAATTACCTCATGGGACCAGATAGCAGACTCGATAAGCTCAAACATTGATTTTCAGGTTTTGACAAATGCTTTATCAGTTATTTCATGGACCAAATCCTCATCCCTAGTCATAAACACATCTGCATACTTATATTATGGGCCTCAGTCACTCTGTGGTGAATACAGACCCTCTGACCTTTTTTCTGTGCTTGCTAGGATGGACGAGGGCAAGACCTGAGTAGAGATCCCTGGTAAAAATAACTTCTGCCTTTCAGGAATGGATGGTTGATCTTATTCTTACAGTTACTGTCATTATTATTTTGTTACATGTATGCTGCATTTCCTGTATAAGCCTGTTATGAGGTCCAATTTTCCTCATGTTATAAACAGTGTATTTGTTACACACTGAGAATTATGGTCTAAGCACTGATGAATATGCCGTTCAAACCTCAGTCATCCTAAAGCAGTCAAAGCAGACAGAACACATTTATCATACCCATCAGGCACTAAAGACTCGATAGTGAACTTGGCTGGTTCTGTTTCCTGGAATGAAGACGGATCAAAGGGTGATGAACCATTTCACCTTGCACTACACGGTCCAATGACAAGCAACTGAAGCAGCTAGATTCATTTTGCATCACTAAGGCTGAGGTCTGGGGTCAGAGCTTTAACTTTGACACTGATTCTGAAAGTCGTCTAAATCACAGTAAAGAGCAGAGATTTGTGATGTTAAATATGAGCTGTTATTGCAGTGGGACTAATCTCATACATTCAGACTGAGATTAAAGAGAGTGTAAAAATGCAGACTTGCATCTTGCACTTGATGATGGTAATAAAACCTCTGCAGGAATAACAAACTGCCCATATAAAACCTGTTAACCATGGCACATACTCAGCACATCTAAGCACCTCTGTAACTACTCTGCTTTTCTCTGTCTGCCCTGTTTTCTGTCAGGTACAACATCGACATCATCTTCAGTTGTCTGTTTTCAGCTTCAACTTGCTAGTTAAGTTAACAAAAAGGAAGCAGGATAGAGATTGTGAAATTTGGGCTTTCAATCTCAATTCAGCTAGTCACACATGTGGCTTGAATTTAGCTCCATCAGGATGAGAGCGCATAGAACAGCTCTGTGCAGCAGGGCAGGAAGAAGGTTACAGTTTGAGCAAAGTGCACAGAGCTGCAGAACTTAATCAGTGTTTTAAATGTCATAAATGCAGTTTGTTTTGTGAGTTAAGACAGAGCAGAAAAAGGGGACAAATGTTGCAAAATTATTTGTGTGACTCAACAGAATTTGAACTCATGGCTACAACAAGATGAAAAAAAGACTTTAGAAATGTAAATCCACTCTTAAGTATTAGGTATTTATAAGAGACTAAAATGCCCATGGTGACATGCAGAGTGCAGCGATCCAATGTCAATGAGTTGATTAAACTAAGCAAAGACACTGGTACTGCAATATTTTGCAGTTCATTTTGGGTGAGAGCTGCCTCAAACCGGTAACAAACAGTATGTTGTATTTGTGTCATTTCCTCATGGGAAGTGATCATGAGGGCCCTTCCCATGGCTGTGGTTTGATGACAGATTATAAGCAGTCCATGTCCATGACACTAATTCAAGTGCCTCATTGATATATTCCAGCACCTCAGTCTTGATGCACATATCTCAGGGAATCTGACGGGCTCAGGTTTCACATATATACACAGTGTAAGATAGTGTGTGTGTGTGTGTGTGTGTGTGTGTGTGTGGTGTGTTCAAAAGCAGAAGAGGACAGAGGGTGTTATTCCAGCTCTTCAACAATAAAACAAAACAGGCGATGCGGTACTTAAGAACTTTGAGCTTGCGTCTCATTGGCCAGGGTCGGGTTCGAATATTGGCGATGATCTCTTTCTGGTACTGAATGTTCTGAAACAGCTCCTCTGGGTCGTTGCTGTCCACCCTCTCGTCCCCTTTGTCTTCCTCATCAGACGAGCTGGGGACACAACCAATAATGACTGGGGTTATAGAGACTAAAGATGCTATCAGGTGCAGCTGCAGCCTGTTAAATCTGATGTTGTGTCTCTTTGTTCGTCTCTCTGCCTGTGAGCTCAGTACTGCAGCAGGGAATCCCAACATGAGCTTAGTTCTGCTCAGGGTTTCTGCCTGTTGAAGGACATTTATCTTTGCCACTACTTGTTAAATGTTGCCACATGCAAAAGACAATCTTTCAGCTATGATATTATTTGTCTGAAAAAATTGCACTGCACAGCGGAGACAATCAGTAAGGTTCCTAAAATGAGCAAGACGCTGTTGACTTTTACAAAGCAGAGCACAGCAGCTTAATGTCATTAACTATTAAAATGTCTGATTGTGCTGCAGTATCCAACAGGATCTAATTATAAGGTCATGTGTGGGTAACATCAAAGAAAGGTAGGTTGTACATCTGTATGCACTTTTGCAGCTGAATCACATGGATCTATCGCGTGCACAATGGACACTGAACAGCATATGGACCAATATATTGAGCCTGTTAATGCTAATTTGAAATAAACAATATTAGTCTACCACAGTAGGACAATCTGTAATTATGATGAGGACATAATTATTATGATACTGGCAGGAATGTTGGAAGATTGTAGAAAAATGACCCCTCACTTGTACAGCTTGCTTGTAATCTTCCAGTTTGTTATCCTATAAATTAACCAGTTTCCCTGTATCAGCACATGCACTGATATTTTCTAATGCAGCACCCCTATGACAGCCAGCTAGACACCAGGTTCTCACCAGCTTTTGCTTTCTGACATTTCAAGTAGAAATATTTTTTTAAGCTCTGGCATTGCAGTTCATCAAGCCCCTGAATATGGTGACCAGGGAAAATTTGAGGGCTGTGTTATAAATGAATATAAAAAAAGTGCAGACAATAACACATGTAAGTGCTTTGCTAATTAACTATTGACCTAACTTGACATCTGAATTTAACAGTGAACAACGTGTGGTCTATAATAAAAAAAGGAAAGTGTTTCAAACTCCACTCAGCTGTCACTTCTCAGTAAAAAAATCAGGTGTGAGGATCTGCTGTAAGAGAAAAAAAATATTGGTGCAAAAAAGCACAAAATGTTAAGAGTTTATTGTAAATTGTAAATCTGGATAAAAGAGAATTTGTAGAAGTGAATGTAAATTATAAGAGTGGAATTCTTATTCTATTTATGAGTTGCAACAATTTTTACTGCTGCAGTCATAACAATAATTATTCTTATAACCATCATTATAGAGGTATTAGCATTGTTGCTGTATTATCAATATTAATATTGACATATTAATATTAATATTACAGTGTTATCATTGGTAATTGTAGCATTTTCTTTATACGTAAAAGTTGTGTTTATGAATACTTACAGTGGTTAAAATAGTCAGTCATCATAAATAAACTGCATTTGGAAGTTTCTGCACCAACAGTCGATGGCAAAACAGGAACCCTTCATCTTGCTGATTTTTATTTATTTATTTATTTATTTTTTGTGTGAGAATTTATATGTTCTGAATCATATTACAGTAAACTGATGATAATACAGAGTCCCTTTGGTAAATCCTACATGTACCGGTAATTATTACACCTGCAGCATCAGCCTGGCTTTAACACTGCATTCAACAAAGGTGGAAGCACACTTATAAAGGTTACACATGCATCATAACTGTATGATTTGAAGATCATAAACCCTGGTCCTGTCTATAATATTATCCATTAAATCAGGTGGAAGATTAAGGGATTAAAAAAAGATGTACACGCATGACAAAAGATCAGTGACTGAATTTTAAAATAAGACAAGACAGTCACAGGTTCATAAGGATAAAAAATCAAAAATACTTTTTTTTTTCTATGTAGGACAGCAGGCACTACATTTTGAATTACATTTAAGACATTTGGGAAAGAAAGCACAACACACCGGAAACTCTTTGTAGTTTTCCCTGGTTATTAGATTTAGTAAATGACCAACTACAGCCTACAGGATGTCCTTTAAGGCTCAGTGTAATGACAACTAATAAGAGTAAGAGACGGACAGTGACAAAGAGACAGATATCCTCTTCAAGGAAAATTGATCAACTGGGAAAAGAGAAAAACTGGAAAAGCTCACCCCCCCTGGTGGTCCTGAAAAGCTGAATAAATCCTTCGAGAGTTCTTCCTGATACTTTTGTGTCTCCTGGCTGCAGACAGAGACCTGCTGCTCCCGACCAAAGGCTCAGACACTGTAGCCATGCTGTCCCTGCTCAGTGTGAGTGTGCACTGCAAACCAGGCAGAATAAGTACACAGGGGTGTCTGTGCCCTCCCCCCTACTGCCCACTGCTCCTGAACCCCCTCAGTGCATCAGACACTACAGCACAGTAGAGACAGAAACACACACTCATGAGTCTAATCAAAGCTAACTGACTCCTTAAAGGAACAGCGCCAAACAGCTGGCAAATACAGCAGGTACTTTAAAATACTATCTCTCATCTAACCTGTTCAAGGCTTTTTCTTGAGGCCAGACTGTCAGACCATCGTATTTATAACATCTTATTATGAGTTCAATTTTATTCAAAAGTCATCGCAGTTGCTTTTGATGGATCCAACTGCATAAAGGTATCACAAGAAAGACTATATTTCTTATAACACTCCACCGGAGCGTCATGGTTTGATGATGTGCGAAAAAATGTAATAACTAAGTTTTATTCTCAGAGCTTAATAAATGTGCTCAGCACATTAACTCCAAGCTTCAAGTTGTGTCTTCCAAAAATGTTACCTGGGATTTTAACAGTCCTGCCACAGCAAAGAGTTCGTAAGAACATGCATACTTTCTCAGTTTAGGAGCATGAATAACAACACCAAATGTATCTGGCAGAAAAGGTTGGGCTATTTTGTTAGTTTGGTTCATTTTTATTAGTTTTAGTTAAGCAGACATAGGGCTTTATTTTGCTACATAAACTGAGTGTGTGCCATATAGTCACTTGGCTACTGTGTCTGTGCATTATTATGGATGCTCAGAGACAGCAGTAAACCTAGCAGATGTCTCCATTTTAATTGGTAGCTGTTTGACTAGACACAAAGGAGCACTTCCAATCTCTGTGTCTTTGTTCACAGTGTCCATTCACAGCTCATGCCTTCAGATTACAAATTCAGTGATCAGGTGAACAGACCCCCAAATGAGTCACAAGGTCAGAGTTTAGGCAGGAGGCCTGCTGGAGAATACATCTGTGCCCTGCCTTTGACTTCTCCTTTATTCATTGTTTTATTTATCACTGGCTCTGGACATTGATGGCAGGCAGCTATATCCAAGAGGTAATGTATCTAATTCTCTGTCCATCCATCTGTTCATCTCTCTATCTGTCAGCCATGTTGCCTTGGACTCAGCAGCTCAAAAATACCTGAATGAAAAAGCTTCATATTTCCAGTTCTCAAAGTGTTTCAGAATTGATCCCAACATATTATTGATTTTGAGTAAGCCTCTATGTGCACTATTTTTAACCATTCATACCTGTAATTAGATTAAGACCTTCAGGGGGAGGACTTTCATCTGTTGCAGAGAACTGGCCAAAAACAGAGGCTGGTGGGCTTGGCCCATCTCTCTCTGTCTTTATCTCCCTCTATCAGTCTCTCCTCTGTCCATCTCTCTCTTTCTCCATCTCCTACTCTCTCCTCTCTAAACCCAGCTTAGTCACAGCAGATAACTGTCTGACATCAGTCTGGTTCTGCTCCAGGTTTCTGCCTGTTGAAGGAAGTTCTTCCTCTCTACTGTAACTCTCTAAATGCTGTAAAGTGTTTTACTCACGTGGTTGAAGATTGGATGGGAGTTGGTCTGATCTTACAGGATGGGGCTCAGTCTAATCCCATCTTTACACTGGGTCTTTGTAAACAGAGTCTGGTCTAGACCAACTTTTTTGTTTAGCATCTGGGGTTAAAGCTTGTGAATTGTATCTATGTAAATAATGACTGATTGCCAAAGTTGTTTCCATGTTAAACAGTTTTTATGAACCAGTTTTCCTCTCTGGGTGCATTTTAATAATTTAGATTGAAAGGTCAAATATACTCCAAAAGTTCATTTCAAAAAGTGAAATAATGATAAAGTCTATTCTAGACTCATGATATAATAACAAAAATGTGTCCAGCTTTTTCCATTGAATGAAGATAGTTATGGCTTACAGCTCAAAAATCGCAAAAACACACATCTAAAAATATTAGAATTTAGAGTTTGAAAAAATTACTATTTAAACATGACATGGACTAGAGGGAAGTATTGTGGTAGAAAGGGTGTGCAAGCAAAAGGGGATGACTGCAGCATTGAGAGGATTGTCAAAAGTTGATTCAAGACCTTCAGGGAGTTTCAATGGCCTGTGGTGATTTTGAGTGCTATGTCAACTACTGGTGTGGATCCAGTGTGCTATATTAAGTCAGTTGGACATCAGGAAACTTCAGCATCATTAGTCCATCTGCTGGCAAGCTTTATGGAGATAATGCTTTTCCAGCAGGACTTAGCACCTGCCCACAGCACCAAAACTCATACCAAATGGTTTGGTCACAATGACATTGCTATGTTTAATTAGTCAGCCTGCTCCCCTGAACTAAACACCACATAGACACTGTGAGGCAGTTGTGGAGAGGAAGATGGGAAACAAAGCTGGAGGCCACTGTTAAGGTGGCCCAGGCTTCAGTAACACCTGAGCAGTGCCACAAGCTGACCATCTCCGTGCAACACCTTATTGTAAAGGAGACCTGACCAAGTGCTGAGTGTATCACATATCATACTTTCAGAAGAAGCCATGTTTGTATTCTAAAATGATTGAAATGATGTTTTTAAACACTGGATTTATTGTTTCATTGGCCAAAATTATCTCAATTTAAACAACAAGAACAAGTGACATGTCATAAATATTTGAATATGTTAATGAGTAAAAAACAGGTCAACTGGATCATCTACGTTTCTTAGAAAAGCAGTTTTGAGTTGAATGCCTTTGACTTACAGTATGTTTTCAGGGAGGAGCAGACATGTGGACATCTTAACCTGTAACCTTCTTTGAAAGCACTCATTCAGCTAAGTCCTTTAGTAGCAGCCTTTACTTAATGTTTAATGTCCTTAGTGTCCTGCCGATGGGAATCTCTAGGAGGAGAGGATTTTTCAGGTGCTATTGCCACATATCTCAAGTCTTAATGTTTGCTGTTGCTTTTACCATGTATGTAAGTAGAGCCTCTCATTGCAGTTTGGCAGATTCGAGAGCCACACTTGCTTTGTATCCCCTTCCACTAGCAAGGTGACATAGCTGAGTGTCCGTTGTCTATCTGCTATCTATTATTCTACTGCCTAAAATTGTTGATTTGATTTTACAGCCTCATGTCAATATAATTCCAGATAAATTCCTTGGAGGGGGCAATTTATTGTAAAGAGTATTTTTCCTGCGAAAGCGATATGATGAGAGCCCTGCTCAGAGTGCTGTTTGTTTCTAAAATAGAAAGCCAGCATCATATTGACCTGTGGAAATCACATTATTTCTTTGCCACTGTCTTGTCAGCTCCAGTTTATCTCTCACAGGACTTGGACCAAAAATTGTTACCTGAAAACTGATCATGTCTGAATTTGACAAGTCATTAACAGCTTTTGAATTTTTATTGTTACAATGTCCAATTCACAATATTTGCATAATGTAATGTTGTATATCCTGTATCTTTAAAATTACACACACACACACACACACATACGCACGCGCACACACACACACACACACACACACACACACACACACACACTATAAAATGTTTTACATTTTGAATTTTTTTTTTTTCAATTCATTTTTATCTATACCGCACCAGTCTCATGTTGGACAGACGTCTGCTGCCATTGTGTCCGGTGAAGGCTGAAATGAACTGTGATTGAACAGAAGTGGCCCATTCTGGATCTCATTGCAGCCTTTGACTCAACGGATCACAGCGTTCATTCAGACTGTCTGAGGCACTAGGTGAGGATAACAGGCCCTGATTTGGATCAGTTTTTTTCTTACCTAACATGTATTTGTATAACTCAGTTAAGTATGATGAGCCACAGGGGTTTGTTTTAGGACTGCTTTTATTTTCTTTGTGCATTTTTCCTCTGGTGTACATAATAGAGAGAGATACCTCACTTTTATGCTGATGAAGCACTGCTGTACCTGTAAAACAAATTTTGCCATCTGCCAGTTTTCTTGTGGATCTCATCGAGCCCACTGTAAGGCACCTTGGCATCTGGTTTGACAGTAGTCTGAATTTTTAGCACACAACGAAACTTGTATACTATGCTGGGCAGGGTTACTGTACCAGCACACCACCAATCTCAATTAAAAAACCCTTTTACAGACTTCAGATAGGGCAGACTACATCTGCTCGGGTTTTTATCCAGATCATTCTACCTCTATGTAACATTTAGTGTGTCATGATCCAGGGGCCTCATTTATAAAGCTTGCTTACGCACAAAACCTAGCTTAAAAGTGCTTACGCCATTCTTACGCAAGAGTTGGGATTTATAAAAAAAAAAAACCTACCGTAGGAATGTGCGCAACTTTAAGCAAACTCCACACCTTGCTTACGCACTTTTTGGAGACAATTGGAGCAAGGTGAGAACAATTTGTTAATGGAAAGCGCGTGTATAAAAAGCCATACAGTGACAGTCATGCGCAATGCAGCACAATGGATGCACTTGCGCTTCTCGAAGACCTCGCCAATGGACAGATCCGGCTGGAGAGGGTGTTCCAAGATCGGGAAGATTTCCTGGCTCAATATTGGGTCCTGGCCTTTTGTACACGTAACATAGTGGGTAAAATAGAACAACAAAAACACAAAGTTGAATGAAGTTAAATAAATTCAGAAGGCTGGTGCATTTTATCATGAAAGTCTTTTTATGTATCAGAGTTGATGCCGAGTTGTTGTTTTTTTTTTTTTATTATTGTTATCGAGGTGCACTCCTGAAGTGGACTGGATATCCTCCTGTGATGGATGAAATAGAATCATGAGGTAGAAACAATACTAAGTACCAAGTTGAGTAACAACTACCAAAAAAAAAAAAACTCTGGTTACATAATGGTGTTTTATATACAAAAAAAAAACAAAAAACTACTGGATTCACTTTACCCGAGTATCGAGTATGGCGCTTGTTAGAGGCGTAGAGCAGATTTGGCGAGTATCTTTAGCAGAGCAGCGCGTCGAGAAGAAGCAGAGACGAAGTATTAACACTTGGGGTGTGTGATGCTACATTCATTATAATGGGAACATATTTGCTGCGTAGTACGTGACGCTTATGGAACACTCTCATCACGGATCCTGTTCAATATTAAGTTTCACTTTTGTAACAGGTCTCTGGTGACTGAAATCCAATCGTTTTCTGACTGAGTAAAGCATTTATAAACTCTTTTTTTTTCTTTCTTAGATTTAATAACCCTGCTCCTGTGATCCCTTCATTAAATTGAGGAGAAGACCCTATTGCTGGTAGGAGGACTGATTATAACAGCAAAGTTTAAATTTGCTCTGCAGAAATTCAGACGTCAATATTTGTCTTTTGCTCCGTGTATGTGCATATATGCTTGTGTCATTGTGTGAGAGGAGGTATGGTTGCTTCCTGATTCAGCTTTGTTCAAGTCAGAGTGTGTTAGACGGTGAAGTGCTGTGTGGATGAAACCCACATGTGACCTCTTTTAAAGGACTAAAGCAAGGGGTTTTTGTGCTCTTGCTTAAACTCCTGGTCCAAATCTGATGTCTGAGGTGGTTGTTTTATGAACAGAGTTAATATTTCTTTGTTAGATTTTTACTATCGAACCTCTGAGAAGACTTTTAGACTCCTGACCAGAACTTTACAAGTCTTGAGATGATTGATTTGTTCATAAGAAGAAAAAGGTCTGTTGACCAAATGTCAATGTAAAGAGCAAAACTGTGGGTTACGAAAGGGTGTCAATGAAACATGTTGAAGCCAAAGAGGAACTCATCACACTGAAAGTGTGAAAGGGAGCAAAGTCCAGCTCAGCTTTTGTTAGGACTTGTGTCATGCAGTCACTGTTTAAACTTCATATGCACAGTAAGGACATAAAAACAGGTTTAAAATACAAAGTCCACCTCAGTTAGTATTGATAACAAATGTCTAAACTTCAGTCTCACAGTGACAGTAAAATTTGACTTTATTTTATGGTCCTGAATTGGAATTTAGCTTTGCCCACTCAGAGGAGAAAAAGCAGGTCATAAGTGGAATCTTCAGTCTGGTTTAACACTGTATAATAAGTAGTTTTGTATAATCACTGCATGAATGTTTCCTCTGTTTTCAGTCCGGATGAAGTTTTTACTTTGACCTCAGATCTCAGTGAGATTGTATCCAGCCAGAGAAAACCATAAACCTGCACGGTGAGATGAGAGTCAAACCTGGATCAGCTGCAACAGTGCTGGTAAAACATCTTGTTAAAGAAAGCTTTCAACACCTTTGAGGCAGCTGCTTTCTTATATCCAGGTATAAACCTGGATATGAGAAAGCAACTGCCATTCAAAAATAAAAAAAAGTCTGTGAACCCCTGAAGGGATTTTTCTGCACAAAGTCTGCAGGGGACAGCTGTGCAGAAGCAAAGAGACAACAAACCTGCAAACCAGGAGAATACATCAGTCAGGAGGGTTAGTTATTAACATGGTTTCTGCAGATTCACAGTGATTTAGTTTATGATGAGACAGTCTGTCTGACTGTGCTTTTCCTGCAGCCCTGTACTCTTACAGAAAGAAAGTACACAAAATACACACTCTTTTCTCAAATTATCTTTTCTGTTTGCTGAACTGTAAGGCTTTAAACAGTGTTTAATAAATCAGAGTGAATAATAGTTGTTGTGAGTTTGAAGAGGATGGTGAAGGTGTGACTGAAACAGGAGAAGCTGAACAGTGTTCAGCAGAAAGTGAAAGATTGGCTAAAGTTTTTCAGATTCATGAAGATTTTACTGATGACGTAAGGAAAATATTTTAAACAGATTTTCTCATTGACTTTAAATCCAGAATTTTTACTTAACGGTGAGAAATATTTTTATAAATGTAATTATGAGAGAAAATCATGTCTTAAATATCATTTACTGAAAAATATAAAAGAAAAATATTCTGTGTTTGTGCAGAAAGCTCTGTGTCAGACACTGTGTGCTCTCCCTGTTCTGCTGGATCATTTTCTGAAGGGACGTTTACATCTTGTCGTCCACACACACAGTGAGTGAAGCTTCACATCAGACATGGACACACCTGAATTCTTCTTCCAGCAGCAGAGAATTCATCGGATCCTCCAGATGTTCCTGTAATAAATGTTCCCCCTATCATTACAGATGTGAAGATCTGTATCAAGAGCTGCTGAGAGCAGGAACTGAGTCTGCAGATGCTAAGTGTGGCAGACTAAGTACTAGCCATCAAATATCTTTTTAGCTTTGTCTGATTTCTTTAGCAAAGAGACTAAACACAACTCATCCACTCTCCACCAGCCGCCGCTTGTTTGTGGGGGAGCCCTGACGTGTCCATCATGGAGTGCAGCAGAGTTTTGCAGCTTAAGGAAGAACATTTATGATCATGTCCTCATGAAAATGCAATCAGACCAAGACACTAAGGCAGAAGAACTACCGCATCTGCAGCGCAAAATGTTTATTATGATGATTATTACTTCATGGAAATGATCCACTGCACTCTGTGATCGACTCATCAAGGCTCCCCCACAAACAAGCGGCTGCTGGAGGAGAGTGGGTGAGTTGTGTTTGGTCTCTTTGCCAAAGAAATTAGGTGAAGCTAAAAAGATGTTTGATGGCTAGTACTTTCGCTGGGCCCCTATATGTACTGTTGATGAAGTTAGGTGCTGTTCTGAGCATTATTTGTGGCTATAGAGTGGTGTTTGGTTTGAGGTGTGCCACACGTGGGGACATAGACCGCCGTGTATTGCTATCACGCAGTCGTTACTAAAGTTGGTATAACTAGAGAAGCAAGCAGTCGCCAACATTTATCTCTCGAGGGGTTGTCTAACTCGGTGTTAAGGTGTGTTTGACCCTAAATTAATTTTACGCCAGAGTATCCCTGTAAGTTCATTGATTCAACTGTTTTCCTCTTTTTTCCACAGTACAGACAAACAAAAAAACCTAAGCAGGTATGCTTTTTATTGTTATTACTGTTTGTTTATAATAGTTACTGTGTAAATGGACAGTGATAACAATAATTTAACAATCTCAATAATTGAACATATCCATATTCCCCTCTGTGAAATATCAGGATAAGAAAACACCACCTGAAAAGAAGCAGCAGGTCAGACAGTTCTTTGTTTAAATGTCCACTGACTGAGATAAACTCTTATGCCTTTACAACGTGCACAATGTTTCTGTTTAAAACAGATCTTTGTTTTCTCAGGTGTGATGATAGTTAATACTGAACACCTGCACACTGAATGTCTTCAAAGATCCAGATCCAGTTGTGATCCAGTTGACTAAAAACACAAAATAGTCCAAAAACAGCCAAACTCAGTCTGGATCATCCCTCTATGATCTATAATGTCTCTGCATGGATACTGAGGTCGGCCTTGGACAAAAGCAGTGAACTGCAGCAGGTTTCTGAGTTAGTACCAGTTACAGGCTCAGTTCACAACTGGATATCTGAACCTGGACTTGATCTGTAAGTAACTGGAACAATCATCTGGATCAGAGGACAGATTCATGGATTTCTGACAGGATCTATTGTTCATATCATTCTACTGAGAATATGTTACTCCTTTAACTTTGTGTTTATTCATTTAAAGGGTTTTAAAGTGTAAAGATCTCTGTGTGGCAGTCTTTTGTCTTTAAACAATACCACGCTAATGTTTACTAATTACATCTTTCTTTTAAGTCATTTTCACTTTTCAGAAATATCTCTCCAGTGTCACCACTCTGACACCAATCATTGATTTTGGACCTTCATGTGGAAAACTTCATGTTGACCAAGTTTAGATAAGATAATAGTAAAAATAAGAAAGATACAGAGCCTAAGAAACCAGTAAGAAGACTAATCACTGAGGCATGAATGTGGAACTGGTTTGAAGTATTGTGGTGCAGAAACAACTACACTTCCATCAGTTTGGACATCTGAATCATTTATGTGAGCTCTAATCTGTTCTCTTTGGGATTTCTGAGGCTTCTATGTCTATTAAATTTATCATCTGAACAGAGGTAACTTTTGGATTTCAGTCCAAAATATCAAAATATCACATGCCAAGCTGTTTACTAATGACAAACAAAAGAAGAAGAAATGCACAAAAATTAACTCCAATAATCAGACCACTGTGTCCACCTGTGTCAGTTAGTAACCCAGATAAGTGCTCTCAGAGGGCTCTCCACAGCGCCTCTCAGTGGTGACAAAACAAAACAAAACATAATCCCAGCACCAGTGCACCCGGCACTTACCAAGCAGTTCTCAGCTCTCTCCCCAGGAAACATTCACACCTGGGACCACATGACACAGGTGGCATGAGTCATGTGGTCACATGACAGGGGTTGTTAACAACCCTTTCAGTTTAACGACTTGGTGGGGGTGGGGGTGGATAAATATGTGCTCCTCACACTAGCAATTTTAGAACTGAAGAAGCTTCTTGGATAAGAGGCGAAACGTCTGCTCAACTCCACACAGTCCAGTTGCCTGTTTTTAAGTCTTCAAGAAAACCATGACCTGGATGAATGAGAATCTACATGGACACACTGGGAGTAAGGTGGGTTAAGTGTCTTGCCCAAGGACACAGCGGATAGACTCAGGACAGGGGGGAATTGAACTGCCAACCGTCCAGTTAGTAGATAACCGTGATACCTCCTGAGCTACTGCTGCTCACAAAGTAACAGTAACTCAATATGACACAAGTACAGAACAAGCAAACAATTTATTAAGTTTAACTCAACAGAGTAACAAATGCAAAAACATTTCAAGCCTAACATTTTTATAAAAAAAACTCAAACACATGTCTCTTACCTCATATGTTAATGCTGACAATATTTCCCTCTTTGTCAAACAACAAAAATAAAACATTGTGTGACTCAACTGAAAATTTAGCCTAAAAATATACAAACTCTTGCACACTGTTTTTCTCAAAATAGAGGAGAAAATTTCTTTATTCTTGGTAAAAAAGGAAAAAAATATTTACCTAAACAGGATTAAAGCAGAGGTGAAGTGCAGTAAAAAACTATGACATCAATTGTTTAAAACACTTTAAGTTGAACACTGCCATTTTAAACATGAGACACTTGTTTACGAAATGTCCTGTTTTGTGCATGCAAGCTGACAATGTTATTGTCAGTGGGAAAACTTTAACATCCTACTCAAGTTGATTTCTTGAAGCCTGGAACTTAGGTTTCAGCCTCCTCTTCATTCACGACTGCCACCAGAGCCACTGCTGCTTTTGTTGCCACCGATGCATCTTAAAAATAGATGACATGGTTAACATGACCAGAATTAATGATAAAAAAATAAACACCATGCAAGTAAGCAATATCAAAACATTAAGTCAATTTTATGGTCAAAAGTGTCATCTTTAAGATGGTATGTCAAAATCGTGAGATGAAGTTATAATTTAGTATCTACATTTAAACCTTTGACCTCATAAATTTGACATATTTTCCCATAATTTAGACTTAATATATCATAACTATTACTCATATTTTTGACTTTCTTATATCTTAAAATAGCAACTTACTTTGAATATAAAACCAATCTGAGTATATTAGGGGCCAAAATTATTGTCGAACAGCAGTCCCACTTCCCTCCATGGTTCAATTGAACTAGGGAATGGCATTTGTCAAAGGCGCAGCGGGATTTCCTACCCACGCTAATAGGGCTTACACTTTCAGCTAATCAGCTTGAAAGAGTTCATGTAACAAACTTTTAATGTTTTACAAGTAGTCGTAATGCTCTACAATTTTATGAATACTCAAAACAACTTAGTTGACACCTCAGTTTTTAACTTTCAAGTAAGGTCAACTTTATAGGGATGAGTGACTGTAACATTTTTTGAGTTTTAAGTTGTTTGAACTTATTTTGTTTATTGAAATACACTGTTAGGTTTTACGGTGTAGTTAATATTCAGAAAATGAACACTACCTCCAGTGTTATTCTTTAAAAGGGTCATTTGGAACGGTGATGAAATGAAAATCAAATAAAAGAAAAAAGTGATCTAACACTGGAATTAAAACTTGTCTTTCAAACTTTGCATGTCACCGAACCAGTAATGCTCGATAAGGCTAAATCATCACAAGGGTAAATATCAAATTTGATCCTTTTGAGGGGTCGTATTTACCTTAACTGTACTCAAAAGGCATTCAGGTGACACTTTTGCATTGTGTTATTTGCTGGACTGCATCCAAAGAGCAAAAAATGTACATTTAATATAGTGAAAGGGTATCCAGGGGGCTCTTCTATGTTATATACTCTGAGAGGGCATCTTAGGGGCACCTCTTAAACCAAATATCCACTGAAGGAGTATTTTGCCATGCCTCATCCTTTTGAAAAACAGCTGCTTGTGAAATATATTATGCAATTTCAAGGGAAACGGCACCAGAGAGGGCATTTTATAATACTGAGAGAGTACTAAGAGGACACTTTTGCTTTATTTTTGTAGGGGCACCTTGTATGTGGGTTTAAAAAAAAAGTGCCCTTTAAATAAATATTATTTTTCAGTTATAAATGTTTCTACATAAAATTGCTTGATGTGACATCAAGTCTCCATTGAAACACACTTTGATACCATTCTGGTGAATTTGATTCCTGGTAATCTGGGGACAAATGTAGAAAAAGCATTTGCTTTCCACTAATGTAGATGCATCATTTGTGTAAATGGCATAGATTCTGCTCTAAAGTAGTGACCTCCATCTAAAGAAACCCCAGCTCAGGGGTAATTGGGAGCACATAATAGCTGAGCTGACCAAAGACAGCAGTGAAAAAATACAGGAGGTCATAAAAACAAATCAATAAAACATACCAGCAAGCATCCTGATGCGTGGGTATTATTTACCAGGGCCAATGAATCACTCGGGCATTGAGGCATTAAAGTGCTTCTCCCTGTTTGTGATAATAGACACTAAATTTTAACTGCACCTCTGTGCTATCGAGCAGAGGGTGAAATGTACCCTTTACATTGCTGCCTTAAAAACAGCCCCTCCGTGCTGTTTCTTTGCTAATAGATGAAGCAATACAAATGCACTTGATGCTGATTTGGTCTCTTTCAGGACTTAAAAAAAAAAGGCTCACTGCAGTTCAGGGTGTTAGTTAGCCATGGAGGAGACTTGTCATTTGCAGGTTGCTAAAACCCAAAGCACACTAGGCCATATTGTGTATTTTCTTCTAACAGGAGCCCAATTAACAAAACAAAGTCATGGATAATGAAGTCAGTAATCTTAACAATGTAGTCAATAGTAATGTATATGAGGTATAAGAAACAAAGCAGCTGAATAGAGGGCTTTTATTTGTCACCAGAGCCGCCCTCTGCTGGGCATAAGAAAAAAAGCTTAGGCACCTTTGCATGGCCTTGGCATCGGACAGCACTTATTATTATATTAATATTATTATATTTGGAAAGGCAAGAAAGCAGGAATACCTTTTACATTACCACTAAGAGACATGCTGTTATAGCAGTGGATGCAACACTACTCATTAAAGAGGCAGTGAAAATGAAACTGCATAAATGAACAAGTTTGCCTGTGACAGATCTCCATATTTTTTACACAGAGCACATTAAAAAGTGTGAAGGAAGTTAAACATACAAGCACAACTAAAAATGACAAAGTTGTATTTCCAAAATGAAAGAACTGACAGAAGAGAATACCTTCCTGTCATTACTGCACATTAGATCTGAATTAAATAACTACAGTATTTACTGAAGCTTATTCTTAAATGTAATGTAAATGTAATTGAGGACACATTCCGATCGTACGAATCATCCACCCCTCTCAATAAAGAGACGGATCTTGATTTTGCTTCTGTGCGATGGATGTAGCATCTTAACTCACAGCTTTACTACGTGTAAACCGTGACATGCAGCTATAGCATCAACCCTTAACCCATACATGAGATAACATTGAGTCAATAATAACAATATGTGAAGGCATCATGAATACAACTCTGAGTAAGTCATTTTGCTAATCTTTGTGTATCATCTATTACTTTCTTTGCAATGAGCAGACAGCTGATCAACAGACACACAGCCAATGAGACCTTACACACAATAGAGCCGCAAAATATCAGCTGCATCGCATTTATGTTACACACAAAATGCCAGTCTCGGTCTGACTGTATCGCAGCAGTATCCATACCATGAAAATAATTCCAAACTCTCTCTTTAAAATTAAAAACTGAAAAAGAAAGAAAACACGTCGGTGTTTTACAAGTGGTGGCGCACTAGCCCCGCCTCTCCTCTGATGAGGTAGCAGCAGGGTTCAGACCGTGAAGGCAGCATTAATGTGAGTCACATGACAGGCCAGCCTCACCGACTGATCTGACACACACCTAATAATCATGGTAAGCATTTTTCCATACCCGATAAGGCTTTATGCATCTGCATGTTTTCATATCATAGTCGCATGGGTTTGCTATTAAACCGTGAAACTACGTATCTCGGCTGTCCGGTATGGTTCGGTAAACTGGCCCAAAACTAGACTGTTATCTGAGTGGCCTAACGTTAGACTGTGGCTAGCTCGGTCAACCAGCTGACAACAAGCGAGTAGATATGTGTTTATCTCAAACATGTATGTAGTTCATGTGCCTTACTGAACACGGATCACACCGTGCGTTGTGTTTTGGTTGAAAAATGTAATAATCCTAGTGATTTGGGGGAGAAAGTGCTGACTGGAATAACTAACGTTAGCTGTTGTTAGCATGCTCTTCCGCCTTGCTGTGTCATTTGCACTAAAGCTTAATATTTTCACCTGAGCTCGTTTTAATGTGAATCAGATGGTATTATTAACATTGTGATACTGTAACACATTTGCTCACGCGTCACTGAAACAGCTACATGTTACATGGTGGCTGTCTGATGGGAAATGTAAGTGTGCAGCGAAGTTGGGGCACTTATGATGCATTCACGTGCAGCTCGGATGGTTGCGGATATCCCCAGTATGGAGGTCGTTCTTCTCATTTCTGTTCGATCGTGAGCTTCAAGCTGCAGTTGGGGAAGAACCTGGACTCGAAAAAAGCCTCGAGTGTACAGAAATATATAAACGTAGCTCCAGCTGTTCAGGGGTTTGTTGGCTCATCCTAAGAGCGTGTTGTTGCATCAGTGTCTTACCTAAAACCACTTAAATATTGCCTCGCCTGGACTGATTGTTTTTATTCAGTCTTGCTCGCCCTCATTGCAAAATAACCGATGGTTTCAGCACAATGCCGTACTCGTACTTTCATGAGAGCAACTTCATAAAGTTGTATACCATGTGTTTTCAGATAATGGCTTTATTTGTACCGCAGTAGTGTCAGTCACCCTATGTCTCACACCTGAGCTCCATAACGACGGAAAGGACCTTACCTGTGTGAGGTAGCTCAAGTAAAGTTAAAGGAGCAGAAATAGAGCTAGCGGCCAGACCTCAAAGTGTAGTAAAAACGATCAGTTCGACCTGAAAATTAATCCTGATGTGTGTTGAAAGCCATGACAGCTATGCTTCAACAGCAGTAATGATGTTTACACTCAGTGCCAAGACAAATTCTTGGTGCTGCATTTGATGAGCTGGAGACATCTGATGGAGTTTTTGCTGAAACAGGTTGAGAGTGAAGTAATAATGATAATATAAAGCATTAACAACCTTCTCCTGATCTGCTTGATTTAAAAACGGCAAATATTTGCAATATTTCTTTGCTGATACAGCCAAGACTGGACCAATGTCCTCACAAAATTGAGGTTGCTAACAGCAGTCACAGTTAAATGTCTTCCTGTTGGTCCTGTAAAAACATTTCCTTCTCTGCAGTTAATATTTGTTCTTCTTTTCTGTTTGATGTTAGAAAATTATTTGACATCTAGCTTTTGATGACCTTTGACAAATTCTAAGAGAGTTCGGGTGGCTAGAGCAGTTTTAGAGCAGGAGCAAGTATAGGGAGAAGTGGCAGGGTAACCTACAGGTGGTGTCTGCTGTTGATGAAGTTAAGATGATATTAACAGAGAAAAAAATATCAGCACCTGTCCTTAAGTTTGGAAAATTTAGCAAATTTTTATTTATATTTTTTATTACACTACAAATTAGTTCAAAGAGTGTAAGTTAATTTGTTTCTCAAAAAATGAAGCTTTCATCATATAGTTCAGTCCTTTGATAAATTTATTGCTTAACTCTGTAGACTAATGTCAGGAATTGTTGGTAGAATAAGCAAACTTCTGCATGATGTGTTTATCGTCTTCTTGTATTTCAGCCAACCACTCAGCAGTCTCCACACGATGAGCAGGAGAAGCTTCTAGATGAAGCTGTGCAGGCTGTCAAAGTCCAGTCCTTCCAGATGAAGCGATGCCTGGTAGGGTCATTTGGTTTAATTTTTTCATTAATTTTATTTTTTTGTGTACAGCACCTGAAGAAATGAGCTGACTGGGGAATATTAGAGTTGTCAACACATATTCTAGGCTCTGTGTAAATCAACTTAATTTGGAAAATGTTCAGCAGGTTATATGGTGAAGGCTGGGGACATAGTAAATCTCTATCCAAGTCATTCATCCCCGCTAAAAATAGGGTTTAAGGAGAATGTATGAGCTAACTAAAGGTAGTATATTCTCTTTGGCAAACAATGAAAGAACTCAAATCCAGGCTTTTCTTCTGCCTGGTGTGATTTCTGTGCTGAACATCTGCACAAATCCAAAATAACTTAAATTAAGACTAAATGAAATTAACATTTAGTGCAAGCTGTGTAATGTACTGTTGTCGGTGCTCCCTGTTTGAGAACCACTCACACTGCCGTCACTTCAGTAAAGATGTACACAGCTGTTCCCCCTTTGCAGTCCTTTCTACAGCAGCATCATATGTAGGGTCAGCCACAGTTCACTGGTCAATTGTATGACAGGAAGAGGCTTAGCAGCCACTGTTGATGATACTGTGACAGGACTTGGTATGAAGTTATTTCTGCAAACTTAAACATGCTGGTTTGATTATTTTAAAGTTTGACTCTGATTTTTGGTTTGTAGGACAAAAACAAGCTTATGGATGCTCTGAAGCATGCCTCTAATATGCTTGGTGAGCTGAGGACCTCCATGCTGTCTCCTAAGAGCTACTATGAGCTCTGTATCCTTTATACTCTTTGACTGTACATGTTGGAAATTGCTTGAGACGGGATTAATGCAGTGCCAGTGTTATGTGGAGTGATACAGCCTTGCTCACTCTTCATAGCTTTGCTTTACTTACGACACTCATCTCTACAAAGACAGTCCTTTTTGTCTGGCAGTAGCATCTAAACCCCAAACAGTCAATGCTGCCTTCAAACTAACCAGACTAAACTGACCAATCGTGCAAAACTTCCCTTTCTTAGATGGTTGTTTTGGATTATACATAATAAAACACACACACACACACACACACACACACACACACACACACACACACACACACACACACACACACACACACACACACACACAACCCAGTCAGTATGGGGTAAGAATCAGCTGTGCCCTACAAGGTGAAATTATTGATGGAAAAACAACTTGAGCCTCTGGTGGCAAAAACAAGCATGTTTGCAGTCACACTTTGAACCACAAATGTTCAACTAAAGATTAGTTTGCAGCCAGCACAGCTGCAGGCCAAGGTAACCTGGGACAAACAGGACAGATTTCTTAACACTATAAACCTCTTTTCTGAACACATACCAAGGCCTATAAAACTGGACTCTGGATCCAAAACAATCAGATCCTTCTCTGGGGTGAGATTTATCCTCCTTCTCTGAGTGGATTAATTACTGTTGAATATTTCTCCTCTTATTCTGAAAACTAATCTTAATCATCCAGCCTGCCCTGATGTAGCTCTGAAATCATTGATATCTAGCAGTCTATCTAGAGTGTTAAACACGTCTCACGCTTTCCCAGTTGTTCAAATCGCTTTAAGCTCTCTGACATCACCCATCATATTCATCCATTCATTCACTGGTGGCTGAGGCTACTCTGGTAGCAGACTATCAGTACTAACTAATCCTAATTAAACCCAATCTCCAGGGCTGCTGTGATGGGTTATTGTAGTTGGGACATCCCAAATTCAGTCTTGACTGTTGTATGGGAGTTGATTCTGCATCACTGAGTGTTCTTGGCATAGACTGTATATACTATGGACAACTTGATTTGAAGCCAAAAAGCTCTCGGTATTTCCGGGACTGTTCTTCATTTCCTGAAACCAGCGCTGCGCAGTAGCGATGCGCGCATTCGGCCGTGCAGTCGCCGAGAGTCGCTGTGATGACGCTCGGCTCAAACAGCGTATCCCCCCAGGTGAGCAACACAATCCCTGAACGCCCATAGGCTGTATCAGGTGTCAATTATAAAAAACATGAACCCCCTAATAACTTTTAAAAACAGAGCTTCACAGAAAAAAGAGGACTTGAACACAAACCAGTCTTACAATAACTACATGTCAACATCACAAGCACGGGGGAAAAAAATTTATGTCCTGTGTAATAAATTTCTGAAGTGTGTCCTCAGCCCCATAAGCTTTGCTGGTGGAGGCGGGATTTATGACCTATACTGCAGCTCATCAACAGAGGGTGCTGTTCTCGGAGTGGCTTCACCCAGCAAGGAGGCAGACTCTGTCCATTCTTTATACAGTCTATGGCTCTTGGTTAGCTTGCCTACTCCTAATGAGAAAATGCTGGTGATGGCCCACACCTGCTGACCCTACTCACTGCTATCACAAAAGTGAAAAGGTGGTATACCCCTTTGACATGCTGACACATGATCATGACAGTGAAGTAAAGTACTTAAACTCCTCACTTGAACCCAAACACGTCATATTTACTGATCCCACAGCAGCATAGAGAAAACAGTGTGTCTCGAATGCAGTCAGGTGTTCAAGTGTGCGCATCAGAAACCACAGAAAAACACCTCTCCACTCATTTTAAAGTGTGAGAAGAAACATCTCTGAACTTTAGCTTTTGTTTCATATAGATGACAGTACAGTGGAAAGAAGAGGACTCCTAGATTTCATAGCAGTTTGCATTGTGTCCTTCAGGGCTGCACCATACCCTCTTTCAGTGCTACAACATATGTAAGCTGTGTCCCAGGAGCTTCCTAATACTGCTCTCCATTTAAGATTTGAGTCTATTTTAGATGTAGTTCATGCCCAGCTGAACAGAGCAGATCAACTTTGATGAAGAGCCAGGCACAGGAACAGCATATACAGTGCCTGACAAAAGTCTTGTCGCTTATCCATTTTGTAGAAACAACAGCTTATAACCTGACTTGTCATTAATCCATTGGTTTTAGAAATGGCTCATATGAAAGCTAAAACCCTCCCAAATTATGTTTAAAATCTAAAATAAATTTCCTTCACTGAAGAAAGATTGATCATTTAATGAACACAGAAAGGTCTGATTTTGGCAAGACAAAGGTTTTGTCGCCTACATAGAGTAATGTGAAAATTGAACAAATAATTTACTTCAAATTAGGCCTGAACGATATATCGTTTGACTATCGTCATCAGTGAATTAAGTAGTGGTGCTGTGAGATCCATATTTAATATCTTATATGACTTCCATGAGCCTGAAGAACTGCATCCATGCGGTTCGGCAACGATTCATACAATTTATTGATGAAGTCATCAGGAATAGCAAAGAACGCAGTCTTACATGCCTCCCAGAGTTCATCAAGATTCTTTGGTTTCGTCTTCCATGCTTCCTCTTTCATTTTACCCCAGACATGCTCGATGATGTTCATGTCTGGTGACTGGGCTGGCCAGTCCTGGAGCACCTTGATCTTCTTCGCCTTGAGGAACTTTGCTGTAGAGATCGAAGTATGTGATGGAGCACCATCCTGCTGCAAAATTTGACCCCTTTTATGGTTGGGAATGTAAGAGGTAGCTAATACTTCTTGATATTTTAGGCTATTGATATTGCCTTCCACCCTGCAAATCTCTCACACACCTCCCTACTGGATGTAACCCCAGACCAGGATTTTTCCAGCACCAAACTGAACTGTTTTCTGGGTGAATCTCAGATCCATGCGGACTCCAGTAGGTCACCTGCAATATTTGCGGCGGTTGTGATGTAATTCAACCGAAGATTCATCCGAAAAATCCACCTTCTGCCACTTTTCCAGCGTCCATCCTTTTAGCAGGCTGTGGGCCTTGGCAAATGCCACACGTTTTTTTTAATTGCTTTTTGTTTAGTGCTGGTTTCTGGGCACTGATTCCACCATGGAGGCCATGTCGAGACAGAATTAGACAAACTGTTCTGGTTGACACAGGGACTTGAGGAGACCAGACCTGGTGGAGCTCTGCTGCAGTGGAAAAGGGGCTGGCCTTGGATTTTCGAGCCAACAAACGGTCCTCCCGAGCAGTTGTCTTGTGGGGTCTGCCGGCCCTGGGCTTGTCAAAAACATCTCCAGTCTCTTCAAATCTTTTTCTTATCCTTTGTACTTGACGCTGAGACACAATGAAGGTGTCAGCCACCTCAGCAGTGGATCTCGTCTTCAGCCTCTTGATGATCAAAGCTTTGGTCTCAGGGTGAATCTTAGGCATGTTGTCAGAGGTCAAGTTGCAGTTGATGTGAAGGTCTGGTGTGCTGTGGTTCTTTTTATACACCCACTAATTGATTGGTCAATAATTGATCACAGGTGAGGCTGTAATCCTGGATTGGGTGCATCATATGACAAGGCGACAAGACTTTTGTCTGTGCAAAAACTGACTCAGTGGGCTTTACCAAGCTGTGAACATTAAAATGCTTTTCAGCAGTTTCGTTTGGCACCAAAACATTATTTCAAACGCTGTTGGGATTGAAATTAGACATTTCTTGTAAAAAAAATTGATTGCACATATATTTGAGGGGCACTTAAGGTCAACTTGTACCCAAGTGACAAGACTTTTGTCAGGGACTGTAGAGTAAAACACCATGTGTAGCTTTTTGATTGTAGAAGATATCATTTCTGATGATGGTGATATAGTAGATATCAGGACTTTTGGGTGTTAGATCTTTAGGTCTGTAGTCAACTGCACAACAACTCAGATGACATGAGTAAAATAAAACATAGGATGAGATGCAAAAATGACACAGGACAGAGAGAGGGGTGGTGGTGGTGTCCTGTCTCCAGCTGCTCTCCAGGGGGGTTGGGCGAATCCAAAATGGTGAAAATAAGGGGGGTGTTCTGAGGCAGGCTGTTACCTGTGAAATGGAGGTGCTCTGAAAACACCCCTATTAGCACTTAGTACGTTCCTCCTGATGAAATTAACCATAGACTGTAAATGGACGTGGAAAAAAAATCAAGTCGACTAATGAGAATTTTGGTTGACTCAGCAGGTATCGACCAATAAGTCGACCAGTGGACAAGGACTTTACCGCCCTACTGAAGTGTATGCGTTAATCTTCCAGAGTTCAGCAAACCTATGCACACCAGTGTGGACTGTAGCTGCTGTGCCATTTACATGTGGCAAGCAAAGCAGTTGTGTTGGTGGTAAAAAACAGGCCCGTCTGCAGTCCTTAACAGTCTGTCAGATATGGCGATATCTGATGAGCTCCACTACCTGGAAGTTTACCTGACTGATGAGTTTGCCAAGGGACGCAAGGTGGCAGATCTGTATGAGCTGGTCCAGTATGCAGGCAACATCATCCCCAGACTGTAAGTTTCAACTGTGATTATGAGGTTCATGAGCACTCACTCATCCACACAGGAGGTTTGTTTACTGATGGACTCAATGAAAGTGAAAAAAGATACTTTCATTGTATTCATTTCTATAGGATTCATCTATTAAAAAAGCTTTGTATCGATGTGTTTGTTGTCTACCATCATGAAACAGACTTCCATTTCCCTCCTCTCCAGCTACCTGCTGATCACAGTGGGTGTGGTGTACGTCCGCTCCTTCCCCCAGTCTCGTAAGGACATCCTGAAGGACCTTGTTGAGATGTGTCGTGGAGTCCAGCACCCGCTCAGGGGCCTCTTCCTCAGAAACTACCTGCTGCAGTGCACCCGCAACATACTGCCTGATGATGGAGAGCAGTCAGAGTGAGCAAGATCAGTTTTTCTCTTTTTCTTTCTGGACTCATCTGCAAAATCAGAACTGAGCACATGCTCAATAAATGAAAAATCCCACCAGAGATGAGATGGTGATTATTAATTATCCTCAAACAGCATATTAGGATGAAATAAAACTTCTCAAGTGAGTTTTTGTGGAATATGTGAAGAATAAGCGTATGGATGTCTTTATTCCAGAGTATTTAACACACAGTAACAGTTCACAGGGGGCCCAGTGAGTCATGTGATTCCATGCCTTATTTTTTGATGTTTTGACATGCGGCCTACTTTTTACCTCTGCTCTTTATTCAAAGGGGGTCAGAGGAGATGACCGGCGATATCAATGACTCCATTGACTTTGTCCTCCTGAACTTTGCGGAAATGAACAAGTTGTGGGTCCGAATGCAGCATCAGGGTCACAGCCGAGACCGAGAAAAGAGAGAGAAGGAACGACAAGAGCTCAGGATTCTGGTGGGCACCAACCTGGTTCGCCTCAGCCAGCTGGAGGGGGTCAATGTGGAAAAGTACAAACAGGTGTGTGTGTGTGTGCGGTCTCTGTTCACATTTAATATGGAATCAACCTCACAGTGTTCTGGGGCAGTGTTTGTCTGTGGAATTGGTTTATTCATTTGGGTCAGCACATGTGTAAGTGACGGTGAATACTTGTGTCAGTATAGGGTTATACTGCAGATGGACCTTTTCTGTGTGGTTTTCTCTGGTCATGATGGTGGAAATTTACAGAGGAAGCTGCTTTTTAAGCAAATAACTTGATTGACACATAAGGTAAGAGTGGGGATGTCCATATCAGCTGTTTTGGTCCTGATCTGTGTCTTTTAATATTGACCAAGTCCTGATCAGATACTGTTATTTGCCTTGTTAATAGAGCTGCACACATTGTTTGTTGTTATTTTTGTTTGAACCTTAAGCTCAAAAGTGGAGGAATGAATCTAGAGTGCAGCCTTACTTTGCCGAATTAATGAATGTGCTACAATCTACTGAAGACTTTGACTGCTGCAGCCTTGTGAAAGTTTCATGTTGTATCAATTGTTGCTGGTTGTTGGACTATTAACATTATAATTTAGAGTCTTATGGTGTTAATAATCCGAAGGAGATGATCTGTTTGCTGATCTCCAGTCAACTGAAAATGTCCAGATTGGCTATGCTTTGATGACATCTGACATCTGCTCCGTCACTGAGCTTTAAAACTGAGTAAAGTGGGGTGCCAGTGGTCTGCCTTGGGGGCTCTCAGACTCTCTTATGTTTCAGTACAAAGTTATAAAATTTAACCCCCTTTTTTCAGCTGTCTTCCCCTCAAATAATTGCACATAAATGATATCAGCATATTTTGGGAAATCAGATCTGTTCACTCAAGCCTTTTTCTTTCCAGATTGTCCTTCCTGGAGTGCTGGAGCAGGTTGTGAACTGCAGAGACTCATTGGCTCAGGAATATTTAATGGAGTGCATCATTCAGGTAGACGCCTGGGATGGGTGGGGTTGGTGGAGTTGGCTGGATAAAGGCAGCAGCTGCTGGACCTCAAGATGCTTTTATAGGAAATGTAGTTCTTATGGGGCCAAATGCATCAGGTTTTCTTTATTTTGTAATTTTCCAAAGCACCCTGTCCTCACTCAGACTTGATGCATTATTGTTCAGCTAAGATGATGTTAACTCAGGTGTTGATTTGACGCACTGAGGACAGACTTGTCTGTGATCTTTTAAAGGAACCCCACAGTATCAGACATATTGACCTTCTTGGATTAATGTGGTTAGCTGTTATAAAACATGTTTGCACAGCTTTAAACTCCTGACCTGAGTGAGTCTGTTTTACTAGGTTTTCCCAGATGAGTTCCACCTCCAGACCCTGAACCCTTTCCTGCGTTCCTGTGCCGAGCTCCACCAACACGTCAATGTGAAGAACATCATCATTGCTCTCATTGACAGGTACAGTTTGAATCACTGTCCATGAACAAAGCAAGAACATTTGGAAAACAAACTCTTCTTTACTTATTCTTGGATTTCCTGTCACTGTAATGGCTTCTTTTCCAATTTGATCAGGATTAAAGAATAAACTGTATGAAGGTGCTGCCTATGGAGACCTGTGTCTGTTTAGGTAGATCTAATGTGAGAACATCAATTGCTATGGCCTCCAGGTGCTCTGATATGGGCTGACTAGAAGTGGGTGAATCTGATATCAAACATGTCAAACTGACACTCAAATGACTGGACAGTTGAAAAGCTAATAGGGATTAAAAAGCATCTGAAGATACTCTAAGAAATTAGTCCACAAAAGTTCTTCTAAAGGCTTGAGTGTCACAGAGTTTGGAAGGTCATTTGAACTCTTTTGTTTCCAGACTGGCCCTTTTTGCTCATCGAGAAGATGGTCCTGGGATCCCAGCTGAAATCAAACTGTTTGACATCTTCTCTCAGCAAGTGGCCACTGTCATTCAAGTGAGTGATAAGTTAGCTTTACGTGGTCTATTGACAGAATTGCGTGTGGAACAGATTATAAACATAACTTGACAGAAATGATAAAATACGTTATTTAAAGGCATGAACTGTTAATAAAGATACACCTTTAGTTTATTCAAGTACCTGAGTGTGATAAAAGAGGAAATGATCGTAGAAGTCTCTTCTTCTGGAGCTGTGCAGGCTTAAAGCTTTGTGTCAAACCTCTCCTGTGCTCACAGTGTGGGTGTTTTCTTTCTGTTATCCCTCCTTCAGTCCCGTCAGGACATGCCATCCGAGGATGTGGTTTCCCTTCAGGTCTCACTCATCAATTTGGCCATGAAATGCTACCCAGACCGTGTTGATTACGTGGATAAAGTCCTGGAGGGCACTGTGGAAATATTTAACAAGCTCAACCTGGAACAGTAAGTCCCAAAAATCCTGAGATGCCAAGATTCAAGATGAAGTTTTGATGTCGTATCACACAAGCACTTTTTCATATTTGGGGTCTAGTTGATAAAGAGTAACAAAAGGTTTAGAACTTTGCTTCATTTTATTTGCTAAATCCCCCAGGCCTAGTCCTGATAATTGAAATAAACAGAGAGAAATCTTGTTGTGGTAATAGTGCGCACCCAGTGGAGAAAAGCCATAACCAGGTGTCTGAGAGTCAAAAGAGAGAAGGAGAACAGGACCAACATACACCATGATCCTTGTGGCTTTGGACACTTTTGGTCCATGTTCACTTTTTAATGCAGTTGGACGAAGATATTCCAAAACCATTTTACACACTTTCTTTCAAACCCAGAAGTAAGATTTTGACCCTTCCTGTTATGTTCTGTCTTGCAGCATAGCAACAAGCAGCGCAGTGTCAAAGGAACTCACCCGACTGTTGAAGATCCCTGTGGATACCTACAACAACATACTGACAGTGCTGCAGCTAAAGCACTTCCCTCCACTCTTTGAGTACTTTGACTATGAGTCACGCAAAAGCATGAGTTGCTATGTGCTGAGCAACACACTGGACTACAACACCACCATTGTGGCACAAGAGCAGGTCAGTTTTATGTCTTTTACCTGTGTGTAGCTGGCTTCCACCTGTTAAGATCAGCTTTCTGGAAAAGTGCATGAATTAAACTTTGCACTCCCTGCCTTGTTTCCCCTAGGTGGACGCCATCTTAAACTTGGTTTCAACACTGATTCAGGACCAGCCAGACCAACCAGCTGATGATCCTGACCCTGAAGATTTTGCGGAGGAGCAGAGCCTTGTGGGTCGTTTCATCCACCTGCTCCACTCTGAAGACCCTGATCAGCAATACCTTGTGGGTCCTCTCTTGAACATGGAGAAAGCATAGAAATGGTTTTGCTCAATAGTGTCACGCCCTACTATTCTGTACACTCTGTTATTGTGCTGTTGCTCGTTTTTTTATAACTGCTGACCATTGAGGAATCTCCAGCACCTTGAGGATGTCTCAAACTTAGCTCATCACATCCTTCTTACTTGTGTAACATTTTCATCCCAAACTGTGTCTGTGATTGGCTTTTTGTTTTGTCTTTGAGGTGTGTAAACTTGTATTTGTTTGCAGATTCTGAACACAGCCAGGAAACATTTCGGTGCAGGGGGAAACCAAAGGATTCGCTACACACTTCCTCCTTTGGTGTTTGCTGCCTACCAGCTGGCCTTCAGATACAAGGAAAACTCCTCATCGGTGTGAAAGCTTTACACTTTTACCTGGATGTAACATCTGTAGCTTTGTGAGTCTGACAAAGTATTCTGCATTTTTTTCTCATCAGGATGACAAGTGGGAAAAAAAGTGCCAGAAAATCTTTTCCTTCGCCCACCAGACCATCAGTGCGCTTATAAAGGCTGAGCTAGCTGAACTGCCCCTCCGACTCTTCCTGCAAGGGGCTCTGGCTGCAGGAGAGATCGGCTTTGAGAACCATGAGACTGTTGCTTATGAGTTCATGTCACAGGTAGACTGTTTAACATTTCATCAAGTTTGAGTCTGCATAGTTACAAAATGCCCACACAGGTCGGGTGTCTGAAAAATGGTGAAGCAATTTACTGTAGCAATTCTCAAACTCCTGTTAAGGTGATTTTGAGTGGCGGTTGAGCTTTCACTAAGAATTTGGCAGTTACTACAGTCGGAAACAGCAAAGAGAGGGGGGCTGACATGCAGAAAAGGGCTGAGGATTGTGGTTGAACCAGGGGCTGCCGTTGGGCCCTCTGTACATTATTCACATTTTTTATTGCTAAACTCCAACACATTTCAGATTTGGTTTGCTCCTCCTATTTCACTGTTACGAGCCTCGACTGAATTTAAGAGGTGCTTATTTAAGACTGAGGTATTTTAAATCTATAAAGGAACACCAAAAGGTTTAGTTCTGGGTCCACTATATTTTGCTATCTACTTTAACTGTCCCAGACACAGTATCTCAAAGAATGCTTTTCCTTTCTATGCAGATGACGCTGTTGTTTCCGGATGTCCATCTCTCAGACCACCTTTTTTTAAATATTGATTGATGGATTTCACAACTTTTGTTTGTCTAACTTTGTGTAGTTTTACACAAAAACTTTTACCCCTTCAGTTCTAAACCTTTTAAACACTGGCTCATGTCTATTCCTCCCTCCTATCCCACCCTGTTTCTAACCAGGCCTTCTCTCTGTATGAGGATGAGATCAGTGACTCCAAAGCCCAGCTGGCAGCCATCACACTGATAATCGGTACCTTTGAGCGGATGCGATGTTTCAGTGAGGAAAACCATGAGCCGCTGAGGACTCAGTGTGCACTGGCTGCCTCTAAGCTGCTGAAAAAGCCAGACCAGTGTCGAGCCGTCAGCATCTGCGCTCATCTCTTTTGGTCAGGACGCAGCACGGACAAAAATGGGGAAGAGGTAGGTCAGACTAGTTTGGTTTGGGGGATTTCAGTTTGAACCAATTTCATTCATGTGCACTGGAAAAATGTAAGCACACTGGGACTTTATTTTGGTTCAAGTGCATTTATGTGTTTTTTTAAGAGGTCCATTCAAGACACTTCAGAAAATGGAGAAGCAGTAAACCAAAACAGTCACTCTAAAACCAGGTCAACATGTTAAGAACAGGAAATGTCAAAGTGAAAGTGAAACCCATCTACTTTCCCTTTAGTTTTTTTATTTCTGATTAAGAACACAACAGATTATGTTGCTAATAACATTCACGGTGCACGTTGCCCCTTACAGACATTTCTTTTCATCACTTCTAATGTCATCATAAATGCAGCAGAATCTGAACAAGACAGAAAGAAAGACTTTCTTAATGTTCTTCCTCTTAATTCAGGAGCTTTTCTAGGTCATTGTATTCACACATTTTGATGCACTTCATCACATCCAAAAATATTATTTCTGACTAGTGATCTTGCATCTACAGATCCGTGATGGTAAGCGGGTGATGGAGTGTCTAAAGAAAGCTCTGAAGATTGCGAATCAGTGCATGGACCCATCACTGCAAGTTCAGCTGTTCATTGAAATCCTCAACCGATACGTCTGCTTCTATGAGAGGGAAAATGATGCGGTAGGACAACTCCATGATTGAAATAAAAAGCTGATTATGTCTCAATCTTTCCATGAATAAGAAGTTATTAAATGAAGGAAACAGTATCCTGAAACTTCACAGAGCCTCTCCAAATTCCTTATTAAATTGTAGAACAACTATAACTATGGCTCCTGTGATGTGAATGTAGCCCCTCAAATAACGCTCTGGTACTGTCTGTCATTCTCCATCTGTCCAGGTGACAGTCCAGGTTTTAAACCAGCTGATCCAGAAGATCAGGGAAGATCTCCCTAACCTGGAGGCCAGTGAAGAAACAGAGCAGATCAACAAACACTTCCACAACACACTGGAACATCTCCGCCTGCAGAGAGAATCCCCTGAGTCTGAGGGTCCTGCGTATGAGGGCCTGGTCCTTTAAAACTGTTACAGATGTTTCATGATACTATGAATATACAACTGTAGGCCAGGAATAAAAATAAGTGTCAAGAAGAGCTAAAAGAAGTCACTCATTTCCTCTTCACCATCTGTCACTCGCACAACAGTTTCTGAAGTAGCTTGGAGGTGTAACATTTTGAGAAGCGTGTGCCAGCAATACTGCACTGTGCAACAGAGGCGAGTCGAAAGCACCATTCCTTTATGAATTCCAATCTGACCAATCTGTCTTTAACCTGTATCATTTTATTATCTATAGATTTATAATCTGTTTTAGGTGTGTCCATGAGCCATCACCCTTTTGCTTTATTCATGTCCTGTCATAGGGAGAAGTGAATGCTTTAATCAAGTGTAGAAAGTCCACCAAGTCTAGTCGTGGTGTTTCCACCCCTGAGTAATAAGAGAGTGCTGCTCTTCAGAAGGGCCATGTGCTAAGTCTGAACTAGGTCTGGGCCTGACAAATGAAAGCACATGCAAACACATTAGGCCCCATTAAAACTGCCCATTTTCAAAGAACAGAGCATCTTCTCACCTCATTGCACTTTGACTGTGGGAACTTAAGGTAATAATTGTGCAGCATTTTGCATGGTCCCTGATTCTTCTGCTAGCCAAGCTGAGATGAAATGACATAATCTCATATATGTAATGAAAATAGGTGTCATATTTTTAAGAAGATTCCTCCTTTTCATACCTGAATAGTGCTTCTTCTTTTTGAGTAACACCAGATTTGCGTCTGTTGACTCCATATTTCATGTATTGGTTTAGTTATGGACTTGTCACCAGTGGATTGACATGTTCAGAGGTGCAGCATGTGTTTGTGTGCTCTGGTGTGTAAAAGACCTAGTCTTCTATTGTATAAATTAAACCAACCACATTGTCTGACTGTCAAGATTTTGCCAACCAGTAAACAATTTTGCTTGGTGACAGTATCCTTTCAGGTCCATCTTTAGTGAAGTGGTTGCAACAGTTCCTCAGGATTGCGCTTAGTTGACGGTGTCCATGCTGAGTTCATCACGATGTATATGATTCAGTCTAAGGTTTTGATATGGTTTGCTGCAGCCTGACAATTCCTGCTGATCTCTCTTTCTATAGTTATTTGCTAGAGGCAGTATGGAGCACTTTCTCTCCCCAGATGAAACCTATGTAAACCCACTTGTGAATCAGATAAAGAAAAAAGCAGATTATAGCGATTATCATTGTTACTTGCTGAAATAAATTCAAATTAACAATACTACATTTGTTGTTTGTGTATTATGTAAAAAATTAAATCATTTAAAATCATGTTAGGAATCTTAGACATGGTGTTGCATGATACAGAAAAATATACACCCTTGCAATTTCTTAAAAGAAAACATTGATTTTTTTTTTTTTTTTTTTTTGACAATTAGCTGTCTGCTCAGTTTTAACAATAAAATATATTCTTTGGCTTTATCTCACACTCTGAGCATTTTGATGTGTAAGACCCTATTCTTTGTCATTTCCCTTATTTTTTGTCTGGTCTTGATATTTCCTCTGTTCCCACTGCTGTTAGTTTCCGATAACGTGAACTGGTCACATGCTTCCTTCGCAAGCGTGTCATAATGTGTTTCACACAGCCGCAGAAGCAGAACTCGGTATATTGTCCTACATCCTTTTAGTTATGAAGTAGAGGAAGAAGATCTTCTTTATATCACTGACTAATACATGCATTAGTTTTTGCCCCTTGCTCTTTCTGTTGCAACCCCTCCTTCAAACCACTTAAACCCGTACCACGTTTGTAAATATGCAAACAGGGCCTTTTCACTGCCTAATTTCTCTTCAACTTTACTGTTCTTCATACAATCTCCCCACAGATCACATTAGAGCATTGAATTAAAAACCCTACTCTTGGGCCCCTCAAATGAAGACTATACAGCCAGAATATTCTGAGAAGCACAGTTACAGTATTAGAACCATTAGTAGCCTACATTAAAAAATGCAACTCGCATCCCTTTTCTCAAAATTCACATTTAATAAGATGTTCCATTATTAAAATCGGGTACAGCCTTTTTCTTAAATGTCCTTGACGCTTTTACAACTATAACAACCAATAAAATGAAGTATTAGTTGCCAGGTAGCGTAATATTTCCCTCAACTTTCCCCCTAGATTAACAGGGTGTGTAGAGCCGTTCTGTTGCCATTCTTCCCATCGAGTTTGAATGCATCACGGCAGAAGAGCTGGCTGTGCGCATGCTCCCAGCTATAGCATTTTAATATATGTTTGCCTTCTAAATGTTCGTGGTGGTCAATGCGGCTAAGGGGCTAGTTTGTGGAGCTTGGAAGGGTTCGTTGGAGAGGAACACTGTTTGTGCATGTGTTAAAGAGTAAAGTTGTAGTTCGTTTGAGACATCGGCCCGTCGCTGGAAGAAACGGACTATGTCGGCAAATAAAACAAAGAAAGTCAAAATGGCTACTAAATCTTGTCCTGAATGCGACCAACAGGTGAGGAAACGTGTTTTCTTTTTTACGTGGACACTGTGGATAAATCCCGAGGAGTTTTCATGTTGTGAGACCGGTTATGGCAGCTAAGACTCGCTGGCTGCTCCGAGCTTTAGTTTCACACACACACACACACACACACACACACACACACACACACACACACACACACACACACACACACACACACTCGCCACATTGATAAACGGTTGAAAGAAACAGCTTTCACGGTCCGTGAAGTATTCATGTGTATATATACACATGATCAGCACTTCGAAACACCGTTTCGTGTTGTTACGCTCTTGAAATGAACACACAAATGTTTCACACTGTTGGTGTTTTTGTCCTCTGACGAACAAACATGATAGAGAAACGATTTTTTAAATCAAAGACAGCCAAAGTGTTTGCTAAATATGGGAGAATTGCACAATTCTTAAAAACTAAGGCTGATATATCGCCTTAACTTGCCCTCAAGCATAAATGTACGTGTATCGGCATGGTATGACACGTATCATCATGTTTCTGTGTTCAAGATACTCCAATATTGCAACACTGTAGGAAGCAGGGCAGTGTCTTTCAGTTCATCTGGGCAGCAAGACATGTGGGATTAATAAAATCAAAACAAAAGTATCTACATATCACAGACCTTGTAAAAACAAAACATAGTATCACTGCCCTCTGTGCAATCTTAAGAAGACTGCATTATCTTTAGTTAACTGCCAAAATAGTTGCATATTTTGTAAACTATTTGCAGCTCAATAAACGGTTTAATCTACAGCATTCAAATCTGAAACCCTACTTTCACCCTCTGTCTGAAACAATTCTTGACAGCTGTTATCACTGTAATCCACCCAAACAAAGACATGTTTCTCCATTTAGATGACAAATTATTAAATACAGCCATATCTTTGGGACCCAAATCTGACCCCGAAAGTTTGGGAATGGACAAAAAAAATCCCTAGAAACAGAACCAAGATGTTTCTGTTTGGTGAGTGTTTGTTTTATCATGACTTTAGACAGAGATTCACCAATTAGTGAAGTAAAAAAATAAGGAAATTGTGTAGCTCTCACTCAATCCTCATGGGACTTATTGATCGACCAGCTAAAAGCCGCCTGCAAACTCCTCCAGGAATTACACCAACACATGTTAACCTCACAATTTTGAACTTTGGACATGGTTGTGCAAAAGTAATTGCTTAATATTCCCTGTTGACACTCTAGCTTTAATTGGGTTAAGACAAGGTTTAAATTCTTACTTTTCTCAAACTTCAGTCATGCTGTACTCAGCCTGTCTGGATACCAATGCTGTGAATTTAGGTGTGATTACTTGATGATTTTATTATATTTACAGTCAGATTGCCTTTAACCATTTTGATATCATTACATTACTATGTGACTGGTATTCATTTAAATCTTGCTTGACCATTCACTGCTCATTTCACATACATGTATGTGAAATGAGCAGTTACATACTGAGTGCTTGCTCAGAAACAAAGACTTTGTTGTATTGGCAAGTAACTTGAAAATAAACATGAAATCAAACAGTAGTGAAATCAAGATCATGGATCTACCAAAGAATAATAGGGGTTTGATATTTTAGCCATATTGCCCACCGCTACTTAATATTGTTTTAGACTTTTGGCCTTTATCCTGCCTCTAAATCAAAACCCCTCTCTGATGTTTTCCACGATGAGTAAAGTTGTCTGACACCCACACGAGTGACTAAGTTAACCAGCATCTCCACATCCGCTTAGAGTGGCTCTTTGTTGGGCGTACATCCTGATTGTGCAAAATGTAATCCATTTACAGTATGTTAGGAGCTGAATGAAGATGAAGAGTCTCAAGCCTATACTTGAGGATTTATGGTAGATTTGTGAGTGCAGATTATTGTCTTCTACATGATGTTTATGATGTGAGTCCTCTGCTTTCTGTTTGTATTTCTGTAGATCCCAGTTGCCTGTAAGTCCTGTCCATGTGGTTATGTGTTTATAAGCAGGAAGCTATTAAATGCCAAATTAAATGAGCGCTCCTCTCCAGCCATAGCAGGTAAGGTTTGCCTCTGCTTGCCTCCTTGAATTCTGCCTGAAAATACTGGACATATTAATATACCAGAAAAATTGTAGTAAGTTTTCCACCACATACAGAAGGATGAAAACTCCTGTAATGACACTTAAAGGCCTGAGAACAGTTAACCCTTTCTACATGGATTAAAAAAAGGTTATTAATTTCAGGTCTTTTATCTTGACAGTTTAAGAAGCTTAGACCATTCAGATTGTTCTGCCTCCACAATAAACCAATGTACACCAATCTTTAACCTCAGCTATGGGGTTTGGTCTTAATTATTTGTGTCTTATGCTGCAGACAAACTAGACTTTAAGCGGAGGAGAACAGAACGCATTCGCAGAGAAAGGATAGATCCTTCCTTAACCAATGACATGGAAAACAAAAGAAGACCCCGGGCAAACAGCCAATCAGATCCCATCCGAAGGGGCCGTGGCCGACCAAAAACAGTGGGTCTAAAGAAACAGGAAGAAGAAAAAGGTAAAACAAAATAAATAAATACGTTTTTCTTTTTAAACAATGAAATAACTTTTGAATAACTTTTAATCATGTTTAAGTTGCTGTGTAAAAGGTTTCAAAAATAGATTTTTATGGTTTTCCAATCATTTATATTCAATTTTTAAAAATTCCATTCATTATAAGAAAAAATTGAAACTGGAGTATGCACGCTTTAAATTCTGTGCTAGCAACACATTTTTAAAAAGTCTGAACTGATACAACGAAACACTGAAAAACTTCCTCCTTAGGAACATTGAATAGCTCAACCTGAATTGAATTAAACATTTCAACTCAAGTAACAAATCCTAAGTAATTCAAATGTGTATTGTTTAGTTCATACTGTTTGTACTTGAAAACTGTATTGTGGCTTCCTGTGATTAATTGTGTTTCACTGTGTTCACAGAGAAACAAGAAAAGGAGGTGGATATTTATGCAGGTCTTTCTGATGAGAAGGCTTTTGTGTTCTCTGTGGCTTTGGCTGAAATCAACCGCAAGATCCTGGGTCAGAGGCTCATCTTATAGATTATCCCCTGGAGAACTGGGGACGTGTAAAAAAAAAAAAAAAACTTGCAAGAGGATGACCAAAGAGTGTGACAGTGGCTGAGGCTGAACATGAACCTGAATGTGACTGATTATGGGAGAAGGTTGTGGAGTGTGAGACTGAAGTGGACTTGGTTTTCAGCTCTTTAGCACCTTGAAAGACACTCCCATCACACAGACATTCAGACACAAGTCCCTGAATAAAATCAGGTGTATGGGTTGTGTTTTAATGACAGTTGTTTTTAACACAGAGGAAAGAGGGACTCTGTGCTGTAGATACAATGGAATGAATAAATCCAAACCAGTCTTGTAGTGTAAGTGAGATAAATCAATGAGTGTGAGAGACCTAAGAGATGCATTTATCTTATTTTAAATGTTAAAGTAAAAATGTGCACATTTTCTCTTGACCTCATATTCATTTTCAGGATTGAGACTTACCAGCGCCAGTGTGTTGTTTTCTGAAGTCTATCCAAATATGAAAACCATTAACAGAATAAAGATTTTTTTTAATGCTGCTAACAAGTACAGGCTGTTTCTTTTATATCACATGTGTGCACCTAAGCAAGGCCAACATCACTGCCCCTTAAAACAAAGTCAGACAATCCACAGTCTTTTATGGGAGTCCCTGAACTCCATCATTTCACTGATTACCTCCAAGCAGAGAGCAGGGACTAATCAGTGAAATCACCTGGTGGAGTTTTGGGTTGGAAAGAAAACCTGCAGCCTCTCTGCCCTCCATGGCACATGATTGCCCACCCTGCTCTGGATCATTGCTGCAGACGTTTTGCTGACGTGGACCTGCCTGCTTTACAGTTGCTTCAACTCCTTGCAACAATATCACCTCTGTTCTTGAATGGGAATGGGTCTTTTAATATTGATTTTACCATTTACGCTGTCTTAGAACAAAGAATAACACCAGATTAGCTGATTCCTTTGTAGAGAAATCCAACTTGTTTTTTCTGTTAACATAATCACAAGAAACTTTTATTTTGATCATATCTTATTTTTTTGAGTTTTTTAAATAAGTTTACAAAATAGTTGCCTTCATTTCATTCTGGTCAAGCAGGAACTGAGAGCCCCTCTTATTCTGCGAAAAAAAGTTTGGGCCATTAAAAGTTCTGAATTAAAATTACTTAGTTTATTATACTATACCAATGTCAGAAATGGTTGCAAACATAAATCCGATCCGACCCCTAAACAAATTCTAAACATTACATGATTAAAGCTTTTGATTTCGACTAGTTTATCCTTTATTCCCTCTCCTCTCCCTTTTGTCATGTGTCTGTATGCACTGTAGTCATAGACTTATTATTTGGGTACAGTTGGTGGCGCTAAGCGTCCTTGAAAATCAGTAGGCTATAACCTACGAAGAAGTAGAGAGCGGAAGTGCATAGAAAACATGGCGTCGCCCGGTGTTGACACATTAGTAATTGACAAATCTGAATATATTTTGTGATATAAGTACAAAAAGGAGTACAGGCCTGGTTTTGACGCTGCACCAGCTCTATGGGCCAGGGCGACAGCTGCTGCTGTAACCATGTGGATGAGTCGTAAACCTGCTGGAGTTTCTCTGAGAGTCCTTCAACTGGTCCAGCACTGCTGGTTACAGACTGTATGTGGGACATGGGGCTGGAGGAGAGGGGGTGTGGGGCCAGCGGCTCAGCTCTGTAGGCTCATGTCGTCTTCAGGACCCCCCTGGAGGCTCCTGTTTTTCGGCTCGGATGAGTTCGCTGTAGAATCTTTGAAAGTCCTGACATCCAGCAGGTAAACCAGAAAGGGTCCACCTGACTGACTATCCGAGAGCCTTAAACGACCCTGAGTGGCACCGCAGGGGTGGGACAGCAGCTCTGAGCACAAGAGCACACCCGAATATTGAGAAATATTAAAGGGCCTTTTTTATTTGTGACTCTCTCTCTCTCTCTCTCTCTCTCTCTCTCTCTCTCTCTCTCTCTCTCTCACTCACTCTCTCGCTCTGTGTTTGTTATTGAGATAGAATCAGAGGTCTGTGGTTTGGTATGAAAAAAATCTAAAAACGAAACAAGCCACAGGTTACTATAGCAACAAATGAACGGTCGCTGCACTGGCGAAGCAACAAACTCTGGACTTTACAGGTGGATAAATGTCCTGAATATGAATTTATTTAAGCAGATACAGGTATCGGATAAGGGCTTGATGTTGGCAGATACTCTGATTTTGGATTATTTGGGTTGGGATTGAGGGCGAAGACAGGTTCATGAAAAAATCCCCAGTTACAGTTTAACCATTACAGCTTTTTGTTCAGTGTTTTAGTTCCTTTCAGCACCAGAAAGCCCACTATTTGAAGTGCAACAGCACAGGATCAAGATCAGTTTCTCTCCATTGATAATAAACATGAAACACATAGTGGTTGTGGGTGAACTGTGTCCAGTGAGAGGTAGTTATGTTGTCTTGCACAAGCGTTAATGTAAATACAGTATTTTTTTACCTTCTAGGATCTTTAAGGAGGTAAAATAACTCAGTTTGATCACAAATTTCCAGTTCAGAATCATAGATTTGTACACAACGTTGCAGCATGTGAAATTATTCTTGCATGTTGTTTTTGGGAGACAAGACTAACATCTGTGTTCTGTTTGTAGGAACTCCTCTGACGGATTAGTGAAGTCTCTGGAAGTTGTGACTCTGTCAGTTGATGTCCCAGTGAAAAAGTTCGCTCTCCAGCACCAACTCCCAACCCACAGCTGGCCCCCCCAAAATGTGGATGGACAGTTTGATGTGGGGTTGGTTGTGTCTTTTGGCTGTTTACTCCCTAAGAGACTCATCAACAAGTTTCCACAGTAAGTGTTTTTGTGTATCTGTGGTGTAATGGGGCTTTATTGCATTGCAGTAATTATACAAAACTGTCTAATTAAAGCCAGCGCTATGGGACAAAAAATCACTGAGGTGTTTAGTACACTGAAGCAACACCAAACATGACTGATTTAAGAGACAAACGAGAGACTGCAGTGAGTTCATCAGTTATTTGGGTCACACAACAGTGATTATCTCACAGACATAAATGTAGCTTTTGTCCTGCCAGGAGAAGAAGCTCCTGTCTTTTGATTGACCCAGGTCACTAAAGTCACTTTGTTGTCTTTGCAATAATCCAAGATGTAATTAAAATAAGCTGAACATGCACATCAAGCCCTTATGTGTCACTATGTGCACACTCTCTTTCAGTGGGATCTTGAATGTTCATCCGAGCCTGCTGCCGAGGTGGCGAGGCCCTGCCCCTGTTTTCCACACCATCCTGCATGGAGATACCATGACAGGAGTTACCATCATGCAGATTCGTCCGGACAGGTATGAACAGTGGGGGAGTCTGGGTTTTTGTTTTTAATTGAAGCACAAATAGTGTAAAAATAACTCCCTCACCTCCAGGTTTGATGTGGGCCCCATCCTAAACCAGGAGTTGCAGCAGGTCCCTGAGAACTGCACTGCTGATGAGCTTGGAAACGTTCTAGCCACCAAGGGAGCAAATCTGGTGAGTGTCTGAAACAGTGTTTCTCATCAGTGCCTGACTGTCTCCCTGACAGGACTGTGACTTAGCCGCCTTTTTGTGTTTGTTTGGTGGATTACAGCTGATTGACACATTGATGACGCTATCTGAGAGAATAGTGAACAGGAGGGAGCAAGCACAGACAGGTGTAACCTTTGGTAAGTAGGTATAAGCCACACAAGACAACTGTGGCTGCAGACCCAGAGGCTGCAGATTAAGGACTGCAAGTCTCAGACTTGTTTGTGCAGGAACACACAGTGGCTGCCAGTGACCTTATATTTAATGTCTAAAGCCTCCTGCTTACATGACTTTCATCCAACAGCCCCAAAAATCAATACATCCATGAGCTGGATTTTATGGGAGGAACAGACTTGTGACCAGATCGGCCGTCTGTACCGTGCCATCGGATCTCGGGTAACATAGACTGATCTGTAAGAATAATAATTTCTGTTGAATGCCACTTAAGGGATTTGTTTTTCTGCCTCCAGATACCTTTGAGGACCATGTGGATGGGGAGGACAGTCAAACTTTCACATTTTGTAGGAAGATGTCACATTTCATTTTCAGGTGAAGTATATCAAATTTAATTTATTCAACTGTAAATATGAAAAAGCAGAGTGTCTGTGTATGGAAATGTCCTCAAGGCCTCAGCGCTGCAGAACGTCGACACTGTAGCAACGGTCTCTGTCAGCCATGTGTTGATTAACTTTGATGACACGTATTCCCCATTTTAAGACTGGTGCAAGAGTGAATATGAGAGTACTGCAGCTTATAAAGGAGAACTGTCTAGAGAGGAGAGTCATTCATTCATATAACTGTTATCACGTTGTTTTGGATAGACTGCCTTGGTTAAATGTTTTACACTGGTACTGCAGTTTTTTTTTATTTAAGCACACGCACACTTCCCCTCTCAAGAAACAAGACACCTGCACCAGAGGACCATTTGTGTGTCTGTTTAGAAACACTGAGTTCATCATTTTCAAAAGAAGAGCATGTGTGCTAAATGAGAGTCCAGATGGGCTTCAGATTTGACAAATGCAAAGTGGTGTGTGTGTTTGCAGCCCTGTTCCATTCCTGAGCTCTTGTATTGATCTCAGGTGTTGTTCACAGATCAAAGACAAACACCAGTCCCTGGTTCAGTCCGGTATCAAAAGGAGTCCAGTATTCTAGCTGTCTGCTGCAAGGTCTGTTTAAATCTTATTTATGCTGGTGAAACAAAAAATGCAAAAACAAAAAATCAAAATTCAAAAGACAGCATATAATTGTCAAGAGATGGTTAGAATTTCACATCTAAAACCAAACATGAGCTAATTCCATAACTCCAAATGTTCCATTTTACACCACACAACACGTTAAAATGAATATTTTTTTCCCCCTTTTTACCACAAAAAGATTTTGAAGTGATATTTTTTTTAGGCTAAATGTGCTGAGATGATTGTTCTGGTCTTTGTTGTCTTCTCCAGGATGGCTGGGTAGGGTTTAAAGAAGTGCTGCTGAAGAAGAGGCTGACAGCAGCCGATTTCTACAATGGTTACCTACATCAGACAGATGAGCAGTTGTTCGTCAGCAGGAAAACAGCTTCCAAAGACCATCAAACCAGAGGAAAATACACAGTGCAGACATGACTGATGAAATATTCTGTTTGGTTTGTATTTTACACTTGTCTGTTTTAGGACATGCTGAATTTATGTATCATACATTTGAAATAAACTGATGTAGGTTTTACAAATAAATACCAGAAAGAATAGTGGAAACATTTTGGATCTTATTATTAACCATGCTTTGGGTTTAATTAGGTGCTACAAAAACTACATGAATGTAATGTTAAGGTATGGAAGTGTCTAACTGAGAAAGGGCTGAGTTCAAGGTACTGTCTTGTTTATAGCAGCATTAAGCTCAACAGACTTGGTGGAGACCGCCACTGTGAGGCTTCACCAGTGGGACTGCTGAGCAAGGGAGGGTTTTAGTTTTCCACTGGACTGCAAGATATCCCTGAATATTCTCATTTCTATACACCATCCAAGTACAAACAGAATAAACATTTTAATAATCTTGATCAGATATGAGGTAGTTAAAAAGTTTGACTCATCACCTGGTTAAAGAATAATTGTCTAACTGGATAACTCAAAAACCACAAACAGCATTCATTAATGGAAGTTACTTTCAAATTGATTGATTCGATTGATTTCAAATCATTGATGAAAACAGAGGTTTAAGATAAATAAGGCCCATGGAAAATTACTAATAAAATTTGTAATGCATACATATTTTTTGTTTTTTTCTTTTTGGCCTTTCGATCGCAGAGCATGTATCACTTTTTCAAAAAAATAATCCACATTTTATTCTTCCTCTCAAAATCCCACCACGGCACATTAATACCTGCTGGAAGAAAGAGGGAGACAACCAGGCTTCCTCTATGGAGACAGAGGGCTTTCTGTTGTTTCAATGCCTTTACTTGATGAAGGTATTGTAGGTTTACACTGTAAGAAGTGTCACTAAATGCCTCTGCCGGTGTTGGAACTTGCTCTGCTTCTTAATATGCTTGTACTTGCATATTGTGCACTGACATAGACTTGAATTATTGTCATATGATTATCAAGTTCTTTGACAATAATTTCCATTTTTTTCCCCTTGCCATAGCAATCTCAACTTTTAATTGTTCAAAAGATGCTATGATTACAGCTGCATGTCTTGGAAATGTTGAATATTTTTCATCCATCATTTAAATGAAAATTTGATGTCTCCTACATGTCTCCTTACATTTGTGTGAAGACATTTAAAGGGTTTTCAGAAAAAAATTGAGTTTTTCACAGAGAAGAAAGTGAGATACAGAGCAACCTGCCATAGGCTGATCGCCTCCATACCATTCTTTAATGATGCAGTAGTTTGTAAGGAAAAAGCCCAAACTAAGTCATGAGTGTATGATTGTACACACTTTTTAGAGGTTGCAATCGCAATCCTTTTAAACTCCCCCTTCTCTTTATTCCATCCATATTGATATTTCATAGACATTAATGCCAAAAATGCTAAAATATTTTATTTTGCATGCAATAATAAGCTATGGCAGAGTTTTATAAAGTTCACGTTTTTGACATAAATTGTGAAAATATACATTTTTTCCCGCTGTGTAGTTTTTTCGACAGACAATTGTATGTGAATGATCAAATTTTAAAAATGAAACAACAAAAAGAAAAAACAAAACAGAAAAGCATCAATTAAGACAAACCCAGATGAAATAGTCTTCAGTAGTCTTCTGAAGTATCTGTACCCAGTTTTCAAATACCATGTTCCCTAAATCTCTAAGAAAGACCAAGTATAGGCTAGTTTAAATAGAAATATTTTTTGCAATATTTTAGTTGAAGCTGCTGTAAGCAACTTTTGTTTTGCATCAACTTTGGCGCCCACTGTGACCAAAGTAGACTTTCTTTTCTTCCACATATTTGGATTATTTTTTTGATGAGAATCTCATCCTGCTGACTTTGCTGTCTTGTTTGCTTTCGGATATCATGAAAAGGTGTCTGAATGAATTTCAGTGTATTGCATAATTGAAAAAACTCATGGGAGCTTTAAACTGTTTTTTAAAACTGCTGTCAAAACTGACTGTGAGAATCGGTCCAGCTGTCATAAGAAACAGACTCGCTTTATGTTACTCTGAGAAAACAACGAAAACATTTTGGAAACATTGTGTCCTCGCTTTCTCCCCTTAGAGCATAGGTTTGACATTTGTCAACACTGAAAAGAGCAATTAAGGAAAACGTGAACCTAATCTGAAGACTGTAAACCAACAGGGATCCCTTCTCTGGGCTGTACCAAATTACGGTTTGACCAAGGGAACTATCACTGTTCCCTTTGAGCCCCTTCTCAAACAGGCTTTGATACGGATGATCCTTCCTAGAGAGGGTTTCTATCTGAGGAATAAAGTTCAACATACAGCCGCCAAATGTTATACTTAAAGGAATATAACATAAAGTTCACTGAGATCCGCTGTTCTCCTCTGTCGCCTCCCTCCCCCCGCGACCGTTGAGTGGTAACGGTTCAGCTACACAGACTGCCATTTTACATTGAGAGTGCTAACATTAGCTGCCCGAAGGAGTAACACACCACTGTATCACCTGTGCAGTGCTTATCTACTTTGCACGAGTCCTGTTTAGGCAACGTTATAGGACGAACAGACATCCTGAAACGAATCACTGTTCCAAGCACAGGTGACATAAACTGTTCCGTTCAGACCGAGGGTGAGTGTGTCTGTTGAAGTTATCCAGAAGCTATTCTAGCTAGCTCCTGATACCATAACATTCCCACGGTGCTGTTTCTGTTTCTGTAAGCCGGATCTCCAAAGTACTGCAAGTGTTTATGTGTGGCTTTATGTGTGGCTTATAATCTTGGATGAGCTTCATCTTGACATTTAGGTGACAGTTGACATCATTGCAGAGTTGTTTGGTTGCATGACTAAGTTGTGATGTATCTCAGATGTCCTGGACCTGGAGCAGCTGCTTTTGGCTCTGATGTAGAAATCTGTAGTTATTAATGGATGTAAAGGGTTGTGCACCTGATGTTATTGAGCTTTGTCATTTTCACCAACTTTAATGCCACACTTCACGATTAAACAGATAAGATCATGTTTTGAGAAAGTAAAGCTCCAAAAAGCAGATACAGGAGAGGGACCAATGCTGTGATAGAAGCGTCATATAAAAACACAGTCATATTTATCTGTGAAAGCTTTAACTGTCCATGGATGTAAACATAAAGATATTCAGTCAGGTTGAAAAACACAGGATTGTTTATCCTAGTAAAAATTTAAGATAACTTCGGTAAGAGCCTGTAATAATTAACAGTGGATTTATAATTCTAAACAGGCATGACTCACATTTTACACATTAGTTTATTTTTTCTTCTTTTGACAGCTTTGAACTTCCTTGACTTAAAGAGTTATTGCTCACAGCTTCTGCTGGTGTGGTGTACTCTGTAGCAGCATGCTGTTAGGCTGTGCTCACATTTGTTAGCAATCACCTGATGGCGAAGTTTTGAAGGTTTTAGTTGAGACATACTGAACCAATAATGACCGCAGAGTTCAGTCTTTGCTTCAGCAGCCAACACTGTGTTTTTATGGTCTAAACATATTCAGGCCATGAGGGAGCTGAAAACTGAAGCTAGGAGGCAAACCTCGGCTCGGGTCTTCTAATGTAATTCTGAAAAGTGAAGAAGTCAGTGAAGCTGTGTTTGGTGTGGAGTTTTTTTATAATGATAGATGGAGACTGCTGCTGATCGCTTCTGATCAGAGGGGTCCCAAAGTACTGTTGCTAGGTGATACGTTGGTTGATAGTTTACACACTTGGTCCACGAGGTAACTTAGGATCTCTCCTGCTCTTCAGCTGGCCTTGAAGTTGATCCCTTGTACGGTGCTCCTCCAGTTAGTGGATTTTGACTTTTGTGCGGGTTCCTGTAGAGGTGAGGGCAGGGCTGTCAGTGTGTATTAGATTCTCATAATTTATTTTTCATCCTTCTCCATGTTTTCAGGATGATTGATGTATCATTTGACCATCACAACTGTGATGTACTTATGCATAATATTCACATCCCAGGGTCATAAAACCACATCATGCTGTCACTGTTGTTTTTCAGGATTCATGTTTGATAAGTTTCTAATATCCCTTAAATGCAGCCCCTCATATGACTATTGGATGTAAACATAGCACAACTACTGCCATCATTGATAGCCCGGCAGATGCTCTGTTTGGTGTAGAGATGGCTTTTTTTTCTAGCACTTTGTTAACCCTAAGAGAGCTCTTCATATGAAAATCTGTTGTAAGGAGTGAGGAGGATTTCTTAGAGGCTTTAGAGTGACTCAGCTCAGGAAACTCTTCAGCCTCTTAAAAGTCCTCTCATCTCTTCTGTACAGATTTTCACATTAGGAGGGAATAACTTTTACTGCGCTCTCTTAGGAACGGAAAGGCTTTGTGAATAACTTTTATCTTTATACAGTTCTAGCCTCAACTTTTGAGGAAGATTCTTAGAAAACGACATGACTCAGAGAATTTCATCCGAGAAGCAACTCTTCAGATCAGGAGGCTCTGTGAATTCAGGCCAAGGACTCATCAGGGATCACTGCATGGTCTGGAGTCACTGAACTCATCATATCATTTTATTCTCTGGTATCTTTAGCAGCAATGTCACATTGTTTTTGGAGTTTGTGTCCTGTAACTTTGGTGGCTGCAGTTTCACCTCTGCTCCAACATTTGTCAGACAAAAGCAGAAATTGATTTAAATTCTATTGTGATGCATCAAACCAAATCTGACAGCTGACAGCGTTTTCATGTGACAGCTTTGACACAATCAGAAACAACTCTGTTTACTATGATCATATATTTTAGTGCTATTCATTTTGCTCATAACTTGTTTATTGTAACTTTGTACTTGGTCCAAGTATGAGAGCAGTGCAAGTAATTAACAGTTACATTGGGAACTTATTGTCTAAATTTTCTGGGAAACATTAGCTACTTAAGACCCTGGTTGATCGGGACTGCATGCTAAAGTGCTGACACAGTGCTCTGCTGTTCAGTCAGGCGCTTCAGCATCATCTTCACTGTCTTAACTTTCGGTGCTGGTTTGAGGTTGGTTATCAGCCTACAGTCACTCCCTTTCACTTTGCTTCATTGTCATGTGACAGAAAACTAGCAAGTGTGCTGTCAGGGGAGTAAAAGAGAGACTTTAAGGAGAACACTGAGAGTTTCTTTAGTTGGCTGGCTTGTTTTTCTGAAAATGTTGTTCATGATTCATGAAGTTGGTGATGCGGTGTGGATGTGGCATGCATCGGCACAGAACGCTCACAGTTTTGGAGAAAGAAGCTGAAAAACTTGAAGTGGCTCTGCTTTGTAGATGGCACAATGCACTGCATTCAATCTGAAACCTAGTGATGAAATAAGAGACAATGTTGATTTGCACAGTGTATCGTAGTTGTGCCGCTCCTAAATCTTCACTGGTAGTTGGTGTTTTGAGCAAATAAAACAGATATGAGCAGTTTTGTCATTGTGTAGTCTGAATGTGACTACATGTACACCTCTCAGATGAATTACACTGTACAGTCTGTGTTTGACCTACCCACAGCTTCAATTTAATGTGTTGTGGGTTCCTGTTAAATGTCTGACCATTTGTTGTCTTCATGTCATACAAAAGTATTCACCCTCTTCACCATATCCACTTGTTACAGCTGCAAATTCACTCCATTTGTAAAGTATCCTCCATCCACTCCAAAGGGAGTAACTTAAAAGTTCAAACAGTAAACCCCTTCCTCCTGGAAAAACTGGAACAGTCAAAGAGGGTGAATATTTATCTGAAGAACTGCATTGACTGTAATTGTCTTTGTCTGTCTGGTCTTGCATGTGTTTGTATGTTAGTGTGAAGCCGTGGATGGAAAGCCTGGAACCTGAAATCCTGTATGTGTCTCCGGAGCAGGCTGGGCAGCCCACTCTCCCCCTCCCTAACTCTGAGGGCTCCAACTTGGCACTGGGGGGGTAAGGAGCCACAGCCCACTGTACTCTGTTCATAGTAGAAAATAAGAATAACTTTACTAATCCCCGAAGGGAAATTCAATTGTCTGTTGTTTCACATAATATATCTGACAGTTATCTACTATTTATACAAGAGTTATAAAGTCTGATGGCTGTTGTTACAAAAGATCTTCTGAATCCTTCTGTCCTGCAGCGAAGAGAGAGGAGCCGTCCAATACCATGGACACATTTAGTCCATCAAGGTGTTGTGAAGTGGGTGATCCATGTTCTTTAGAATAGTCTCCACCTTCCTCAGTGTAAATCTCTCCACCACATCCTCCACTGAGTCCAGCTTCAGTCCTTCCAGAGAGCCAGCCTTTTTCACCAGTTTGTTAAGACGTCTTGCATCTTTGTGTTTGATGCTTCCTCCCTAGCAGACTGCAGCATAGAACAGAACACTGTAGACACAACAGACTGATAAAACATCTGCAGCATCTTACTACAGACGTCTATTGATCGGAGTCTTCTCAGGCAAAAGAGGCAGATCTGCCCCTTTCTGTAGATGTAGTCTATATTCTTAGACCAGTCCAACTTTTTATCCAGATGTACACCTAGGTATTTATATGATGTCACCACTTCGATGTCCACTCCACAGGTGTTCACTGGTTGAAGAGGGGGTTTGGATCTATGGAAGTCTATGACCATCTCCTTTGTCTTTGAGGTGTTGAGGAGGAGGCAGTTTTTGTGACTCCAGTCACTGAAGGCTCTTATCAGATCTCTGTATTCAGCTTCTTGTCCATTTCTGATACATGCCACAATAGCAGTGTCATCTGAGTATTTCTGGATGTGGCAGGACCATAGACTGTATATACTATGGACAAATCTGCCTACCACCTGTATACGGATTTGGAGCCAAAAAGCTCTCGATATTTACGTGATTTTCTTTATTTCCTGAAACCAGCGCTGCGCAGTAGCGATGCGCGCATTCGGCCGCGCAGTCGCCGAGAGTCCCAGTGATGACGCTCGGCTCAAACAGCGTATTCCCCCGGAAGAGCTACGCAATCCCTGAACGCCCATAGGCTGTACCAGGTGTCAATCATAGAAAACATGAACCCCCTAATAACTTTTAAAAACGGAGCTGTACAGAAAAAAAAGGACTTGGGCACAAACCAGTCTTACTGTAACTATATGTCAACATCACAACCAGGGGGGAGAAAAAATTATGTTCTGTGTAATAAATTTCTAAAGTTTGTCCACAGTCCCATAAGCTTTGATGGTGGAGGCGGGATTTATGACCTGTACTGCAGCCCACCATCAGAGGGTGCTGTTCTCGGAGTGGCTTTACCCAGCGAGGAGGCAGACTCTGTCCATCTTATATACAGTCTATGGTCTAAACTGCTAATGCTACTCGTACCGTCAGCAGTGACAGGCTGTACAGACTCTGCTCGCATTTTCATGCTTCCCGCATAATCACTCGGGGACAACAGATTTGTTATGTTGCCGGTTTATCGGCTTAATTGCTAGACGTCACTATGGGGAGACATTGAATAACTCCTCAACTATGACATCTTCTGAGGATGACTCAAAGTCACAGCTGACATCTGTTTTGCTGCCCTCAACTCTGCGTTTAGCTCCGTGTTAGGTCATTCTGTTTACTTCTCCTGTTTACTTCTCCGGTAACTTACAGAAGTGAGCAGGAAAAGCCAGACTCTGATTGGCTGTTGTGACGCACGTATCTGCCATGTTTGATCTAGTAAATATGCTCACAGCTGATCACCGTGATCGAACTGAAATTTATTGCGATCGTCGATCACGATCATATAATCGCCCAGTCCTAGGAGGAAAGGGAGAAGTTGTAGTGGAGATTTGTTGCGGAGAGGAAGGTGGATCAGCAGTGGAAGTGGGTGTGACTGCAGTGTCAAATCTGTTGAAGAACAGGTTGAGTTCATCAGCTCTTTCCAGATCACCCACCACTGGCTGTCTTTTCTTTTGACTGCTGTGTCCAGAGATGGTACTGATTCCTCTCCACACTTCATGGATGTTGCTGTGTTGAAGATTATTCTCTATCCTCTTTTTGTACTCCAGCTTTGCCATCTTCAGTCTCCTCTTCAACTCTTGTTGCACTTGTTGAAGTTGTTATTTGTCACCATCTTTAAAAGCTTTCTTTTTCTGGTTAAGGATTGCTTTTATGTCACTTGTGATCCAGGGTTTGTTGTTGGGGAAACAGTGAACAGTCTTTGTCTGTATAACTGTGTCTCTACAGAAGTTGACATATTCAGTAAAGCAGTCAACCTGTTCATACTATCCACGTCTGTTTCCAGCAGCACATTCCAGTCTGTTGATTTAAAACAGTCCCCTAGAGCTTCACAGGCTTGAGGTGTCCATCTTCTTATTTTGACTTTGGTCACAGGCTGCCTCAGTACACAAGGTCTGTAACAGGTTTGTAGATAGACCGTTATGATCTGACTTGCCCAGTGGTGGTAAGGCAGTGGCTCTGTAGGCTTCTTTGATGTTGGCATACAGCAGATCCAGGGTTTTGTTTTCTCTGGTAGGACAGTTCACAAACTGTGTGAATCCAGTCAGGTGAGAGGAGAGGGTGACATGGTTGAAGTCTCTTCATAATATTATTATTAGTGGCTCCAGGTGTTGAGTCTGTAGCCTGGCAACACTTTTTTGCAAAACATCACACAGAATTTCTTCAGTTGATTTGGGTGGGATGTAAACAGCTATTGTTATTATGACTGAATTCTCTTTGAACATAATATGGCCGAAGAGCAACTGCCAACAGTTCAATATCTGGACAACACAACTTCTCCTTGACAGTTATGTGTGAAGGGTTACACCATCTCTGGTTGACAAATAAAGCCAGACCTCCTCCTTTCTTCTTGCCACTAGCTTGAGCATCTCTGTCTGACCTTATGAGAGTGAAACCAGGTAGATCCAAACTGGAGTCTGAGTTGTTTTGATTCAACCAGGTTTCAGTAAAACACAGGAAACTGCACTCAAGGTATGCTTTCTCAGTCTTCACCAATATCTCCAGCTCATTGCTTTTGTTGGGCAGAGAGTTGACGTTTCCCATGATGATTGATGGAAAAAAAGGGTTTATATCGCCACCTCCTAGCATTCAGCTTTGCCTTCACCTTTGCACCAGCATGGCAACCAGGATAACACCTCCTGATGTCCTCTGGAATTGTATGTTGTTGTCCAGATTTGCTTTTCTCTTAATGAAAGGAGCTCTTCTCTTGAGTAAACTCGTTGCCCAGCAGATGTATCCATCAGCAGTCAACAAAATGACAACAAAAATATTTAAAAAATCTAGCAAAAATTACAAAAATTACAGCTAATGCAGAGAGACCAGACTTGCAGCAACCTCTCGGTTCAAGCGCATCATTTGAAAAATGAAAAAAAGGGGTTATAATGATGCCGCCCACTCTATGGAGTCCTCATACACGATCAACTATATCTATTTTTCTAGACAGTATTTGTAATTTTTTTTGGATGGTCACAATAGATATTGACACAAGGTGCACACAAACAACAATTCGCCCGAATGCCGACTTGTGCTGGAGAATGGGCCGCCTGTCCTACAGCCTGGGGGTTCCTGCTGGAGTTATCAACCCACAAGGACAAAAGTGATCGCCGTTTATCACCGGTGATTCTGGACAACATCCCACCCGAGCTGAGATGGCCAGCTAAGCGTAGGAAACGGGGAAAGAGAGGCAGGATTTGGAACCGCCTGAGGCGACAGTACACCAGACCACCGCTCCCTGCCATCATCCTTAGTAACCTACGCTCCCTGAACAACAAGGTGGAAGAGGTCTGAGCCTATAAAAGGTACTGCTACGAATTCCGTGAAGCATCTCTACTTTGTTTCACGGAGAGCTGGCTCCAACCTGATGCACCCGACTCCCTGTATGAGATCAGTGGATTCACGCTCGTGCGAGCCAACAGAGACACAAACCCTGGGAAATCCAAAGGAGGAGGAATCCTCACGTATGTAAATGACCTATGGTGCCGTCAGTTCACTGTAAGAGAAACAATCTGCAATGCAAATGTGGACATACTTGGCATAAGTTTAAGACCATTTTATTTACCCCGTGAATATGGAAGCATCCTGCTGTGTGTTGTTTATGTGCCGCCAAGCGGCAAAGTGGCCGTCACTATTGCCGACTGTGTTCATAGCCTACAGCAGCGATATCCAGGTTCACCTACTATAGTTTTGGGGGATCTAAATCATTGCTTCTTGGACAGCACGTTGCCTGGTTTCAACCAGTTTGTAAAAAGTCCAAAGACAAAACCCTTGACAAATGCTATGTGAACGTTAAAATGGCATATGAGTCCAGAATTAGACCCCCCATAGCCAACTCAGACCACAACGTGGTGTACTTATTCCCTACCTACAAAGCAAAGCTAAAAAGCAGCAAGCCAGAAGAGAGGGAAATAATGAAATGGTCACCCGAGAGTAGGGAGCGGCTGGGAGCCTGCTTTGACTGTACAGACTGGGAGGCATTCCACAGTACCTCCATAGATGAAACAACCACTGTGACCAGTGACTATATCAACTTCTGTGTGCAGATGGCCATCCCCACGAAAAAAAATCAAGATCTATCCCTATAATAAACTGTATGTGACTAGAGACAATAAAAATGATATTAATGACAGGAAAACTGCGTTTAAGAAAAAGGACATAGGCAAGAACCTAAAGAAGAAACTAAGGGAGGCGAAGCAGACTCACAGAAAGCGTCTGGAGGAGTCATTTCACGCAAACAACCCTAAAAGACTCTGGGACACTATGAAAAGTATGACCGGCATGACCCCATCCAATAAGCCTATTATGACCGAAAATGAACTGGTGTTTGCCAATGAACTTAACACCTTCTTCTCACGCTTTGAGAGTGTTAGCATTGATGGTATAGATAAGTGTGCAGGCATACTTGAGTCTATTGTGCCCTCTTCAGAGGACAGAAGCATGATTAGTGAGGAGGTGACCAGGCACACCTTCCTGCGTCTCAACTCAAAGAAAGCCCCTGGCCCGGATTTAATTAGCCCCCTCATTTTGAAAGACTTTGCCACAGAATTGGCACCTGTATGGCAGCCTATCTTTCAACAGATTGTTGATAATCCCCATACCATTCCACAAGCCTGGTTGACTGCATATATAAAACCCCTCCCAAAAAAAGCCAGTTCCCAAAGAATGTAATGACTATAGGCCAATAGCACTTACATGGGTTATCATGAAAGCTCTGGAAAAGATTATGGTTCATTATCTCAACAATGCCATATCAAACTCACAGGATCCATTTCAATTTGCTTACAAGCAAGGTCGCAGTACAGAGGATGCAGTTGTTATACTGGTGCACCTCATCTCCAAACATTTAGATAAACCATACTCTTATGCCAGAGGTCTTTTCATAGATTTTCCTTCCGCTTTTGATACGATACAGCCAGACTTACTTCTCACTAAAATGGTTCAGTTACAGATCAATCCCTTTGTTATTCAGTTCTATCACACGTTCCTCACAAACAGAATCCAGCATGTAAAGGTGAACAAGACACTGTCCTCTCCCATTAGGACCAGAGTTGGTCCACCCCAGGGCTGCATCAGCTCACCCGTACTTTTTACACTCTACACAGCAGACTGTAACCCCTGTGAGCCAAATCAGTTTCTTCTGAAATACTCAGATGATTCTACCCTGATAGCTCTGATGACTGACAGTGATGACCCGAGACAGTACCAGTGTAGTGTTGACCGATTAGTGGATTGGTGTGACAATAGCCATCTGATTATCAACACAAAAAAGACAGAGGAAATTATCTTTAGCCTTGCCCCTGGTGGTTTGACACCGCCAGGGGCTATCCATGGTGCAGATATTGTAAAAGTTCCATCCTACAAATATCTGGGAGTGCTGATAGATAACACCTTATCATGGTCATATCATATTGACTGTATCTGTAAGAGGGTACAGCAGCGTATCCACTCCCTACGCAGACTTAGATCGTTTGGTGCTAGCAGTCAGATTTTGTCTCCCTTTTATACTTCTGTCGTTCAAACTGTGATGCTGTACTGTAGCACAGCCTGGTTCAATAGCCTATCTGTCACCTACAAGAACAAACTGTTTAGCCTAATTAAGATCCGTGCTAAAATCACTGGTAGGCCGGTTGATGTTGTGCTACACGCCTTTCAGGAAGCCCATACTAAGAGTATGCTTAGACTGGCAAACAGTATCTCCTCCGATCCCCTACATGCATTAAATGGAGAATACCAGCTGCTGCCCTCCAGGAGGCGTTTTAGAGTTCCCACATTTAAGAAAAACAGACTAAAGAACTCTTTTGTTCATCAGTCCATTCTGCTTTTGAACCAGAATCAATAACTCAGAGGATATGTTTATTTTTATTTTTCTCTTTCTGATGCTGTGATGCATCCCCTTATTGTCTGCTGTCCTGTCTTGGAATGTACTGTGATTATGATGTATTGCTGTGTCCTGTCTGTGTCCAGAACGGTGAAGCCATGGAGGCAAGACAAATTTCAGCGCAAGCTGACAAAGTTGTATCGTATCGTATTGTATAACAGACTTGAAAACTAACTGTTTAAAGAACATCAAGAGAGGAATGATCTCAAATCCTAAAGCTTTATGAAGTAAATTAGCATTTTTATTGTCTTGTAAGTCATGTCAGTAGGCTTATACTGTAGATCTGCAGTCTATATCCTACAGCGGTTTTTACACTGATGACTTGTTTGCTTTGCCCCAAATCATTTGAAAAAAATGAATCGTGTTGAATCTTCTTAGTTGATTGTTCTGTGTTTCAGTTGTAAGAGTGACCATGTAAACTTACAGCCATTGTCAGGGCACAACAGCTGTTTAAAGACTGAGAGACTGAGTGCATTCACAAGACTCACGGTGGACCACATACCTCCATTTTTTTTTTTTTTTGAAATGTCAAATGAACTCATCAGATAGATCTCTCTCATGAAAGACAAAAAGGTATTTATAAGAGATGCATATGGCTGAAAGTTGACAGGGTCACTGTTAACGCAGACACACAAGCTTCAAGACACTAACTCACTTTAGCCCGTCAGCCTGCTCCAAATGTCTTGTGGGCTGACCTGGAGCAACAAAGAGCAACAACTACACTAGTTTCTGGACCAATAGTTGTTGTGGAGTCTTGCAATGTTTAGCCCCAGAGCTTGAGCTAAATGATTGAATAGTTAGAAACGGTGAGTAACATTAGCCTTTCACTATCATAATGCTAACCATCAGTTGTGGCAGTTGTAGTTCACCAGCATACCACTACTAGTGTAATGAGTGAAACGGCTGCTTTCATTGGTTGCTGTGTCGATGTCATTTTCACTGCCAACAAACCACTTTGGGGTTTGATTAGAAGTGAGCTAAGAGCACCTCTTCTCAGCCATCAGGACTTGTAAGTTTATCCCACTCCAGAAATATGGTTGCTGTGCTCACACATTTCCAAAATGATCTGTGTGGATCCAGAGGGTCATTTCAGAACATCTGCCGGGGTGAAAACAGCTGAAATGTTTGTTAGGTGCAGCCTGCGTCGTCACGTATGCACAGACAAAAGCTTATGTCCTTTAACATTGGTTCCCCTCAGTTTTCACACACACACACACACACACACACACACAAATCACTAAAAACAGTGCAGCCCATAGGACAACAGGGTAAACACAGCCCCCCTCGGCCGGAACCTAATTGTCAGCTACTGCTGTGGCTAGTCCAGGGATTAGGTACTGGCTGGGGAGTCCTATTCACTCCCTCTTTCATTCCCTTTGCCCACTGGGCCTTATCACCATCAATCTGACATGCTGTTTATCTGACGCTGCAGCCAAATCTGCTGGTCTAGGTGAAATGGTCACAAAGGCTGTGGACCATCAGCATTTTGATTGTGGACCCCAAATGGCCATTACTATCTATGGCCCCAGTGATCCCAGCAGCCCTCTTTGGATAGTCCCTATCCCAAAACCTGGAAAGCTGACCTGGAGGTCTGTTGCTTTGTTTCTGTCAGTTGTGCTCTTCTTCAGTCTCAATCAAGGTGGTTCTTCGTGTGCTGTGTATATGTTTCGTTGGACAGGATCTCCATGTGGATTTGTTCGCTGCAGTACACTGCTTTTTTGAAACAGTGCTTTACTTTGCTATTCCCTTTACCGGGGATTTACCAGCAAGTGAACAATCTGGAGTTTACCACTAAAGACTGATCACTGTGTCAGTTTTGCTTCATTGTGTTAAAGAAGAAGAAGTAGAAGAAAAAGCATTTAAGCATTATGGCCTCCTTTAAGCTGGATTTTCTTCCAGAGATGATGGTGGACCACTGCTCTTTGAATTCAAGCCCGGTGTAAGTACCTTTCTGTGGCCAGCCTTGTAAGTATGGTGTGTTCCTGGGGTTTTCCTTTGTTGAGGTAAATCTTCACATATGAAGTGATTTGTTATAACATTAAGTAGCTGCTGTTGGTGATATTTTAACAAAATTGAATCGTGGGATGATTGACAAAAAACTCATTCAAGTGTTTGCAGGAAATACCCAGAAATGTTGTGAGTTCTTGTACATAGAATTTGCAACTGCACAATGATCCAGTCCTCTGGTATATAGTCTTTTGGAGCCTACCAGTAACTTCATCCTATTCACAGCTTGTTAATGTCATGGGAAAGCCTTATTTGGTCATAGACTATTCTGTCTTTGATACATGGCATACTAATTGAACTTACAGTCTTTATTGTCGAACAGGCTGCTCCAGCTCATAGGCAAAGACTGCCTGTCTGACATGTATGATATATTGACTCTTTTCCTTCCCCAAAAAGTCTCAAAAACAGATCCTCCCTGAAAGCATCAGTTATTATTCTTAACCCTTGTGTAATGCTGTGGCTGAAATAAGCCACTAGGGGCAAAATTTAGCCACTAATTTCCACATAACTTTTTTTTTACTGCAGCAAATGGGATGATTTTTTGTGCAGATTCTTATATTGATGAACACTTTGAGAATATAACTTCAAAATTTTCACCAGGTCAAAAATATGGGCTTGGCAAATTTTCATCCGTTGTTAACGATCAGTGGCTAAAAACAGCCGCTAACTTTGACTGCTTTAAAAACATATTGAGTTAATATTTTTTTCCAATTTTTTTTCATATATTTCTTTATTAACTTCTGTTTTGATCAAAACTAGTAAATGTTTTTCATCTAAAAATATTTTTTCAACCCTTTGAGGGTCCATTAAAAACATAATGTCACAGATATGGTAGAAAATAAATCTAATAAAAATCAGTCATTTTCCTCCCATTTTTTCCCAATATTAGTGACTTTATGTTTTAAATGGGTCCTTAAAGGGTTAAAATTTGGATTCTTAATGAAACATTTACTAGTTTTAAATAGAGCAGAAGTGAATTAAGAGATATATGAAAAAAAATCTGGAAAAAATATGAATCCAATATGTTTTTACAGCAGTCAGTGTCAGTGGCTGTTTTTAGCCACTGCGCGTTAAGAAAGGATGTAAATCTAAGGGTTAAACAAGGGAGGAACATATTTTGAAGTGACATTTCTGTTACTTTTATGAATAGCTTCAGTCTTAAATGATCAGATAAGGCTGCAGAATAAAAATATGTAAAAACGATGTAAAGGTTAAGAATGGGGACATAAAATAACAATTTGGTCATTTACACTGAAGTGTTGGTGTTTGATGAGGGCCACTTTTAGTAGAAGTATAAATCAGTCATTATAGCAGGAGGAAGAAAGCAGAGCTTGACTTTGGTGGTACAACACTATATTTCACTTCCCACAGGGTGAGGTAGGATATTGCAGGGGTTGGTATGGCCTTTTCATGTAGTGGGACCCAGGAGGCTCACTTTACACCACTGAAGCTGATTAGAGATTAACAACTACAATTTGGTAGTCATGAAAGGGCTACTTTACTGGAGTCACACTCTTGTTGTGATACCTTGAAATTCCTTCAACATATTGTGAATAATGTTTTTTTAATTAGACAGCAGAATTTGTTTTGTGTTGTGGAGGCTGGGGTCCCATTCATGGAAGAGTGTGTATCATCCATGCTACAAATGGACAGCACAAAACTCTTGAAAAGGGATCAAATGCAAAGCATTAGTACTTTTATAAATAACTGCCATGTGCACTCATAAAAAGCCTCTCATTCCTGTCTCTACTGCTGAACATACAGTAAACGGTACATGTATAGCACCTCATCAATAAATGTTTGTCAGTGTTCCCTCTTCAGTCAAGCTTGTCTCTATGATCACAGCCTTTCTGTAGGCAAAGGTGTATGTTTATTTTTTGGTGTGCCTTTTGTGCGTTATGAGCAAAACCTCAAGTTGTCTGGCTCTATATTTCTTAACAGTAATGGGACAGAATCCCCTCAGAAGTTGAGAGTTGGTTACATTGAGGGCACAACAACTTTTATATGTGTTATTCTCTTGGAAATAAGAGGACTAAAGCCATTGGGTTGAACTATGAAAACCCTGCGAAGGCAGCATATCTAATGATGAAATAAGATTGTTTTTTCCGGATTATGAGACATATTTGCCCATTAAAAATTTGACTCCAGCAACAGTTTCATGATAACTTTGGACCAGCTCAGGTTTACTGCTATAATGCAGCTTTCCTCTTAGTGACTCAGCACTCCTGAAATGTCCTTTAATGCTCAGTCGTGTTACTGACTTGTGAAAATGAAGCTAAATAGTTAAGTGTTCCCCCAGGTGCTTTTTTTGCATTACACAACATTTTCAGTGTTTTCTTGCTCTTATCTGAATGAATTGTTGCTGGATTCATCAAGCACATGTAGGCTAGCCTATGTAAGCTTAACCACAGCAGAGATTCCAAGCAGCCAAACACTGCTGAGCTATTAAAATGTGATGCTGATGACGAACAAAGACAATATAAGCTTTGCTAGTGAATCAGACTTCTCATCTACCTTGATGTATGATACCAGTGTACCTCATACTGTCTCACTCTTGTACAAACCTCAGTTCCAGTGAAGATGGGATGTTGTGTAAAACTTAAATAAAAACAGAATACAATGATATCCTTTTCCAATAATATTCAACTGACTACACTACAAAGACAAGATATTTGATGTTCAATCTGATTAACTTGATTGTGTTTTCTAAATATTCACTCACTTTGAATTTGATCTTGGAGCATGTTTGTAAAAATCTGGTTTAGGGTCATGTTTCTCTCTGTGTTTCATCACCTTTCCTTTAACAGTACTCAACAAGTCTGTGTGAACTGAGGACACTAACTGTTGAAGCTTTGGAGGTTAATTCTTACACAGTCTTGATTATTCTACCACTTCAGACCACTTTTAAGCTTCATAATGCTCCACACAGTTTCAAAGGGCGACAGGTCTGGACTGCAGGCAGACCAGTCTCGTACCTGGACTTGTTGACTCGGCATTAATGGAGCCTTTACACATGTGACAGTTAGCCATGGGCACTAACACACCCCCTGACCATCACCGATGCTGGCTTTGAACTTTGACCTGAGAACAGTCTGGATGGTCCTTTCCTCTTTAGTCCATGGTTTCAAGTTGTGTGTTGAGAAACATTGTTCTTAAACTGTTGGACTGTTTGCCCACATAGTTGATGTTCTTGACAAAGTGGTGAACCAGTCCTATCCTTGCTTGTGAAGGAGTGAGCCCTTCAGAGATGCTCCTTTTAAACCCAATCATGACCCTCACTTTTTTCCAATGAACCTGTTTACCTGTGGAAGGATTCAAACAGGTGGTTTTGGAGCAGTGCTCAGTTTTCAGTCTTTTGTTGATCCTGAACCAAAATGAGCGAAAATTTACAAACGAACGAACAAACAAACAAAACACAATCAAGTTTATCAGATTGAACATTAAATATCTTGTCTAAGTAGTGTATTCAGTTAAATGTTGATGGGAAAGGATTTGCAAGCCATTGTATTCCGTTTTTATTCAAGCTTACACAATGTCCTAACTTCACTGGAGTTAGAGTTTGTTCTTCTTGTCAGGATAGCGTATTTTATCTGCCACAGCAAAAAAGTTTCAGACAGAAAGCTTATTTCTCTCAGGCTGGGATAAAAAAAAAAAAAAAACCTAGCAGTGCAGGGCACATGCGCACTGCCAATCTCATTAAAATGATTTAAAATTATGTTATTTTGACCAAATGTAAATTAGTGAAAAGAAAAGTTTATTGTTGGAAAGGATTCATGAAGGTTGTATAAGCACTGGATTGAGTACTGAAGTTTAGATTTAATTGCATCAGAGAAGCTAAATGTGATCTTAGCACTGCCATTGCTAAAATTATGGCCTTGAACAGAAATATTAGGCAGATGGTGGTTTTATGTAGATGTCCAGGCAGAGTAAGAGGAGCTGAGCTTCACCTGAGCAATTTTACAAACTCTAACTAAACCAATGAAACTGTGCTTGGAAAGAGTGTAGAGAGATTCTCCTTGCTCTGTGTCTGTTGGTTTGTCCTGGTGGCAGCCGTAAGACTTTTTGTAAGATTTTGCCACATTACCCCTGTTGCTGAAATGTGGATGGATGCAAGGTGCAGACTATAAAGCCATGAAAAAAGAATAAAATGAAAAATAGTGAACATAAACCATAGCAGAAATGACAGAAATATGTCCATAGAGTTGAATCTAAGAGAAAACACAGTGCAGTGTGGTAATTATGAATGGAAGGGCCTTACCTTAATGTCATCCTGTTAATGCTGCAGTATCTCAACCAAAAATATCCTTTCTGTGCATCCAGACCACAGAGTGGACCAGGAACATTAAGGCAGAGTTAAAGATTTAGTAGCAGAAGCTTGTAACAGAAATAATTGTGGCTGTAGTTGAGTGAAGGGTGAAAGATCACTCGTTCATTATTGCGATACTTATTACAATGTCTTGTTAAGAATATAAATCAGTGCGGCTGTCTCTCCTTATGCTAGCTGAATAAACCAACACACCAGAAATTGGAACACGCACCAGTCATGTGCTGTACAGCGGTTAAATTTGAGTTTTAATGTAGTGAGTAGAATCTGCAGCATCCCTTGACATAGGAATTGAATTAACCTGTTGATGAACATCAAGTACTTAAAGCAAAAACACACACGTGCGTGCAGGACACTTTTCTGGATGAGAGAGAGAGGGAGAGAGAGCAGGAGAAACCAAGCTGCAAAGAACATAAAAAAACCGGGGCTTCAAACTCTCGTAGTCCAGTTTGTGCTTTAAAAATTACAATAAAACTATTGTTTACACTCACTTTCTGCTTTTAAAAGTGGATTGTGTGATTGATTTCTCTAAATTGTCAGTTTCATCTGCCTTAGACACTTGCTGTTTTGTATAGTTTAAATCAGTTTATAGAGCTCCAAGAGCATTGGATTTGAATTTGGCATTTAAATTTTCTTCATGACTAAAACCAGTGCTATTTTACACAAATTTTGCACAAACCTCATGAAGTGATCTCAGAACAAGGCAGGCATTAAAAAGAGTCATTTAAATGCCATCACACATTTTGTAGAGAAAGGTGCACTGTTGTTAAGATAAAGAAATTGCAAAGTGGGATTGTCTCTAAATTGACTGTTTCCATTAATACAAATTTGATTTTGTAATTAAATTAAAGACAATCTGACCTGAAAGTCCAGGTTAGATCTGCAAGATCTTACCTTAACCCCATATCTTTAATTCTGCTATGATTTTATACTCCACTTTGTCGTGATGTAATTTCTTTGACTCTTCATTTTATAACATCTGACTTGAGTATACATTTCACTGTCAGATTGAATTGCAGCTGCCATCAAGCTCATGTTGGTCTGATGATTTTCACAAAAGATATATGGACATACATGAAATGAAAATAGAGCTGTGGATCAGAGTGGGCGTTGTTTTTAGATAGACTGATAGTTTTTCAGGCAAAGTGTGGGCAAGCTCCTGCAGTGGGAGTGTCTGTTAACAAAGAAAAATGGGCAGCAGTGTGCAGTAAAATGAGTTATTATGATCAAACAGTACTGTTTAGATGTTGGGACACTCTTCACGCAAAACTTTTCACTTTTCTTTCCCGTCAGTCTTTTTGGCAAGCAGTGACACCCCCATGTCATAATAAAGTGATTGAAATTTATGATGGAAAATTAACCAAGTGTTGTCTTGGGAACACAATAGCTGCCTGAGAACATCCATCAGTGTGTGAGGCCTGGTCCCAGTGGCCCCATGGTTTAACTTGAATAAGAAAGCCTGTCAAGATAGCCTAAGTCACTGATCCCTTTTGTATGAAAAGCACTTTATAAATAAAGTTAGATTTAATTTGATTTCATTTGATAGCAGTTGTTGGAGGTGGATGGTCCAGGTGGCTATAGTTGATAGTGATGCCGATTTTCTTGTTATAAAGCCAAAGACCAACCTTGATACACACTGTTGTCACCTTAAATAGAAGATTCTGCCACTTGCTCTGCCTAGTCAGGAATAACCTGGAACCCCTCGGTGTTGCAGTGAGGCCAAGTTCCAGCTCCTTCCTGTTCCAGAAGGGGTTGAGAGGGTTGCTATGGGTGGAACGTTGAAGACCTTGAATATCCCAATTAGTAATTACAACCAGAGTCAAAGGCCTATTGGAAATCAAGAGAACACACATCCTTGCCGTGAAGGATGTTCTGAAATGAGTTGTGTAAAACTTCTGAAGGTAAACTGCCTAATTGGTTTGCTGAGTGTGGGTAAAGGTGGAACATCTAGCAGCAGCAGCCTTACTTCTTCTTTGCAGGTTAACATAACCATGCCTTTGTTAGATATGCATTCTTTGTTTGAGGGTTATATGACACTTAAACTGTGTCTATTTGCTGGATTATAGTACTGCCAGAACATAGTCTGACACAACACACTTTTAATCTCTTGTGTTTGTTTTGTAGTTTTATAGTATATAGTCACCACTGACTCAGAACTACAGCACCAGCTCTGGATGGATGTCTGTAGCAAAAATAAATCATATTGATCGATATCGATAATTGTCGATATAATTATTATAATTATTTAACATATATTTTAATTGCAGCCCTGGATGTTTTATGCTATTGCTTAATGACCTACTTTTAATAAAGAACACACAAGCACTGAATTCAAATCCAAACCTTTATTCAACCACCTTTTTTATTTTACCACAACTGAAAGTTTTTTAAAAAAGAACTAAAAAAAAAAAGAAATCAACTTAAGTGGCCTGAGTGACGTCAGTAAATACTGACAAACATTAAGACTAAAGTGACCAGAAAATCTGATTAATAAATATTTAAATAGTCTTTTGATGAAAATAAACAAAACAAACAAATATATAAATAAACAGAATAGCTTTAGGTGGGAATAGCATACTACCAGTTTTAACTGTGTGGGAAACTGCCCACAGCCTGGTGTCTGAACACTGAAATATTTCTCCCGGGGTCGGGAGATTTATTTTTTTCATCATGTGATTGACTTAATACACAAACTAAGCACGAGAAGCAGGACTTATCCACGCCGGTGTTGTGTCGTAGAATGCACCCCTGCCGAATGCACCCCCTGCTAGTAGCCATGATCCAAATACTCGCGTCTTTGTAAAATATGAGCTCATTTGAACGTATTTCCTCCGCACCCTTCTCACCTTTTCAACCCCTGACCCATTTTCATGCCTGAAGCGCTGTGTTTGAGAAATACTTGCGGCCGGGCACTTCATATCGCGGGTCGAGAGTGGCTAGAAGCTGGTCGAAGCCAGGCTATTCAACGGTAGTTATTGGCAGTATGTCCCTCGCTATGGAGCATGTTACTGCATGGGTGATGTCCTTATGCCGCTCGGACGCTTTGTCGTATTTTGGCAAGAAACGAAGTCCAGTTTGGTCTGCTTCACTTGCTTTGTGCTGGTGCTGGCAGCGGTTCCAGAGGATTCCTCCGACGATGACGTGGAGCCGCGGCGCGGCCGACACAGCTCGTACTCCTGCGGGTGCGACCGGTTTAGATGGTAAAACAAGTTGGTTGTGTTACCAGACTTGGTTTTTACTAATTCTCTGCAAATTTTGCAAACGACCGCTGTTCGCTTTTTGTCAGACTTCTAAAAACCAAAACATTGCCATGCTGGTGAACCACTGAGACCTTTTTTTCGGGACAATGTCCTCCGCTTCTCCTTGCTGTATCATTTTTTCTAATACACGTGCTGTCTGTTGTGGTTTGATAGGGGCTGGGCTTGGTGCCGTAGCGTACCTGGGTCTGCGTTTGTGATTGGTTGGGAGGAAGTAATGACTGTAGTAAAAGCTACATGATAGGCTATGATGAAAAAGAAAGGGAAACTGTGTTTTTCTATCGAACTTTTTATCGACCCCTTTTTTTTCTATCGCACCACACGTCTATCGATCGATATATATTGTTATCGAATTATCGTCCAGCACTAGTATATAGTCACCACTGACTCAGAACTACAGCACCAGCTCTGGATGGATGTCTGTAGCAAAAGACACAGCAGAAGATGGCATTTTAGATCTGCAGCACTAAATAATAGATAATCAAACCGTCCAGCCTTCATGTACATGTACAATAGGCATGGCTCTGTTTTATAATCATGCCTACTCAGTCCTTCTCCTCTGTTAGACTCCTGCTCTCACTGTTGATGCTGCTAGCCCAGGACAGACTCAACTTCTCCACACCATTTAGCCTTCATATATATGCACAGAAAAGTTTAAATTAGCCTTCGCAGTCTATCTCAAACTGCTTGTTAAAACAGCAGAAATGAGCTGTTTGACAAATGTACCCATTGCAGTTTTAAGTTAAGGTTGTTAGCATCTTTGATGTGCCCATCTAATGCACTAGTATTTGTCTTTGTAGTGGAAAAAAGATGAATGGGTCCCTGGAGCACCCCGACCAACCAGACATTGATGCAATTAAGATGTTTGTGGGCCAGATTCCACGGTCCTGGTCTGAGGAGCAGCTTCGTGAGCTATTTGAGCCTTATGGAGCTGTCTATGAGATCAATGTTCTCCGGGATCGCAGCCAGAACCCTCCACAGAGCAAAGGTAAGAGTTAAAGGCACACAGTAACACTTTTTGAACAGAAGCAGTCTAATGTGTAGACTGCCACAGCCTTCTTCCTTGTGTCTTTTGTCTTTGTCTTTTCCATCCCTCAACAGGCTGCTGTTTTATAACTTACTACACTCGCAAATCAGCTTTGGAAGCACAGAACGCTCTGCACAACATGAAGATACTTCCAGGGGTACGTAACAGCCTCCTCATTTTACTGCTTCAGATGTTTGCTGGTCCTTGACAACACTTTAGATTCCAGATGGTTTTCTTTCACTGTTCCACTGTTGGCTGTTTTGGTTGGTCAGCATACAAACTAACCAGTTAAAATGGAAAAAGAAAGTAACTGAAAATAAGTCTTCCCCTTTAACAAAATGGTCTGTAACTGTAATTTAAAGCTAGTGGAGGGTAATTTATCACAGTTTTGTGACTATGGTACCACCAGTTGTATTAAACACAAAGTGAATACCCACATTTATGGCAATTAAAGAGACGACTGTATATTATAACATATGGGATATTTTATTGATAATTGGTTTGTTTGATGCTCCTTAGCATATGTACTTGTACTTTTGTTGAATGTACAGTAGAGCTCTAAACTATCCATAGGAGACAGGGTCATTTTCAAGGGCTTTTTTTTTCAGAGCTCTGGAAGCTCATGAACAATTCACCTCTGAGTCGTGGGCGGAGACAGTGCTGCTCTGCACACTCCTCTTCATACTGGTTTGCAGCCTAACATTGCGTAGTATAGTAGAAGTGACAGGTAACATAGGAGCTATTCATCTCTCAGACACTTACGTCTTTAGGGACATGATGAAAACCGATATCATAATTAGCTTTCTGACGACCATTGCAATCTGCTAATGCACACACTTGTTCCACCATCTTCCTCTATACTTCTCGGGGTCCGGCCTGCAGAGTGGGTGGAGCTTAAATTTGTGACATAGGAAATCTCACTGTGTCTGAGCCTGCTGTTTGGATCTGACAGAGGTTTACAGCGATTTGAAAGCAGAAATACTCAGAAATGCAATTTTGCTCTTACTTTTCTCATGATATGTCCTGTAGCATCAGAAAAATGTCATATGAACATGTAGACAACAAGAAAAACATGATTTTGATCCGAGAGGTTCTTTAACTTGCTTTTTATCTGGGAACATTTGCGTAAGAAGAATCATTTGCGGCCATACAACCTGTTCAATGAAATAATCTCCTAAAATAAAAACTTATCAAAACTTTTTGGAACTGTGTGCAGCTAACCTCCTTTAAGCTCTGCGGTCTATTACATACTTTCATTCTGATAAATGTGGTGCCAGGAATGATCCTTACTAACTCTTTAAAAATATGTCACACAACACAAATGTGAGCTTGTGTCTGTAATGGGTTAAAATGTGTTGTTTATGCCTTATCCAGATGCACCATCCAATCCAGATGAAGCCGGCTGACAGTGAAAAAAATAATGGTAAGAATGTTTTTTTTTTTCACATTTCTGTGACTCTGGCTCAGCCTCGTATAATTATAACGCCCACCCTACCCTGGGGTCCCGTTTACAAAGAGTGAATCCTTATTTTAAGTGTAAGTACACTAAAATCCCAGGAATCAGTCCCAGAAATCTGTGTACCATCCCGTTGCTGCAGTTTCATAAATGCATGCAGGTAATCAGGATGTGCTGGGTGATGAGCGGTAGCTGGTTTGCCTCTGCATCACCTGCATCGCTGACCACCCTTTGCTTCAAAAATGTATACATGTACAGTATGGATAACAGTTTGCTTTTCCTTGTGAACGTTTCCCATCAGGTTTGTCTCAGTAGATCTTAAACCTAGTGTGGTTAGTTGAGAATAGTGTCTGCTTTCAGTCCCTGATTTTAATGTAAAAAACATTCATAAATGAGACCCAAGGACCTCACATGTTGTCAGTCAGATGTCTGAATTTCTTTTTACCTTTGTCGGTCTGCAGTGCAGTGCAACATTATAGCTTGGCTAACTTGAACATTTCAGTCTCACACTGCTTACGAGTGTTAACATTTTTAACTCAAAATCTGTGGGTTTCTTAGTCCCTGTGAGGCGAGGTTTTGATGCTATGAGACAAGCTGGCATACTTGATTCTTTGAAAAAATGTAAATTTGAAGTGATATTTTAATGGTGAGTATCCTCAACAAAAAATGATCATAGCAGCCATCAAAACATATGATACTGTCCTCAGAGTGGCACAGAGCACTAAAATGATTCTGTTCTTGCCTGATTTTTGAGCATGTGCCAATGGAGTCAAGTGTTTTGGATATGAACATTTAGTTGCATAATCATGTTGCATACACTTTGACGTAGAACAGGTGTGTTTGATGTTGTTTTGTGTCAATATAGCAGTGGAGGACAGAAAGCTGTTCATTGGAATGATCTCTAAGAAGTGTAATGAGAACGACATCCGGCTGATGTTTTCCCCATACGGACAGATAGAAGAGTGCCGCATACTTCGAGGCCCGGATGGACTCAGTCGTGGTAAGGCATATTCTGGTGTAAGACGGATGCTCCAAAACACAGCGCAAAGAAGATGGTGTAAATAGATAAATAGAAACAACTTTTCAAACAACCAACCATCCCTATCTGCCCATCTCTTCCAGGAGAAGTCATTTCTGTTTAAGAAAACTGGTTCATAAAAACACCTCATTGTCTACAATCTGACATTTTGGCACATTCAGTGTGATCAGCCACTTCTATGTTGTAGTCACTAACTGTAACACACTGTTGAGTCTAAGAAAAGATATGGATGCTCCCTGCCATTATCCAAAGCAATCCTATTAACAATAATGACAACATAACAGCTTGATTTCTTCAACAATAACCTCTGTACAGTCGTCATGTGTACAGCAATGGCGAAGGTGAGAGAGCGAGACAGGAGACGGCAACAACATTAAAACAACATCAACAGCTCATGTAAAGTTGTAGTTGCAGAGCAAGTAATGATGAAACAATATAATTTCAGTTTTACAGGATTAGGATATAAGTAATTATGGACTAATTTAATGTGATTACAGTCAGCAGGCCCAGTAGTAGTTAACTCTAGCTTTATGTTATTAATGTCAGTTAGGCGTAGTGCAGGGTTAGGGTCAAAATTGTGTCTATGTACTGATCAGGCCGTCATGTTGCATTTGTTGGCGACTTGTTTGCTTTTTTAGTCCGTGTCCTCAGATGTTTAACTCCCTCTGACAAACAAAAATCTGCCCCCCTCTGAACTGAACACACTGTATTTTCTAAAAAATGATCAACATTTTTACTTTTAGGCAGAGAGAAAAGGAACACTAAGAATAATAATGTTTAGACAGTATAACCACAGAAAAGAAAGCCAAAGAAAGATAGTTTGACTCTTAGAACTGTTGGACCGTCTGGAATCCACTCATGGAAAGTTCTGTCTGTCATTTTTTTTTTCTTTCAGGTTGTGCTTTTGTCACATTCACAGCAAGACAAATGGCTCAGTCCGCCATCAAGTCTATGCATCAGTCCCAGACTATGGAGGTAAAAACTTCAGTTATAATGTTAGGCTGTTACCTTGGTTCAATAATTAGTCTGTTTTATTATCTTTGCAGATTAACAGCATTAAACCAGCAGAACTTTGATGGTAAAAAAACATCCTGTTTTTTGGAGCAGCAAGCCTTTACTTGTTGAGCTCATAACCTGTTTCTATTTAAATGAAAATTACTCAGAACTTTACACAACTTTTGATTATTTTAGAACTTAAATGGGGCTGATACCCCTGCTGGGATGACACTTCACCACTCGCTAACATCGCTAATGGCTGGTGACTGGCTCAATTTCCAAATAACCTCCATCAGCTTGGCGTTGACAGCGTTCATTATGTTTAAAAAAAAAATCTCCCTTAAATGACGTTCCATCTACTCTTTTATAAAGTGTGTAGGTAAACACACTAAGTGGCCTGAATACAAAAAGTCCTCTGTTTATATTCATAGGGATGTTCATCGCCCATCGTGGTAAAGTTCGCAGACACTCAGAAGGACAAGGAGCAGAAACGCATGGCCCAACAGCTGCAGCAGCAGATGCAGCAACTAAGTGCTGCCTCCATGTGGGGAAATCTAACTGGGCTCAACAGCCTTGGTCCACAATACCTTGCAGTGAGTATGTTTATAAGGATCTTATATGTGTTTATGTAAAATGTGATGATGAAGCACTTTCACTCATTTAAACATAACTGTCACTTTTTTCATACTTCCTCTGGCATCAGCTCTACCTACAGCTACTGCAGCAGTCAGCTTCCTCAGGGAACGCACTCAACAACCTGCACCCTGTTTCAGGTAGACACACATGCACTCTCTCTAAATAATGCACTGCCATCAACCATCATGTGCTCATGTTCAGTGAAGATTTCGGTGGGTAAATCTGTATCATTATTTAAACAGTTAAATCTTGATGTTCAGGAGATTCTTGCTACTGCCCAGAAACCTCCACCACCACCAGGACAGTTGCTCTAATGTCTAATAGTGGGTGAAGTCTTGAACTTATTTGTGTGTGTGTGTGTGTGTGTGTGTGTGTGTGTGTGTGTGTGTGTGTGTGTGTGTGTGTGTGTGTGTGTGTGTGTGTGTGTGTTTGTTCGTGTGCTTCCGTTAGGTCTTCATGCCATGCAGAACCTAGCTGCCTTAGCAGCAGCAGCAACTGCCACCCAGGCCACACCTGCAGGTTCCAACGCCATGACAACTTCTAGTAGCCCACTAAGTGCACTAACAAGCTCAGGTACAAAACAGTTACTGCAACAGAACTGTTTACAGAAAAATGTACATTTAGTGAGTTCACATAAATGCCTGTATAAGAAACAATCTGATAACTTGAAAAACAAATCCTAAAGCTCCCCAGAAATCAACAACAGTTTATCTCCAGAAATGTGTCTTGATTGCCGGTACTATCCTTGTTGTTTGACTCTGTGGAACTGATTTGTCTTTTATTCTGGAGTGCATTAAATATGATTTCAACAGTTATTTTTCTCCCGGCAGGCTCATCCCCAACCTCCAGTAGCAACTCCTCAGCCAACACCATGGCCTCTTTGGGAGCACTGCAGTCTCTGGCTGCAGGTGCTGGAGCAGGCCTCAACATGGGCTCCCTGGCAGGTACTAATCCTTCTGCTTATGTCTGTTCCTAGAGTATTCAAAGATTGATACATTCTCACCTGTGAGGGCATTTCAGACATAGACTTTAAGTTTTACAAATACTGTAGTTTCTACAGGATCACTATTTTAATATTTATAATGAGATTCCTGTTTAGATAGTTCCTGAGAGGTATTTATTTCTCATATGCATGGATAAGTACTCTTCTAAGTAGCAATAGCAAACTCGGTTAATAATTCCACAAGAGCCACTTAAGACTAAAAGACAGTTTGTAAAAACATTCTTAAAAAGGAAAAATTAAATAGATAATATAGACATACAGACTGAGGTCACCTGTTGAATGATCGTATCCCCTGATCGTAATAACATCCTGTTATTAGACTTTAAATCATGTTTCTGACCCAAAGATGCATCAAGAAAAATAGAGAGTAATGATGGTCAAGAGACATAGAAGTGAGAGTGCAGGCACTGCTAATGAAAACAAGGAACATTGCGTGCAAAGGTTTGTGGGGGTTTGTACGGGATGTGAGCATACTTTCAAATGGCGTCGGGGTCCTGCCCTGGAAAAAGTTCGTCCTCTTCAACAGCCTGCTCATTATACATCACTCTGCTCATTACTGGACTACCAGCTAAAGAAATAGACGAGATGACACATCGTATTTATAGTGATGATTTAACTAGGATTTACAAAGCCCAATGAAGTTGGGAAGAAGTGTAAATCATAAATAAAAACGGAATACAATGATTTTTAAATCCTTTTCAACCTCAACACATGACAAAGAAGTTGAGACAGGTGGCAAAAAATACTGATAAGTTTGATGAATGCTCATCAAACACCTATTTGGAACACAGTTGAGCAGGTTAATTGGGAACAGGTGGGTGCCATGATTGGGTATAAAAGCAACTTCCCCCAAAATTCTGTCATTCACAAGCAAGGAATGGGCGAGGTTCACCACTTTGTGAACAACTGCGTGAGCAAACAGTCAAACAGTTTAAGAGCAACATTTCTCAAAGTACAATTGCAAGGAATTTAGGGATTTCAACATCTAAAGTCCATAATATCATCAAAAGGTTCAGAGAATCTGGAGAAATCTCTGCACGTAAGCGGCACTGCCGGAAACCAACATTGAATGCCCGTGAGCTTCGATCCCTCAGGTGGCACTGTATCAAAAACAGACATCAATGTGTAAAGGATATCAGCACATGGGCTCAGGAACACTTCAGAAAACCACTGTCAGTAAATACAGTTCATCGCTACATCTGTAAGTGCAAGTTAAAACTCTACTATGCAAAGCGAAAGCCATTTATCAACAACGTACAGAAACTCCGCTGGCTTCTCTGGGCCCGAGCTCATCTAAGATGGACTGATGCAAAGTGGAAAAGTGTTCTCATTTCGAACTGTTTTTGGAAATAGTGGACGTCATGTCATCCGGGCCAAAGAGGAAAAGAACCATCCGGACTGTTATGGACGCAAAGTTCAAAAGTCAGCCTCTGTGATGGTATGGGGGTGCATTAGTGCCCAAGGCATGGGTAACTTACACATCTGTGAAGACAACATTAATGCTGAAAGGTACTTACAGGTTTTGGAGCAACATATGCTGCCATCCAAGCAACGTCTTTTTCATGGACGCCCCTGTTTATTTCAGCAAGACAATGCCAAGCCACATTCTGCACGTGTTACAACAGTGTGGCTCTGTGGTAAAAGACTGCAGGTACTCGACTGGCCTGCCTGCTGTCCAGACCTGTCTCCCATTGAAAATGTGTGGCGCATTATGAAGCGTAAAATACGACAACAGAGACCCCGGACTGTTGAACAGCTGAAGCTGTACATCAAGCAAGAATGGGAAAGAATTCCACCTTCAAAGCTTCAACAATTAGTCTCCTCAGTTCCCAAACGTTTATTGAGTGTTGTTTAAAGGAAAGGTGATGTAACACAGTGGTTAACATGCCCCTGTCCCAACTACTTTGGCACGTGTTGCAGCCATGAAATTCTGAGTTAATTATTATTTGCAAAAAAAATAAATAAATAAAGTTTATGAGTTTGAAACTTAAATATCTTGTCTTTGTAGTGTATTCAATTGAATATATGTTGAAAAGGATTTGCAAATCATTTTATTCTGTTTTTATTTACGTTTATCACAATTTTCCAACTTCAATGGAATTGGGTTTTGTATTTATACAGCTAAAAATAGAGTTCCTCAAAGTCCATAAGTAGGTCGCACTTCATGGTATCCTTGTGGGTCAAACTGTATGATTTCAGTCACGGTAAGCCAAATTTTTTCTGCTGACATTTTGAACTGATGCATGTGATGAGCTCGGTGCCTGATCATGGTCCTTGAAAATGTTGAAAATGTCTTTGGATCCTGTGTGATAAGAATTTTTAATTCCACAGAGGTGAAGTAGGAGATCCACTTAAGCCATGGTGAATTGTAGCATCAGGGCTCCACTCATACTGGCTATTATTACCATTGTGCATGTGCTCAGCCCCGCGTAAACTTTCTTAGAGTTGACTGAACTAACTCAAACCAGCTTTTCTGGAATCAGAAACCTTGAGTTCCCTGTCTCATCTTAGAATAACCAAATCATCTGGTTGTTCTAAGTTCACCTTTTCATGCACAGTGAGTTCAGAAGAACGTTTGATCACGAAAGTTAAGGTTTTAATCAGCCTTGCTGGAAAACACACTGAAAGTAAAACTTTTATGGCTCTTTGTTCCATCAACTTTTAATATGTGCCACTTGAAGGACTAAGCATTTACCTTTTCACCCATGTCAGTTTGTTTTTTGTTGTGGTACTGGTGCAGGCATGGCGGCCCTGAATGGCAGTCTTAGCTCTGGAGGTTTGTCCAATGGTTCAGGAAGCACCATGGAGGCACTGAGCCAGGCCTACTCAGGCATCCAGCAGTATGCTGCCGCTGCCCTCCCCAGCCTGTACAACCAGAGCCTGCTGTCCCAGCAGAGCATCTCAGCAGCAGGTAGCCAAAAGGAAGGTGAGTTCTGTGGACCGGGAGGAAAAAAGGGGATGGGGGAGCTGTGGCGGACAGTAGAGATGATGTGTATGAAGATATTAAAATGTAAGGTGTCAAGTGACCACATAGATTTTACACTACAACAATATAAACTACATATACTGTATATAAGCTGTATCAAATGATGCCAAGTTGAAGGATTGCAATGTTAATTGGAGAAACAGTTATGAACAATTAAATTAAAAACAATACAACATCCTAATTTACTATTGAAAGTATCAAGAAGCACCAATGCTGATGACAGTCAGCGCTCAGGTGAAGTGAATAAATCAGCAAAACTGAGAAATGAAGAATAAGGAAAAAAAAACCACAAGTCCTCACCTGAAGTGTGTATAGTATGTAAGTCAAATATCCATTATCTACCCTTGCAGTGTATACAAACAAAATACAAAGTTTTTATTAGCTTTCATATTTGGCCTACAGTCACACTAACATACCTGCTCAGTCAGCTGCTAAAGTGTCTTTTTGTAAGTAAAAGAAAGAAGGCTAATAAAGAGCATTACTCATGATGAAATTAATACCTGACCCTAAAAAAGCTAGTGAGATCCCACATGCTTGTTCTGTGTTGTTTAAGTGCTGTTGAGGGCAGCCTGGTCTGTGCTGTGTGGAGGTGTTACTCTTTTAAGATTTCTGTCTTGTTTTAAATCTGCTGCGTCAGCCGGCGACACTCACACCACTGGTAAGACATCCCTACCTTCTTTCCCCAAATGATCATGTCAACAGCTCTCAAAGCAGACTGGAGTCCATAACAGAGGGCTTGTCCTTGCTGTCAGGGCAAAGCTGCAGTCTGATTCATTTGCTCAAGGATGTTAGTTGATGCTTTTATTTTAGCTGAAGGTTCCTCTGTCAGGATCTTGGCTTTTACAGTTCAATATTAGCTGCACAAAGCAAATGAGGTGAATGTGATTGGCTCTATGAACATAGTTTGTAATGTATTGCACCACCACCCCTAGAATGTGGATTAATGGAGAAACTTGCCAGCCTCATCATACAGCCTCAACTCCAGAAACCATAGCTATCATGGTGTATCCTTTTCTACCACGGCATGTTTTTGGGTCATATTTACCTGCATGATCATCTGGGTGCAGTGTAGAAAGAATTGTATGCTACAGCAAGACATTGTGCCAGCCATTTTGTCTCACTGTGCCAGTCCCTGAACAGGAATGAGTAACTCTGGGTACAGCGAAAAGGCTCCTGGAACATCACACTTCCTCCTCTGTGTTTGAGAGTTGTTGTAACACTGATGAGCAAACTTTTCACATATTTACGACAGTGCTCTCCTGATGATCTGATGATTTCAGAGTTGGATTAATTTCTTTACAAGGCCCTGTTCCCACCATGTTTACTTTGAAAAACTGTTAGGTATGGGGTATCTGAGTAAAAGTATGGAATAAGGTTAAGGTCGTACCTATAACGGAGGGATAACTGAAGGCTCGGGTTTGTGGGATACTCATAGAGAGGAAGTTTCACTCTCTGTTGTCCATTTAGGATGATTTAGAATTCACGAAAAGCTTAGGGAAACATAACTTACTCTGCTGAATGGCAGAAACTCTTTTGCTCATTATTCTGTCTCATTTATGTTTCGTTTCCACAAGTCTATTCCCACTATGATATGCCTTGTCAGATCTATGTTGTACTGTTTTACTGTGGTTTAAGTAAAAAAAAGATGATGCAGAGCTGGGGACCTGTAACGTCTCCAGTGATCCATCAGTGTGGTCTCAAGGCCTGGCATGCTCCATGTAAGCTTTGACTCTTGTACAGCCACCTCAGCTGTTAAGCATGAAAAAAGACCACATATGGTCTGCTGACTTGCAGAAACATATCTGTTACCATGGTGGCTTTGTACGACCAGACCTTTTCATATTAGAGCTTTTTTCTTGTATAACAGCCAACACAAACACATCCAGGACAATCCTGCTCCTGCTGCATCTGATGAGCGCTCCAGTCTGCAAAATCATATTCTTTTGTACTTTGATATGTTTTGACAACAAACTCCCTGCCTCAGGAGAGTTTGTAGTCAAAAACATATCAAGGTAACAAATAAGTATCCCACTGCTCTGGATATAAGACATATTTGTCCTAAAGATTACCTGGTGTTTTCTGGTAGACAGATCAGGACTGCAGGCAGACCAGTTTTTCAGCAGGACTCCCCTCCTTTAGAGCCATGCTGTTGTAATCCCTGTTGTCAGAATGTGGTTTGTCATTGTCTTGCTGAAATATGAAGGTCTTCCCTGAAAAAGCCTTTTTCTGGGTTGAAGCATATTTTCCCTAAAGCCCTGATGACGCCTCCCCAGATGTGAGAGCTGCCCCTGCTGTAAGCACAAATCCCCCACTACATCAAGGATGCTGGTTTTTGAACTATGTGCTGTTGCTGCTTAACAAGCTGGGAGCTTTGTTGTGACTCAAAATTATGAAATTGAAATCACAACACCACGGGATAGTTTTCAACTCTGTACATCTCTGCCCCAGTTCATCTTAAATGGGCAGAGGCCAGTATTTCTGGATCATGTTTAGATCTGGTCCCTCTTTGCATGGTACAGCTTTAACCTGCACTTCTATCTCACAAAAGTAACAAATCAAACAACACAAACGTGTATTTGAAAAAGATCATGTATTTGGCAGGATTGAAACAAACTTCAAGGATGAGAAAAGCAGCACAGGGTTCAATCATTAGTTTAGAAGCTGGAAGACTTTTTGAACCACTTTTCGTACCCTTGTTATAAGTTGTTGAAATTGGTTTAATGTGACTGTTTTTAATGTGTTTCTTTTTTTAATGGCTCGTCACTTGGCAGGTCCAGAGGGTGCCAATTTATTCATTTACCACCTGCCACAGGAGTTTGGGGACCAGGACCTGCTTCAGATGTTTATGCCCTTTGGAAATGTCATCTCCGCGAAAGTCTTCATTGACAAACAGACAAACCTCAGCAAGTGTTTCGGTGAGTTCAGCCAAGTCAGTAACACCAAGCAAAAAACTCTGACCCCCCCGTGACCCTGAGGAGCTGTTCAAATCTATCCAACTAGAGCTTCAGTTGATCATGACTGTTTTTTAGCTTGTTCACTGGCAGCACTCTGAACCCTGACTTTCAGATCAGTTTTGCCTCTTTGTCTGTGATTGTGTGTGGTCTCAGTGGAAGGACTTGTAAATACCAATCTATTACTGTCAGTGGTCAAAAGCACTTGTAGCAGATGCAGTCTAAATGTGCGCAATTTCCCAGTCAGACTACGTTTTAGCATGTTTGGCAGCTTCTCCGCTCTCCTTCAATACTTAACCAGCTTCAGAAACTGTTTTCCCATCAGGAAAGTAGGTATGACTACATGGCAGGGTGAATCAAATAGACCAAGCTTTCCGGCTGTAGTGAGAAGATCTGCTGAGATATCATAACATATAAGCGATATTTTAAACATCACACATTACTCTCCTGAGTGTCTTCATCTTTTTTCTTCAGGCTTTGTGAGCTATGACAACCCTGTGTCATCCCAGGCAGCCATCCAGTCAATGAACGGTTTCCAGATCGGTATGAAGAGGCTGAAGGTGCAGCTGAAGCGCTCTAAGAACGACAGCAAGCCTTACTGAAGGTGCTGAAACACGTCAGACTTAGTTAGGCAGGGCGGTGTTATGGTAAGTGGAGTTTGAGACCAGTCCAGTCAGTACAAGTCTGTGCATGAGGGTGATGAGGCTGCACTGCTTTTCCTGGTCATTTCTGTAACATGCCCAGGCATAGAGACACTTGAATCTATATGCAAGATTTTTCAAGCTAGACTGGATATCGTCGATGTTTTGTGTGATTAATGCACTTTGTTATCGTTAGAACAAATAAGATAAACAGGTGTTTTTTTTTGTTTTTTTTTTAAATTTAATTTAAGTTGAAATGTTATCAGTTTGCTGTGGTACATAGTGCACATATGGGTTGATTGTTAGGATGTGTTGCATATTGACATTCAGGAGTCAGATTCATCTGTTTTTCTCCCCGTGATCATCCTGTGCACCACTCGGACCTAGAATAAAGGTCTGGATAATACAGAGCTCCCTTAGATGAGGAATAACCAAAATCCCTGTTAGTTTTCATTTTTACAAAGCAAAGCCTGTGCTTCCTCACACTGACGTTTGAGTTATCTACATTATTTTCTAAAACGAAGCCAACGGATGAAGTGTCACCTTGATTCGATGAACTGTTCAGGGTAAAGCTCAGAAGCTTCTAAAGAGCTCCACCAAATCATGCACATAGCAGTGAAACAAACAAGTATTTGTCCTCATTCTGTGTTTGCAAAACTCCATTTACTTCTCTCATGCATGAAAAACACACTACACATTGAGATTATATCGATCTCAAATATTTTTTTTGTCATTGATTTCTGGCATGAAATGAATTTCTGCACACAGACTGTTTTTTTTCTTCATCTTTTTGCCAGTTAGACACACATTTCAAACACAATCTAAACTGACTCGGGTCTATAAGTTGTAGAGCAAACACCTTTTTTGAGGACTAGGCTTGTGACTCTCTAAAAACAGGTTGTTTTGCTTACATGGGTGCTTTAAAAGGACATTGATGTTTATGCTTCTGCAAAGGGATCCTATTTCTCTACAACAAAAGGAAACTGAAATACAACACTGATGTAAAAAAACCAGAGTCAAGATTAACCTTACTTAGAATGAGATGCTGATAGTAATTGTTATGCATTTGTATTAAAAAAAGATGACCTAAGTAAACTGGACAGCCATCCAACTCACATGATCTAACAATCAGTAAGACACAAGTCACTTTTCCAGGGTAAAATATCTTGATTTTAGGGAGTCACAGCTAATCAAGGGCACATGTGGTGGTGGGCCTACTGCATTTTGATTGGTCGGGGGCTGGAGTGATGTGGAAAACTTGCAGCCCGAGCATGTGTTACAACAAAATTTGCTATAACAACATCCCACAGTTACTGTTCTGCTGGCTTGTGGCTGGCTAGTTAATTTAGGGCTACTATGTCTCTCACTGAATATCTTTTGTGATCAGAGGATTCAAACACATGCTGAATTGCTGAAGACAAAACTGTCAGCCGCATAGAAATCATCTGTTTTTATAGAGCTTGGAAGCAAGACAATGAGATGTATATTTAAACTATGATGCCTTTTCTATTTTTATATAGGTTTTATACTTCTCCGTGTTTTTGGGGAACTATTTATTGCCTAAATTATTTATCTGAACTGAGATTATTTTGACAGACAAATGTAAAGTCTAACAACTCTGTTTGATATCCTGGTGTGTGTACTCTCCTCGCTTGTTAAGTGTATTTTCTTTTGGTGAAGTGTACTTTCAGTTACTGTGTCTAGGATCCATCACTGCTGCTGCAGACTCCAAAGTATGCCTTTCCTGGTCCAGTAGTATGATCCGGGTACTGTTTTTTGGCTCTGTGCAAAGGGTTTGTTTAGTATTTAACATGGAGGCTTTCAGAGAGGTAGAGTGCGTATGAATGTCAGATTAAATATGTTATAGACTTAAATGGAAAGACAACTTTTACAGCTTCCTCAGAGCCTTTCTCAGACAAGATAGGGTCAGCAGAATTGTTTCAAGTGCATACCTATTTAAAAGAGTTTTTACTGATTGTTTATTGCAAAAAAAAAAAAAGAAAAATGCCTGGGCTGATTTTAACACTGTGTCAATAAGCCATTAGTCCAGCACAGTAAACTCTGATTCCCAAGTTTACAACCCTCTCAGTACAAGATAGAGCTTTAGCTGCAGAGATATCAGTAGACAAACAAAAGCATTAGTTCAAGTAAACAGGAGTTTTCCCATGATTAGTGTAGAAAAGTGCTGACACTTTCAAGACCTAACCAAGTAATCAGGTGGTTTTAAATAAAACCGATGACAAAAACAAACAAAAAATTAAAATCGTTAAAGATCTAAATAAAATTTAGGAAATTTGACAGCAAGTTCAAAGTTGTATCAAGTTTATAAATTTAAAAAGCGGTAGAGGGTTGGGTGTAAAGTTTGCATATGTCCATGTCCAGGTCTGGACCTCTAAATTCAGAAAGCCAAAACGCTCATTCCTCTTTCAGTCATTAAAGTTTGTGGTGTCTAGGAGTGCAAAATGTCTAGGAGCATAATAATGATAGCTCTGCAAATGTTTCATATTATAAACGAGCAAATATTCATGTAGATGATTGTTTAGAGACATGAGGATCCAGTGCAGGTGAGCATAGACTGAGCTGTAGCTCTGTTAGCTTTATCAGCTGAGATATGGTGTCCTGGTCTGTAGCAGCTTTAACTGAGGGGGCTTGGTGTGACCTGCATGTTGTGCATTACTGTTGCCGGTGGCATGTGGCTCATCCTCACTCTGTCAGTGACTCAGATGGTTGAGTGTAGTGTGGGAGATGATGCTTCTCTGCCTCTTTCCTCTCTCCTGTCTGTGCTCCATTACTGTTTAACCCAGGTCTATTTCCTTGTTGTGCTTTTTCTTCTTGTTTTCTCTAGATCTCTACCTGTTTGCCCTTACATGTTGATGTGACGTCACAGTTCATCGTCCAGTCCTTGTCTTCTACACTTGTCTGTCCTATAGTCATGAACACTGATAATCACCTAGACCTAGTTGTTTTTGACATTGAAAAACAATGATGTTGGAACATACTGTTTTGTTGGTTCCCATTTGTCATCTGTGCTGCCAGCTGTGGCACTAGAAAGACTGTCGCTGAACATGTTGGAAAGTTCAAAATCTTTCTCTAGAAAGGCAGACCAACATGTCGATAGCTTTTTCTTTTCCATCTCCTGTGTAATCAGACTGCCCTCCCCTCCCTGTGCCCCATCCTCTCCTTTTTGTTTTGTTTTGTTTTGGTTTGTTTTTTCTTTTCTATTTTTCTTGTGAGTGAAAGCAGCTAACATCTTTCTAGTTGACGTTTGACTAAGTGTTGGTTGTGTTGTGTGTTGCTGGAGTTTTCATGCAACCTAGTTACCATTTGTTTTTGGGACTTTTGTTCCAGCCAAGGGTTCCCCCCTCTCAAGTTCTTGTAAACTGGTGTGAGAAGGAGGTAGCTTTAATTGTCTATGTAAATAAAAGGTAGGTTTCACCTTTGCCTCACAATCCCAAGCACACAATGCAGTTCTGCTTTTTTTTGTGGACAAAACAGACAAAGATTTTTGTCACTATATATTAAGGTTGCATGTTTTTTATATAACTGCACTGAAATTCTTGGCAAAAATGTCATCTAGTTTGTGTAAGTTAAAAATGGTGAATAAAATGGTGCCAAATGTTTTGCACAATCCGTATTCTCCCCTTTGACTGGTCTCCAGCTCGACCCACACTGAACTGTTAAACCTCATGAGACTTGGTTTTGTCTTAAAACTATGAGATGATGAAAACACCACACCACACACTCAGGATGAATTTCCACCTAGTGGTCCCATTTATTTCTGTACAGCGTGGTACGATAGACCTGTACTCTCTCCTGGTGATCACGCAGGAAGCATACTGGATGTGTGACAGCCTCGGCACAGCTGGATTTTTGGCATGCATGATAATAAAGTAGACTGTTCATTCAGCCAGCATGAGCAACGCGTTACAAGGGATGGGGATCTATAACCCGGTCCATTAAAAACCTAATAACACATTTAGCAAAACTTGAAAATCAACTACTTTTGAGCATTTCAAGTGTAAGGGGTGTCAAGGGTCCTGTGGAGAAACACACACAGACTGTGTAATAAGTTTCTAAAAAGCAAACGGGTATAAATGTTCGCAAATTTTTGTATTAAGATGCAGCGATGGCTGAATGTGCAAGGTGGTCCAGAGTGGGACTACATGATACTGAAGCTGAAGATGAGGATGAAGTTCATGATACAAAATCATTTCTTGAAATGGGAGAACAAAACCTCCCTGACCACACACAAAAGCACTGTTGAGCTTTGGGGTTATCTGGTGAGTATAGTAACTTCCCTCTATCTGAGCTGACTGTGACCTTTAACAGTTGGCTGCATCAACAGTAAAACAACCTGAGTTGCCTCTTCACCAGTCTGAGCAGCACCGATACTGTCAGTATCAGCCTTTTCTGTGGGCATCTCTCCAAACTTTTGACAATGGAAACAAAAAAAATCACATTCTGTACTAACCCAGACCTCTCAGTGGAAATGCACCTCAATAGATTCCATTCAGCGACCACCCAGGTCAACTCGATGGTCTCTAAACTAGAAATCTTGCAAAACTTTTAGTCAAGCATGATTTTAGAGTGAAGGGACTGGCACAGATAAACAGTGACAATCCACAGATGGCTTGCACAGCTGTCCTTTAGAGTTCCTTTACACAACAGGATATAAGACTGAAAACATTAAACACATGGAAATAGCTGTTTGGTATCAGTGCATCCATGATGGTTTTCTCTTTTTTAGCAGTTCAGGAGAAGTAAGATTTTTCTTCTGTTACACTCTTTTCATCTTTCACCATGTCAGTGTGGGACACCTATAGAGTAGGTTTGCATGATTGGCAGCTCAAAAAAATTGATTTTTACCTGTGAAAGAGCTGCCGGGTAACAACAGAAAGAGAACACCCATGGAAAATATCAAGATCTGCTGCGCTCAGAGCTCAAAACAAGGGATCTACTCATAAGCAGCTTGTGTCATTTCATTGCAGTCAGAAATTAATATTAAACTCTTATTTGGCAATATTAACATAGAGAATTTTAACCATACAACTGTGTAAAACAGGGACGACATGGCAGTTTACCAAAGGTACTGGCTGCAGTATGGGTCATACTGTGTCCAACTGTCACGGTAGATACATTTTTCTCAAACATAATGAGTTTTTAACATGATTCATATTCCAATTCTGAATTTTTCCAGAAAATTTAGTTTAAATTTTTTTTATAAAGAGGGTATAACACCATGGTTGATGGCTCCATTGAAAAGTAAAGCACCTGCAGCTGGTGTGTCAGGTTATCGGAAAAGAGGAGGAGAAATGGTGAAAAAATATAACAAACAGTATCACAGAGTCATTGAATGCATCATACCCACCGAAGGATTTGCTCTGCTGTGGACTGCACCCATTTGAGGGATCCTTGGTGTTTCCTCCTAGAATTCCCTTTCCTTTTTATGGCTAAGATTACATAGCGCTCTTCACCAACATCATATTGCCTCTGTAAGTATCCTTTTTTCTCACCGTAATGAAATGGTGAAGTTACTTCATTTTCAGCCTTTTTGTTCAGCTTAAAATGTCAAATACTGCTGAAGCTTCTCAGCAAAACACCCTCTTGGTTAAGGTGGTATTTAAAGAGGGGGTTGTGGCTCAAGGGTAGAGTCTGTCACACTTAGGGGTTCAATCCCAGGATGAACTGTCCACATGCGGAGCTGTCCTAAGCCAAGACAACCCCAACCTGCCCCCTCTTGATTTGTCTCAGTGGTGTGTGAATGGGATCAGTTAAGGCTGATGGTGTGTTAAACTGCATCCTCAGTGTGTGACTGTGGAGTGAATGTGATGTGATGTAAAAAAGCTTTGAGGGGTCAGAAAACTAGAGAACGGGCTACAGAAACACAGTCCACGTCCACTGATTTATGTGTCCCCAGTGATGATTTTGTTTCATTGCAGTCTCACTGTTATCTCTGCTCTTTGATCATGTGATCTTCTCTGCTTGGTGTTTTTGTTTTTCATACAAATAAACTGTTAAAGAGAAAAACCTTTGTGTATCACTGCTCTTTGTCCAAAATCCCGTGTCTGCTACGCATTAGAGCTCTGGAAAAGATATATAACTTAATGATGTTAAACATATTTATATAAAGAAGTGGCTCATTTGATAAATCCTTAATATGTCACTGTGCATTGAAAGAATCCACAGGTTAAAGGCCTCTAATGCTGCAGCTCTGACTGAAAAAAGTCTTAGGTCATGTGGTTTACAGAGCCTGAATATTTCAGGAAAATGTTATTTTTCAGCTGAAATAAAACAATAATAATAACGGATCAGATTTTGTGGCACTTTTTGTCAGTAACCTCAAAGCACTTTACATTGGATACATCATTCTTTCGCCCAGTCACACCTTGGTGGTGGTAAACTACCTTGAACCTGCTAGAAGAAACAGCCCGAGCTATTGCGCCACTGTAGTTTAATTGTTATTATTATTACTATTATTATTACCATCATCATGTATCTTGATACTGAGAATAAAATTTATATAAATTTAAATTATATATATATATATATATATATATATATATAGCCTATAAAGAATAAAATTTAAATTATATATATATATATATATATATATATATATATATATATAAAGCCTTGAATATATATATATATATATAAATAGATAGATATAGACATATATTTAATGAGCAGGAAAAAGTTGTTTAAAGCATTTGATGGAGTGAAAGTGGGAAAAAATAACCATGTACAGTATGTTAAATTTATAGGACTTTTAGTTGGGGCCCTAAGACACATTTTACTTCAAGTCATGATACAAATGTCCCCTTTGGTATGGAAGTACCTTAGGGTCATAGAAAACATTTTATCCAAAGAGACAAGTTAGATCACCCTTCAATTTTTTTTAATTGCCATTTTAAAAATGGCTGCCGACAATAAACTGCTAATACACCAGACCCCATATCTTTTCTTCTGTTGGAGCTATAATCATAATATTGGTGTCAAAGTGCACATTTTTGGGGTCTAGGAATTCAATTAAAAAGGTTTCAATGCAAAAAACCCAATGCATCATTAATTACCATGACAGGGGGGGGGGGGGGGGTAAAATATGCTAATTTCATGAAAAAATGTACGTTTTGACAGGGTAACTTACCCCCCCACCCCTTCCCCTAAACGTAGATTTACTTTTCCCTTGGTATGGAAGTACCTTAGGACCATAGGAAACATTTTATCCAAAAAGACAAGTCAACCATGTCTGTAGTCATTTGAAAGGGGAGAAGCAACTGAATCGATTGGCATCAATCTTTCTACATTTCCCAGCTCTGAAGAAAGCCGGGCGTAAAGTGTTCGTTATCTGTGCGCTTTTAGGTGCAGCGCCCCACAGACGAAGGCAGAATGCTGCATCGCACACTGATCACTCGGGACTCTCCTGTAAACTTTCTCCACCACTTATAAAACTTATCTTGAGTATCTTTTGAGTATCTTCTGTATTAAATAGGAAAGTAACACAAACCTCAAACTGAACCTCAAAGTGTCTCAGATTTTCTGTCACCTCTGATTTCATCCAGCTGTCACAGACCCTGGTATAGAATTCATGTTTTGTGGCAGCAACTGGCTACGAGAGATGTAACACTCAGCAGTCATACAGACAGATACAAATGCAGTCAGACAGAGACACATAGGGCTCTATTTTCGTGCCTCACCGGAGATGTGCCGCGGCGGAAGTCAGGTCCGCTGCGCCGACAAGGCGTTCCCAAGCACATTTTGGTATTTTGGTGAGCGGTGCAGCCCGGTTTAAGTATCCCCCCTCCCTAACTCAGCTCCTCCCAGCAGCGTAAGTTGTAGTGAGGGAGAAGAAAGGGCGTGGAGTGGGATTAACACAGCCGAGACCTGTTTTCACCAATCACATAAGCTCCTCTCCTTGCCTTTAAATCCGCCACTGGCGAGGCGTATTACTATTTTCGGGAAGTAGTCAAAGAGATCAAGAGATGTCTGAAGACAGTAATGCCACACGTTGGCGACAGAAGGCAGCCCCTCAACAAGTTTCGCTGTAAGCGCTGCATTGGGTATCCTCCACACTCTCTCATATGAGCACAGATGGATTTGGTGTGTGTAATGTTGGACCCACTGGTAAGACAAACACCCTTTTCCACAAATAAAGACACTCACATAAAGTTGCATATATTCAAACCTCACGTGACAAAGGTGGGTTGTGCGCACAGATCACAACATAAACTCCAAAAATGGCATTAAAATCGGAATGATCTCTGCGTAAATGACGCATCGCGCTCCGTGGCCTGGCTCTTTCTTTCATAGATGTCGGCATATAAAATAAATTTGCCTCACAAAACTGAATATTATAATATTCGTATGTAGGCTTAAAGTAAACAACTCATCTGATCACTGAAACAAATTATCTGTTCAGCTGCTGCAGCAGGAGAGGACACGGAAACGTGTCCAGGTCGAGCTGCGCGAAAAATAAGAGGAAGAGGAAGAAAGAAAAGGAGGGAGATGAATTACATATCTAGTTAACTTCATCGTGTGTTTATTTAGTAGATATTTAATTTAATTTAATGCGGTTTCAGCTGTGTTGATTCGGTCAGGTTGTGTGTCCAAACGCATGCCAAACGCGCTCATCAGATCAGATATAGATCAGAATATATATAGATCTAAATTTATGTGCTGTCTCAGATTATTAGTTGTTGATGATTATTTATTGCACTGAAATGTGCCTGACACTGTGGAAACCTGCCGGTGAGGCATCGGTGACGTATGCCGATATGCCACCGATCTACCAAAATACTACTAGACCAGCTGCGCTCCGCCTGCGCTGAAAGCTGACCAGGTTTGAATCGGCGAGCTTTCAGCGCACTTTACACGCCGGTGGCGAGCACGAAAATGTCACTGCGCCCGCTGATTCTGTCGACACCCCCCCCTGCCACGCCACCACGCCCAGCTTGGCGGATCTCAGTCCACGAAAATACCAAACTGGCTGTACACCGGGCTCCGCCAGACGAAAATACAACTGCGCGGGGTCCGCCACCCTCCGTCGCCTCACCGGCGAGGCACGAAAATAGAGCCCATAGAGTACATAAGAGGCTGCACCATTTTTCTTTTCTTTTTTTCTTTTCTTTTTTAGGGGGGCATTTTTAAAGTCACCTTTTTGACACTTATTTTGTTCATTAAATGTGCATCCTTACCTCCCACTGTCAGGGTAATGAGAAGACTATATATTTTTTAGTCTGGAGACCTTTTCATTTGGATTTTTTGACCCCAGAAATGTACACTTTGACACTAATATTAATATTATAGCTCTCACAGAAGCGAAAATATGGGGTCTGGTGTAATAGTGGTGTATTGTCGGTGGTCATTTTTGAAAAAGTCTATAAAATAAATGAAGGGTGATCTAACTTGTCTCTTTGGATAAAATGTTTCCTATGGCCCTAAGGTACTTCCACGCCAAAGGAAAAGTAAATCTCAGTTTAGGGGGAGGGGTGGGGGGGTAAGTTACCCTGTCAAAACGTACATTTTTTCATGAAATTAGCATATCTTACCTCCCACTGTCATGGTAATTAATGAACCATTGGGTTTTTTACATTGAAACCTATTTAATTGAATTCCTGGACCCCAAAAATGTGCACTTTGACACAAATATTATGATTATAGCTCCAACAGAAGAAAAGATATGGGGTCTGGTGTATAAGCGGTTTATTGTCGGCAGCCATTTTTAAAATGGCAATAAAAAAAAATTGAAGGGTGATCTAACTTGTCTCTTTGGATAAAATGTTTTCTATGACCCTAAGGTACTTCCATACCAAAGGGGACATTTGTATCATGACCTGAAGTTTACAGCTTATTTTTTGGGCTTAGGGACTCCACTATTTGTGGCAAGTTTGGGAAAGTAAATTTACATTCACTCCTAGCCGCATAATGTCCTCGATCCTCCGGTCCAGCGGGGGGTGGTAAAGCGTTGTACAATTAGGAAGCCAGTTGGCAAATAAAATCTCGAAGAAGACCAAAATTCAGACGAAGAAGAAGAGAGAGGAGGAGGAGGAAAATACAGGAAGCTGCTAGATTTGTGACCAACAGCTGTAAACAGAGAGAACTTTCTAGGATCTAACCCCGTGTTCACTGACAGGAGAAGATGGCGACCACCATCAGCACTCAGCGGGGACAGGTAGAGTTTGACTCCAGCTGCTCTGAGATCTGTTTTAAGATTCACAGACAGACTGAGCTAGCTACATTCAAGTTAACTAACACCTCTGACAGTTCACCAGCTCAAAGCTCTCAACAACACAAACTGCTCTCATTAACATTGACTATGACAGACTCAGTTTAGTTACCGTTATGTAACGGATAAGCCTTGGGGATTAATCAGCCTCTAAACCAACAGCTCCTGCGTCCGAATATAGAAACATCCGCGTCTGACGTTGGCTGCGGTGTTCCGCTTAAATGAGCGACCGTGTCCATTAGTGACTTTCAGCCGAATACGGATGTGGTTGTGTCGTTGTTGGAGGAAATAAATAGTAAAGGGGTATAGGTGGCTTTCCAAATGCCTCGGAGTTTACTTTTTCGCGTATATGTCTTGTAAGTGTCCAACAGTAGCTACAGACGGCAAATGTTTCCCTCAGAACAGCTGCTGTTACTACGACAACCACAGACACTTTAGGCTGAAGGTCTCCAGATGACACGGTCACGCTTTGTACCGAAACATCAGTTATAAGCGACGACTTCTAAGCGTTATTACAGTTATAAATACCAGTAAGGTAAAAAGCTGTGTGATCGGGGATTTTCATAAACAACAGTTGCTGTGTGGGTGTGTTTGGAGGCTTAGACATATTCAAAGAGATAAAAACCAAGTCAAGGTTTTAACTGAAACCACGTCACAAAAATACACGGCAATACAGAGGAATACCAAGGCATGAATACAAGTACCAAAACAATTGACAAATCACCATGAGGTCTGCAAATCTCAGCATCTCACAACTCAGCCACTTTTACAAACACTACACCAAATCAGCCAAAAAGAAGATGCAATTTTACAAACACACTTTTTCAAAAGAAATAAAACAGACTTCATAAAGATTTTCCAAGGCAGTGTCTCATAAAACCCTGGGGATGCACCCGCGCTTTAACACTTGTTGAACCACATCAATAGTGCTTGAAATCATAGCCACAGATCCACTTGCACTCAATAACACATTTAGTAAGCAGGTAGGTGGAGGAGCAGTGCCAGCTGTTTGGAGATATGTTAAGGTGAACCAGGGACCAAAGAAAAGCAGCCTACATGATGCACTAAATCATCCAGCGTCAGTCTGATATTTTGTAAGAATTTGTTGTCGTCTGAATGTAATAGATGTGTTTGAACTTTCCACCTTGGCCTCCTCTTACCTAAAACACACTATGGTAACCAGCCTGTAAGATGGCTCCACAAAGATGTACGGATCTTCAGGAACCACATACTACATAGTACAGCGTGTGATCTGGCAAAAGTAAGCTCTTGGGTAACTGGGAGCAGGATATCAACATTTAGTGGACAGTAATAGAAACAGGTTCACAGCTGATACTGCAGAGTTTATTTTCATCACAAAAAAGCTACCTCTAGCAGCTAAAAAGAAGGCAAAGTTCTCACAGAAAGCCCAGATCCATGACCACAGGTGATTTTAAATGCCCTGATTCAGTCATATGCCGTGTGACATGTTGCATACAAGTGACGTGTGACAGTGCTGTATCAAAAAACAACCTCAACATTTGTTAAAGCTTTATCAGTCAGTAAGTTAGTCTTTATTTATATGGTGCTAGGTCCAAACACACGTTATCAAAAGACACCTAATAAAAAGAGCTGGTCCAGACCAAACTCTCCTTTTTATTATTCACAAATAACCACCACCTAGTTCAATACCGTTTCTGTCTTCATTCACTGAGTAAAGCTCTGTGCAGCACTGAGTAGGTCACAGTGGGATACTTAAAACAAAATTCACTTGAAACTGACAGAGATCCTCCCTCTCAAGAATTTTGCTGTTTAGTGAAAATAACAGTGTAATGGCTTTACAAACTTATCCTAATTTTTTAAAACAATGAACATTTTAGGGTCACCTGAACGGAGCTGTTTTTTTACACTTCTTAACCATAAAAAAATATTGGCCTAAGCTATTTTTTAACAAAAATTAGTTTTTGGCTAAAATCATCCCTAGATAATGCTGGCCATCTCTGGTAAAATCGCCTATTCTTTAGTTGGAAGGATCATGGCATAATTTTGCATTTCTGCCTTCATATCATCTTTATATCTTTGTCTCTTGACTGCAGCTGAAATTAAAACAACATGTGATCTTAATATTTCATCACAGCAGTGTTTGATTGTGTTGACACACTGACATATATATCCTGACAATGAAAGACTACAGTACTTTACAATATATTTAACTTGCAAATGCTCAGGCTACTTTGATCAAAATGCATCACTGTATTGTACTGTAACTTTTAGTTTTTAGCTGAAGCAACACTATCTTCAGATGAGAACTCCTGCCCCCCAAAAGGGCTTCTTAGTTAGTTAGAAATAGACTTGAGTTGCAGACTATTAAACCTGTTGATAATGTGGAGTTTGATGAACAAACAAATAGTAATTTTATTAGAATCTGTTCAATGTTTAAGGTAAGTCATTTTCATATCCCTCTACTTTGTGCTCCGTCTTTGAATCACCAGCTTTGTACTTGAATTCATGTTTTGTGTCTTTAGGTGTATATTGGTGAGCTTCCCCAGGACTTTCTGCGAATCACTCCAACCCAGCAACAACAGCAGGTCCAGATTGATGCCCAGGCAGCCAGGCAGTTGCAATATGGAGGCTCCATGGGCACCGTGGGGCGTCTCAGCATCACTGTCGTGCAGGTAAAAACCTTTGTGCTCTGATGTCCTACTTAATAATGTGTATAATTGGCTCCATTAAAAGTTGAGTCTTGTCCCCTTTTCATTATTTTGTTTGTTTGTGTTTTTGTCTCTTTTAAAGTCTGCAGACCAAAATCTGTGCGCTGCAGGTGGAGTTTCCTGACATTAGTGAAAGCTAAAAACTTTCAGAATAATTCATGAATGTATAGACTCCTGTGGAATTTACACTTGAACACATAGGCCAGCAAACAGCAGCGACACATCTCTTTTGTTTTTCTTACCAGGCCAAGTTGGCTAAAAACTATGGTATGACCCGGATGGATCCATACTGCAGGATCCGACTTGGCTATGCGGTCTATGAAACCCCAACTGCTCACAATGGAGCCAAGAACCCCCGTTGGAACAAGGTGATTCAGTGCACTGTGCCCCCAGGAGTGGACTCCTTCTACTTGGAAATCTTTGATGAGGTGAGGAGGTTGCACTGAGGTGAATTACATGAGTCTCTTTTTGTCAGTTCTGGTCTGGGGCAGCAAATGGTTGGTACTGTGACGGAGTGTAAACATAAGCAGTAGAGGCAGCCTTGAAAAAAGGATGGTAATAAGTTCTGTGCCTTTTTGATACTTTGTCTCTCTTTCTTTTTTTTTTTCTTGCTCTGACACAAAAGTAAAGCCCCTGCTTTACTATATTATTGTGATACTTTGATATTTGATATCCAAAAAGATTTGGTCAAGAACATACTCTTTGTTATGAAAGACCATACTCCACTCTCTTTTTTTTTTTCAACAATCATAACCAGCTTTTATTTGCAGACCTGTTAACATTTGAGCTAAACTCTTAAGTGGCAGATTCTGAAGTCCGTCATTGTGAGTGAAACTGTCAGAAGGGCTTCCTCTTCTTTTCTCTTGTCTCAGATTAATAGCTAGATTAGTTTTTTCTTCTTCATGCTGTTATGAATGGTTGGTTAGAAAATCAACACAGCTGTCTCACTGCTAAATTTAGAGGTATGGCAGTGCTGATACCTCGAACTTGTATCTTGCATGTTCGTGGTATCTTATTTGATAGACTCAAATTTGTGTTTTGATGTATTTCTGCCTTTTTGCCTACCAGAGAGCATTCTCCATGGATGACAGGATAGCATGGACTCATGTCACCATCCCAGAGGGCCTGAGAGAGGGCAGTGTTGTCGACGAGTGGTTCAGCCTCAGTGGCAGGCAGGGGGATGACAAGGAGGGCATGATCAACCTGGTGATGTCTTTTGCTGTGAGTGAATTCTCCAGCTTAAGATCAACCTTGTCACTGTGATGTGTTTGCTGAGCTCATATGAGCATCTATCATAAAGTACAAGACCTTATGAAAATTCAGTCTTAACTGCCTAATGTGTTTCCCCTCTTCAAAAAGTAATTTAACCAATATAACAAAATGTAAGGTCATTAAGAAGTATTGAAAAGTGTCAATAACAGTTTTAAATTATCTAATACAATGGCTTTGTAAACTGCCTCCTTACATTAATCAAAGAACAAGTGTCAAAAATCTCTGCCTTTAATTTTTCTCCGTCTCTCTGTCAGTCCCTACCAGCAGGAATGATGACTCAGCCTGTGGTCCTGATGCCCTCTGTGTACCAGCAAGGCGTGGGATATGTGCCCATAGCAGGTAAAATGCACACATGCAAGGTTACCCCTGTCACATCCTCTGCTGAATGATAAGCTGATGAGGTGACCCACTGATTTTCATCGAACTCAACCTTTTGTTCATAGTCAACCGCTGTGAGTCTTGTTAGCTGCTGATGTTTATATGCAGGCTGTTCATGTGCTTCCAAGTATGACACAGTAGTAGCTGGTATGTGAGGTTGCTCCTGTTTGGATTTGTGCTTTTTTGCAGTATCATAAGTCATTTAACTCTATCTTCCTTTACAACAACAAAATGCTCTCTGAAAACATTTTGGTTTATTTATTGTGAGTCTAGAATATGTTGAACTGTCACTTTATGTCTGCCTTGCCAACTGCTTCTGTTGGTCCACTGTGTCAGCAGTGTCCATAGAGCTGATCGCCTGCAAGCCATAAGTCAGTGGTGCAGTAACTTCAGCTAAGTTCAAAGAGTACAGATGAACATAGTTTTGAGAAACTGAACATTTCTGTGATTAAATTCCTTCTTTATTATTGATTTTGGAAAATTATCCAACATTATTATTACTAGATTTCAAAGTTTAAAAAGCAATGAGCCATTATCATCATAATTAAAACAAAATATGTCACTAAATACCTATTTATTCTAGTGTGTATGTAGATTTACCTTATCGATTTAAGTGGCCAAGAAAGGAACCAGACTTTTTTTTATGAATGTTTGAGTGGCACCTGTAAGTTAGTTTTTCTCCCTTGGAAAAAGGGCCATATAACCTGGAGTGCACAGAAACCTTGGTTTAAAAACCACAAGATGAATGATTTTTTTTCCCTCTTTTGATTAGAAAACCTTCATCTGCTGACAGAAAAGTCACATCTCTCTGTTTTTAGGTGTACCTGCGGTCTACAACCAGGGGATGGTTCCCATGGGAATGCCAGCAGCCATACCAGCTGTCCAGGGGCCAGTGTGCAGTGAGGAAGACCTAAAGGCTCTGCAGGATATGTTTCCAAACCTGGACAAGGAGGTGGTCCAGACAGTGCTTGATGCACAGCAGGGCAACAAGGATGCTGCCATCAACTCCTTACTGCAGATGGCAGAAGAGCTTTAAAGGCAGAGCACAAGCTCAGAGCAGAAATGCCAATATAGTCACTGACTTACACACACACACACACATACACTCATACACACACACATAAATATATATATATATATGTATATACACATATATATATATATATATATATATATATATATATATATATATATATATATATATATATATATATGTATGCCAACATTCCACTGACACTGGACCCTGAAAGCATCACAATGGCTGTGCTCACTCTACGTATGAGGCCACTCTTTACATCTGGTATCAACGTGCATGGTATTAGCCAAGTCCAGTCTAGTCTAGTCTGCTTAGTACAGCCGTTTACCATACTGGTCAAATGAGTTCATTTCCATCAGTATGAGTAGAATTTTTAAATGTATAAATTAATTTAAAAGAAACAGCCATTGCAGACTTGGTGAAAAAGATGTACGTTTAAACATGATACAGAAGTTTGTGCATGAATCCTGTTGTTTATAGTTTGGAGGTGTATGGGGGAAATGCATGGACCTGTGATGAAGATGAAAGATCTGTGTTACACCATGAAACATCTATCTGTAATCTTTGCATGGGTAATATCCTGTATTTCACAGATTAGGTTGTCTTCTATTTAAAGAGAACCCCCTAAAGTATAAATACTGTCATGATACCCAAAAGAAAAGCAACAATAAAACTTGAAATGTAAGTTCTGACCAAGAGCAAAGTCACATATATGCACTACATCAGAAGGAAATTCTAAATTGCATGTGATCTATAGTACAGATCCACATCATTTCACAAAGTCATAGTTTTATTATTGAATCCTGAAGTGCGACTATTTTTGAAGCTTTAAACTAACAAGATTTTTCTTGCATCTCAGGATTGCATTGGAAGTATGTGTTTCAAACTCAGATTAAAAGGAAAACATCTAAAAAGTATTTATCTCATCTGCAGACAAACCTGAAAAACATGTATTTTTGCTCAAAGATGAAGTTACTCTATCGTCCTTTTTTTCCTGGTGATTTTAATAAAGTGGGGGTAAATTTTTTCTTTCAGATTCGGTGCACTGCAGTAAGTCGAATATCAGCAGATGTGACCTGCTAAATTCAGTGAACTGCAACTTTGCAGAGACAGGCAGATGTATTACAGCTAAAACAGAGAGCTGGTGGTTGATGTCACAAAGAACCCCATGCATTGATTCAGGTTTATGCAGTTTATTCAGGAGGAGAGTGGGAAACTCCAGCTTTTGAGGCCAGACAGGACACATTTCAACATATCTGGCAGGGCAAATATTCCAGATTTGAGTCGCAGAAACAAACACAAATGATCCTAAATTTGCTTTGCTTTTGGTCTGAACCAGCCAGACATTCCTGGCAGATTACAAATGTTAATACGGTAAAAGTGTTTTTGACAGTAAATCAAGGTCATAGTCCATGTTCAAGGGGACTCTGCAGTCTTTCAGTGTGACCAGGTCACATTCATGTACACATGTCATATTGTTGATGAACTCCATCAGTGCTTCTTCTGGTTATTCAGAGTCCGCTCCAAGTCAAAACTGTCCTTGTGTATAGGAGTAAACAGGGCCAAAGCTTATATGATGACCTTTATTGTGAACATTGCTTTGACAGAATCTTATCTTTTCAGGAGAGTAAGCAGAATAATGATTTGTTAGGGGTGTCGCTTGATGGGTACTGTAACTGTTACTAGACCAGATCCTGTCTGTTCCTGTTGACTGATCTTTCACAGTGATGCAGTCCACTACCACCCTCGATTTGGAGCCTGTTTTAATTTTCACCTGTTGAGTCCTGATCAAATCACATTATATTTATTTTTATGTGCTTTTGATAGTATTTCTGTGTGTGATGATCTGCACTGAGCTGCTAGCTAGCTGTACATGTTTTGTCATCTTCAATCTAGCAAAATTGAAAGAATGCACTGAATTATCAAGAACTGAAGTTTGGGAGAAGCACCACAGGATTTACCTTTCACAATGATAATAAAATATCTTTACAAAGTTTAATGTAAAGCATTTTCCATAATGAGGTAAGGATTTGATGCAATGCTAGGTAATACCTGTGGAGTAACATGGAGACCTCAGTGACCAACAGTGAGATAGCAGAAAGTGAAATAAGAAGCCAGAGCAAGCAGCCCAGAGGCAAAAATTAGAGCCTCCCATTCATTGAGTGTGTGGTGCCATGTCAGGGCCTGAGCCACACAGACTGAATTAGCCTGCTATTGACTATTGACATGGCTTTCATGTGACTTAGGTTTGCACGGTGGACCATGCACAATAATGCAAGCTGTTAAGCTTTAAGTTCATACTGCGTAAAGTTTTCCACTGAAGTTTGTAACCCCAGGATACATTTTGTTAACAGCTAACAGCTTGTTTCATCCTTCTTACACCATCTACATGTTTCAGTGTTAAGTTCATATCTGTTCCTGTTGAAAAAGGTTCATCCAAGTTTTCATGTAATTCTCTAAAACTAATTTAAGGCTGTATATTACTGGATTCAGATTTGTGTGACTCCTAGCTTCTATCTGAAATAGTCTTTTTTTTTTCCAAATCTTGCAGAGAATTTCACGGCAACTACACAACAAAAGGGGAAAACAAGTTTACAGGCTATTAAGCAAGTTCAACACTGTCTTTGACTAACATTGCTTACACAGCCTGAAACCCACGTAAGAGATGCTGAAGCTATTATCATAAATAAAGGTAGCTTTAAACCTTCAGGGTCTCAAAAAAGGGGGCCATTTAAAGCAGCCCATGATGCTCCTCCAACACAAAAAAGTAGGTGCCAACCTATTTTTTTGAAAGGGATCAGTGCACAACTCTTAAATTTGAAAACAAACAAACAAACAACAAAGAAAAAAACAGTAGTACAATACAAGTCAAAGTCTTATCTACAATACCTAAACTAAAAATGAACCCCTGTCGGCGTGTTTGCTGTGTTTTGTGTCACATGTCAAACTGTCATTGCCTGGTATTAAGAAACAGACTTAATTGTTCAAGCTAATACATACCCTATATGCAGTTGTAACTCTCACAGATTAATTACAGTAAATTTACAGTTTTCTTATAGGGGATGTGGCTGTGGTTCGATGACAGGGTCAGCTGCATCTCTATTAGGAGGTTGGAGGTTTGATCTCAGGTCCTACTGTCCACATGCTCAGGTGAGCAGCATGTCTCTATCATCATTGCAGAAGATTAGAGAAAGCTTCACCTAAAATACAGTCCATGCGTTTCTTAAGGATTGAGCTACCTCATTACGCCAGATTATAATTAAGAAAATGATCAAACTTTACAGTTAAAGCTGACATGCTGTACACAGCCTGGTCCCAACTGAGAAATGAACTTAGAGTGAATTACCATGGGAATCTTACCAGCCTTGAGAGGCACCAAATTCTCTGGCTTTAGACTTAACAGACCAAGGTTTCCCTCTGATGTAGCGTTGTCGTCTCTGGTCTTCAAAGTTTTATGGAGTATATTTGTGCTAATATTGTTCACCATTTCCAGGTAATTAATGAGAATATAGGCCAGCAGATTTTCATGCTGCAGGTATCTGATTTTATTAAGTTGATTGAAGACATTTTACATCACTTCAGTATGTTGTGACGTTGAAAAAGAATGAATCATGAAATCTATCAAGAATCAGAAGATTGAAAATTACATCTCATGTTCTTAAAGGGTTAAATCAGGTGTTGATCAGTGTCTTCTGAGGCGCTTTATCGGCACATATGTTGTTCCTCCCACACACTCTGCTTTGAGGCAGTGACAGCTCTCCACTATGGTGTAGGTGTGAGAAACCTTGGAACCATCTGCACAGTCAAGCTCCACCTTCCCTTCACTGGTCGTGGCTTCTTGGCAACACTGGCACTCGTGCATCATCCCGTTAGCAGCAGCTGAATACCTGCACACGTCAGCAACATACATTAATTTTTCCATCTCATGCCTTTCATCATCTACAGATCATTTTATTGGCAATGCTTACAGAGGGATAATATTCTCAGTCCATGTTCTTAACATGGGAACATGACTATCTGTGATTACACTGATGAGTGACGACACCTGATGAAAATAAACTTTTAGAGGGGGCAGCAGTGTGGCACCTTTAGCCAAATCAGCATAAAGCTCTACTGAATTAATGATGTTTTTAATTAATTCAATAGCTGGGCCATATATTGAGTATACTGGATATAGTGCAGCTTCCTTCACATGAGATGTATAAATTTTTATATCTAAACCACTAAGTATCCAACAAACTGGGACATCGACACTAAAAGCCAGATCCAATGCTGTTTGAAGTTTTGCCTCTCTCCCTATATCCCGCTCACATTCCTCTGCCCGTCCAGAAAACTCTCCTCTATGCGTGGGAATGTATGCTTGAGTATCAGGGAGGAAGGTGGCAGGAGGGAGCAAAAGGAGAGACACTATTGCATCTTACAAGCTAACATAAACCATGAGTCTCCAGTGATCACTCAGATTCTGCTTTAATGTGAAATTGGTTCAAATTCATTTCAAATTCAACTTTATTTTTATGGCAGTTTTCAGACAAAAAATGCAATTCAAAGTGCCTCACAGAGGCTAAAACAATTAACAACAATAAAACCTGACCCTCCCACCCATGGACCCCCCCACACACAGAGACACACACCCAGAGAGACACACAACTAAGCTCAGAGTCAAAAATTACGCCCAGGTTTTTTACAAATGTTGATACTTTAAAATCTTGTACCGGTAGTTTTGGTAAAAGTGTCTCTCTCAGGCCTTCAGGACCAATAACTCTCTGTTTTGTCCTGGTTGAGCTGCAGGAAGTTGGCTGCCATCCAGGATTTAATGTCTAAAATGCAGTTTAAAAGGGCATCAATTGGCCCGCTATCATCAGGCGACACGGCCATGTACAGTTGTGTATCATCAGCATAGCTGTGGAAGTTGATGCCTCCTGATGATGTCCCCAGGGGAAGCATGTAACGCTCAAAAAGAGTTGGACCTAAAATTGACTCCTGGGGAACCCCACACATAATTTTATGGGTTCGTGAGGAACATGTATCCATACTTACCAAGAAGTGTCAATCAGTGAGATTAGAGGTGAACCAGTTAAAACAGTGCCTGAGAGGCCGACCAGGTGCTTAAGTCTATTTAATAAAATGTGATGGTCTACTGTATCAAAGGCGGCAGTTAGATCCAGCAGGACCAAGACTGTGAGGTTGCGATTATCTTAACGGCACCTGATGTCATTCATAATTTTTAAAAGGGCTGTCTCAGTACTGTGGTTTCTCCTAAAACCTGATTGGCACTTCTCTAAAATGCTCTTTGTATTTAAAAAGAATCAATTGTCGAAGAACAAGTTTTTTCCAAGATTTTACTTATAAATGGTAAATTGGATACAGGTCGGTAGTTGTTGAAAATCTTGGGGTTCAGATTGCTGTTCTTCAAAAGAGGCCTCACCAGCGCCATTTTAAAGGAGGTAGGAAAGACCCCTTTCTGAAGAGAGCAATTTACAATGTTTAAAAGCTGTTCCTCAAAGAATCCATAAAACTGTTAAAAAAACGGTGTGGGAATTGGATCTAAAAGGCAGGTTGTGGGGTCTACTTGGGAGAAAACTCGACCAAGTGTCTGCACATCAACCAGTGAAAATCTCTCCAGTGTTTTCTCGGGTAAAAGCAGGGATCCAGGTGTGTTGGCAGTTAAAATCTGTTGAGATGAAAGACTGGATCTGATGTGTTGATTTTACTTCTGAAGTAGTCTGCAAAATCCTCACAGAGGGCATCAAGGATGACCCAGAGGTTCTGTTATTGTTATTATTGTTTGTTAAAAGATCAATTGTTGTGAAAAGAAATCTGGTGCTATGTTTATTGTCAGCGATTAGTTTCTTGTAGTGGAAAGTTCTTGACTGTGCTATTAAAGGTTTTGAGATGTTGTCTAAAACTTTAAGATGGACCGTTAATTTGGATTTCCTCCATCTCCTTTCAGCACTCCTGCAATTTCGTTTGAGCTGTTTGATATGCTCGTTTCTCCATGGGTGTCTTGCTTTTTTCTTAAGCCCCACACAGCTTCATTTGACTAAAACCATGACATGATGATGACAAACTTTTTGCCAACACGGCTAGGGCTGTTTCCTCTGCTCCTCATGCACATGAGCAGCACAGCAGAGTGGGCGATCCCAGACTGAAGTGATATAATTAAAGAAAATGTAAATTTGCTGATACGAAGCCTGTTGTACCAGACATTACAGTTCTGTGGTTTATCTGTGAATAAAAGTGACTGACAAACTGGAGTTATATTTGATCCAGACTTCCCAATAAACATTCGAAAATACAAAAACTTGTTGGTCATATTTGTTAAAATCTCCAGCTCTCCCCACATCAGAGCTGTCTTTTTTACTCAACCTCAGTGAATAGATGAAGACTGTAAGGCCAAATCTTTATTTTTATTCATGTACACTCAGCTCTAATGCAAAGACTGTTTTCTCATAATGGAATGACATCAGAAACAAGTGAATACATGTTTTTACCAGGAGAAATAATAAACTGGTCTTTTTCAAAATGATCTGTCATTGGAAAAGGTGCACTTTATTTTGGGGGGTTTCTCAAGGGTCGTCAATGTCAACAAATGTACTTTTTTAAAATTGCTTTTGGCTGTTTCTTTTTTTTTTTTAGTCTTTGAGACCATGACTTCTGTAAGAAGGCCTACCATGCCACTATGTATTTGTTTCTTTCTGCCTAGTTCAAAATAATCATCTTACTTGTGTGACTCCATGTATCAGTGGACAGAACACCCACACACTGATTCAGAGGGAATTTGAAAAGACTGAGATACAGTTGAGGCCAAAATTATTAGCCCCCCTCTGAAATTTTGAGTTTTTCTCCAAAATTTCTGAAGTGCTGTTCAACAGATTAATGATTTTTTTTACACAGCTTTTCCAAACATCCTAGTTTTATTTTGGATCCTTACATTATTTTACTTTGCACACAGAAACAAAATTATTTCATAAAAACCAAAAACTACCAGGGTCAAAAATATTAGCCCCCCTCAGGCTGATAGTAAATTGTGTGTTCTTTTTGCTAGATAACAGCATGCAGTCGTTTGCTGTAGTTTGTAAAAAGGCTCTGGCACATCTGAGGAATCCCAGCCCATTCCTCTTTGGCAAATCTTTCAAGCTCCTCCAGATTTGAGGTCTTCTAGCATGGACCCTGGTCTTCAGTGCAGCCCACAGATTTTCAATGAGATTTAAGTCAGGGCTTTGTGCAGGCCAGTCAATAGCGTTCACTTTGGTTTCCTGGAGGCAGCTCCTCACCAGAAGCGCTGTATGTTTTGGGTCGTTGTCATGTTGGAAGACAAAGTGACGACCCAGACCCAGTTTTGCTGCTGACTGCTTGAGGTTTTCTTTCAAAATCTTCACATATCCTTCTTTCTTCATTATTCCTTCAACCTTGACAAGATTCCCAGTTCCAGATGCACTGAAACATCCCCACAGCATGATACTCCCACCACCGTGTTTAACTGTGGGGACAGTGTTCTTGGGGTTATACGCCTCTTCCTTCTTTCTCCAAACATAAGCAATGTCTCTGTGACTAAAGAGCTCTAGTTTGGTCTCATCTGACCAAAGAACACATCTCCAGTTTGAACAATCATTCTCCAGATTGTCCTTAGCATACCTCAGTCTGATTTGAAGGTGTCTCTTTTATAGAAGTGGAGTTTTTCTTGGCCTGCATCCTCACAGTCCATTTCTGTTCAGGGCTCTAGAGACTGTCTTGTGTGACACCACAATTCCTGACTCGGCTAAGTCACCAACTTCTGTTTTGGTGGTTGTTTTAGGTTGTTGAGCCACATCTCTCACCAGTTCTCTTTCCAGTTTCTGTTAAATTTTTTGCTTCCTACCTCTCCCAGACTTGTTCTGTACTGTGTGGCTCTCCTTGAATTTCTTGATGATACTTCTGACTCCACATCTTGACACTTGGAAATGCTGTGAGAACTTTTTATATCCTTCTCCTGCTTTGTGAGCATCAACAATTGTTTTTCTCAAGTCTAAACTGAATTCTTTTGTATTTGCCATGATACCTTCTCAAGTGACAGCTCAAATGCGTAACAAGGTTTTTATACTGTGTGTAAAGTGTAGGACAACCCTTTATTTTAACTTAATTGATTGATTGATTACAAGCTGTGAGCACTGGAAAGTGAAAGTACATGATTGAACAACAGTGGTTTTTGTTTTGGCTCAATGAAAACGTAAATTCTTAAGGAGGCTAATCATTTTGACCCTGGTGGTTTTTGTTTTTGTGAAATAAATTTGTTTCTGTGTGCAAAGTTAAAATAATGTAAGGATCCAAATTAAAACTAGGATATTTGGAAAAGCTGTGTAAAAAAATCATTAATCTGTTGAACAGCACTTAAGAAATTTTGGAAAAAAACTTCAAATTTCAAAGGGGGGCTAATAATTTTGGCCTCAACTGTAAATATATATTGCATATTGCAATATGGTATAAAAATTATTGTGTAATTTGCCCCACACTGGCTTTGTTGGTATACCTCTGACTTGGTCTGTTACTTTGCACGTGTTATATGTGATTTTTAAGGTTCATGATGTGTTTAGTTTTTTGTACAATCCTTGCATGACAGATTAATGGTAACAAACAAATCTGTCTTTCTAAAGCCAAAAGATAATGGCACTGTTGATCAAGTTCACAATCTAATGTGGTTGTACATGGACTTACATGGATCTACTTCCACAGTGACCAGCACAGTACGTCATGTTGACCGGCTTCTTGCTCACGCAGTCATTCACTTTGATGACTTGTTGCTTATGGAGGACCTCACACACACTGCACAGCTTGCCTGTAGAACAGAACATTTGTTCTTGTCAGTGGTTCAAAGACGGTCCGGTAATGACACACAGCACAATCCTCTACTAACTTACAGGTTTTGCAGCATCCACTAGAGTCAGTTGTCTCTGTACCCTGGAGGAGGAAGACACATGTGTAAGATATGGGCGGTGTGTTGAGACAGGTCAGGTGTATAAAATGCAGATGTCTGATTTACTCACAGGTTCACAATCCAGGGGGTCAAATTTGGGACAAGCAGTTTTGGTCTCCTGAGTGATGAGCTGTCCATTGATATTGGCACAGCTATAATGCACACACTTTTCACCAGGAAGAGTAAATGTTTCGTTGACCTGTAAAATGACAGAAAGCAAAAGCCAAGTTAGGAAATGTGTACCTTTGAATTGTTAATACATTAAAAATGAGCAGCTACCTCTTGGAGTGAAGGCTCACACACCAGTATTACTGACCTCAATGATATGTGTTTTGTTGTCAGGTGCAGTGAGAAAGCAGCTCTTCTGGACACACTTTCCGCAGCACTTATCAGGTTGATCCTTGTATTCAAAACCCTGCGAGCAGACAGTAATAGAGTTAGAATGAGCCGCTAAAGAACAACTTCAACTTTCTGACTGTTTAATCGCAATTTGGTGACATCACTCTATTGACTTACACACATTGATGGTTATTTGGGACCTTATGTATGCACTTGGTCTTTTACTGCCCAAAATCTGGAAGCCTTATTTAAGCCCTCTGTAGACCCCTGGACTCCACTAGGCTCCTCTGTTCAAGGGAGTCTGATCTTTAGGAAGTGCTTTCTTTTATATGATGGATGTGCCTGGTTCTGTAAAGTACCATTGATTAAACCACTCTTTGGCAGACTGCACCCAGTCAGTACAGTTTATTTGTAGTTTTGTAGTCACGATTTTGCCATCACCACCAGTTCTCGTGATAGCACTGGGGAATGTCAAAAGCTAATTACCTGAGCCAGCTAGTAAGTAACAGAGCAATTATTGCCCCCAATACTTGCTTACTTGCTGAGGCTTCATGACTCTGGTGAAATGTCATTGAGAGGCAAGTGAACTGGTTGAGTAGGAGCATAAACATTTGGAACATTTATTTTTCAGAGCTACAGAGCAACTAGTTCCCCTGATATCACTGCAAAATTCAACTTACACAGCGAATTGATCAAAGTTGAGGGCAGCAAAGCTGTAGAACAGAGAAATCAGACTAAAACATTCTGCAATTGCTAGCTGGATGCAAGATGAGTAATTAGCTGCACAAAAGAACAAGTGAGGATTTTTTTAACCAAACATCTGCTTTGTTCATTCAAATAATCCGATGTGCTATATCTCTTTTAACTTAAAATATGTTTGGTAGGGCACAAACTTGTAAACGAATAAAAGTTCAGGCCAACCCTAAAATTGTTTTGTTGTTGCACAGGTAAAAATGACGACCAGTATTAATCTGAAAATTGTGGAGGTTGGCTTTTGCGTTTGTTTGACTTACTTCTGGACAGGTTTTATTGCAAACAATGGGTTTGCATTCAATGATGTGAAGCTTGGTGACTGGGTCCATCCTGGGTCCACAATAACACTCCTGACAGGGCCCAGGAACAAAAGGCTGTCCTGTTGTTGTTCCACCCTGTAGTCCAGCTCCTCCTGTAGTTCTTCCCCCATGTTGTCCAGCTCCTCCTGTAGTTGCTCCACCCTGTTGTCCAGCTCCTCCTGTAGGTCCTCTACCTTGTTGTCCAGCTCCATCTGTAGTTCCTCTACTTTGTTGTCCAGCTCCACCTGTAGTTCCTCTACCTTGTTGTCCAGCTTCTCCTGTAGTTCTTCCACCTTGTTGTTCATCTCCTCCTGTAGTTCCACCCCCCTGTTGTTCAGCTCCACCTGTAGTAGCTCCTGCTGATTGCTCCATTGTTGTTGTTGTTGTCAATCCTGATGGGCGTTCAGGTACTGGGATTGTTGAATTTGGCTGAAACAGTATACAGTAAACATTTTTTAGCTGTTAAATTTTTCTACACTGATATCTTTGACATTTTTGTCATAACTGCTCAAACTTTGAGCTGTTAATAAAAAAAGGCTTAATTCCACTTACTTATTCACCGTTGTAATCACATTTTCTCAATTGAGTGCAAAATAATTCAGAAGGGCCAAATAAGACATCAATGAGCAGTTTCACAGCTTGCACTTTGGCTATCATAGAAAAGAAGTTACGAAAAGTAATGATTTTACTTTTAATTACACCCTGCTTCTCTCTGAATACTTCTCCAGACCTCCTATTAAGCCCATCTACAGTACTGTGAATTGCCCCCTTACAGATTTCTTGTTTTTTTTCCCCCGCTTTTTTGTCACATTTAAATCTTGAAGATCATCAAACAAATTTTAATATCAAAATAGCCTGTAAGTAAGCAATAGCACCCACTCATATCTAACTGTCTACT